CCACAGATCGCACGCTTTGTTGGTTGCGGGACCCTGACCGTACACCTTCGGATACCCATGTAGGGATGAGTCCGTGGCATCACTTAGATTCCGCTTGCTCGCCTAGAGGGGCAATCCGAGCAAATGTACTGCGTGACTTAAGCAAGATCAAGTACTCGGATGCGTGCTCCGTACCGATTGGCTTGCATGGCATCAATACCCACCCAGGTAGGAAAGCTGTTGCCGAAGAGCCGTCATGCCACACAAGTGGAAAAGGAGCGCCAACGACGGGACTGGCTTATTGCCCCCTGCAAGGCGTAACTTTTGCCTGTTTTGGACTTGTATGAGCGTCTGTTCATGCTCTGGGTCTTTATAAAGTTACCAGAAGTCTCTGCGGAAGCAGTCGCTTCTGCTGTAGTTCCATACGTTAGTCAATTTCTCTGACGCTTTTTACGCGAATCTTCTGATCCCATTACCTGCTGTGCCACGCCGCCCCAAAAAACAATCAATCCTCCGGCCATGGCTATCACCCACCCACTTGACCCGCTTCAGCCCCAAGAGCTCCGCCTAGCGGTCAGTCTGTTGAAAGATTCACTTCCGGGCATACCGCTCCGGTTCAAGACCATCGAAGTCCAGGAGCCAGCAAAGAAGGACGTCGTTCCTTACGTTGAGGCCGAACGATTGGGAGAACTCCTACCACAAGCACCGGCGCGGATCGTTCATGTCCTTTTCCATCGGCAAGACACTGGTGCACACTGCCACGCGCTGATCAACGTGGACAACAGCTGTATCATCTCCCAGGGTGATCTCCCGGAGCATTCACAAAGCCATGCGGATGTAGATGAGATGGTTGAGATCGAAAAGATCTGTCTTGAGCATCCAGCTGTGATAGCGGAGATTGAGAAACTGCGGCTTCCGGCTGGGGTTAAAGTCTGCGTTGATCCGTGGATATATGGCACGGACGACCCCAACGAGCGACGGAGACTGTTCCAATGCCTGGTGTATCTGAGCACTGTGGACCACCCGCAAGCCAACCACTATTCGATACCCTGCACCTTTTCTCCGGTATTCAACGGCGTTACCAAAGAGCTGGTGCGTATCGACTATCTACCTACAGGCACCGAGCACGCTACCGCGGAAACGCAGCCATGGACGCCCGTTCCCGCAGTCGAATACGCCCACGACCTCCTAGGCACCCCCTTGCGCACCGATCTGAAGCCTTACATAGTCCAGCAACCCGAAGGTCCTTCTTTCCAGATCAATGGACAGGTTGTGTCTTGGCAAAAGTGGCGTTTCCGGGTTGGATTCAACTATCGCGATGGCATGGTCCTGTATAACGTCACCTTCGATGGGCGCAATGTTTTCTACAGGCTTTCCGTGTCTGAGTTGACAGTGCCCTATGGCGACCCCCGTGCTCCGTTCCACCGTCGACACCCATTCGATATCGGCGATCTTGGTCTTGGCATCATTTGCAACCAATTGCAGCTCGGCTGCGATTGCTTGGGACACATCAAATACTTCGATGGATTCAGGCCCGACTCTCACGGCGAGGCTGTCTGCATCAAGAACGCAATTTGTCTACACGAACAGGATGCTGGACTCCTATATAAGCACACGAACTACCGTAACAACCAGGCGACGACCGTGCGAAATCGACAGCTAGCAGTTCAGATGATGGTGACCGCCTCAAACTATGAGTACATCTTCGCGTGGATTCTCGATCAGGCAGGTGGCATCGAGCTGGAGGTTCGCGCGACCGGCATTATGTCTACTATTCCTGTCGACGACGCGGGCGGAAGCAGCCTGCCCTGGGCTACCAACGTTGGACCCGGTGTTGCTGCTCCAAACCATCAGCATATCATTGCCGTGCGGATCGACCCAGCAATAGACGGCTTTAACAATACTGTCGTTTACGAGGATAGTGTCCTAATGCCCGACTCCGCTGATGTACCCAATCCTTACGGATGTGGTTATATCGCGAAGACATCGGTCATTGAGAAAAGTGGGCATGCTGACACAAACACTGATACCGCTCGAGTCTTCAAGATACGGAATGACAGTATTTTGAATCGAGTGAGTGGCGCACCAGTTGCTTACAAGGTCCAGACGTTGGCCACTCAGCCTATTATTGCGGCGCCTGGGAGTATCCATCGCAAGCGCACAGGATTTGCAGAGCATGCAGTTTGGGTCACCAAATATCGTGACGGAGAACTCTACGCTGCCGGAGAGTATACAAATCAGAGCTTGGAGAGTGATGGCGTCGAAAATTGGGCAGCCCGCGACGAGGACGTCGTCGACACGGACGTCGTTTTCTGGCATACCTTCAGCCTAACACACAACCCACGCCCAGAAGACTTTCCCGTGATGCCAGCAGAGCGGATAAGCGTACACCTAAAGCCATCTGGTTTCCATGAAAAGAATCCAGCATTGGATGTTCCGCCATCGCACCAATCATTCAATAAGTCGGCCTGCCACCTCTAAGCGTCGAGAATGGAGTCATCGGAAGGACCTAATGAGCACGATCCGGGGACCAAAGGAACAATTTCCTTTTGAGATATTAAGTTTTAAGTCCACAAATTGTAATAGCGTGTTAAATATTGAAGATTAATCTCGGATGTCCCTAACGGGTAAGAGGCGCTTTGTGACTGGACTCGTCGACTGACCAGTACTTTGTGCATGCTGCTTAGTTCTGGTGGGTTTGATACAGATTAAGTAACAAATCTTTCTCGTACAAAGAAGCAAAGAGATAGGTATGTCTCTTTGCTTAGAGTAGGTGGTATCCTCGAATACGAAACTGCATGGCTGTGGCTAGGTCTACAGAAGAGACTGAAGCGGCGCTCTGACTCATATAGCACAGCATTCATAACATAAAAACCATACGTGGTCGTTGCTGGTCATGTAGCCCCCACCGGCATCACGTTCTACCGGGCTACTAACAGGTAAATTATTGTGCCCACGCATCCACATTAGGGGATCCGTTTCATGCGCCAGCCTTACCCGGTCGTTGCAGGCAGTGGCTAGTGGGCACATTGCTGACAGAGACCAACAAACGAGCGGTCAACGGGGAGGCCCGAATGGGCATTTCGTACGTCCAACGGCACGAGGTTTCCGGGGTGTAGAAGCCCAACACATGGGCTCCACATGTGCTCCATCCGTCAATTGTACTCAGGATCTATCCAACACTTATATCTCCAGAATGTCCGCTCTCTTCATGCTCAGACAACTGGGAATCAATTCCGGCAGATCTGAGCTACAATTCGAAAAATGAGTCACATCGCTGAGGGAGGGTCTGCCACCCTCGATAATCCTTTCGGACACAAGCAGGAGTTGAAAAAAAAGTTCGGTTTCTTCTCAATGCTCGGAGTATCGTTTGTTATTATCGGGTGTGTGCTTCACTGACTTGCAAGCGTATGATATAATGCTAATAATACTGAAGTACTTGGACAACCATAGGCTCGTCGATGAATATCGCTTTGCCATCGGGAGGCCCCGTGGCTATGATGTACGGCCTAGTTGTAGCTGGAATTGGGACCCTTGCCGCCGCAATGAGCCTGGCAGAGCTGGCCTCCATATATCCCACGAATGGCGCACAATACGAGTGGACTGCTGCCCTCGCAAGCCCCAAGTATCAGCGGCCGGTAAGCTACGTATGTGGCTGGGTGGTGACCGCATCGTGGTGGGCGCTCGCCGCAGTTGGGCCATCTCTACTCGCAACTCTCGTGATCGCGTTGATTCAACTGTTGAATGAGGGATATGTCTTCCGGAAATGGCATCAATTCTTGGTATTCAGCGCTACTGAGATCACCGCGGGCTTAATTAACGCGTTCGGGACACCATTGCTCCCTTTACTTGGTAAAGGCGCTTGTGCGTTAAGTTTTGTCACCGAACACAAAGGAGTATGGCTGAGAATCAGTTGCCAGTTCTCTTATCAATCGTCGGGTTCACAACAATTTCCGTTGTGGTGGTTGCTGTCACCGCAGGCAGACACCAAAGTGCAAGGCATGCGCGTCATCTCTTTTCTCATGATCAGTGAAGCTAATGTCCGTCTTAGTTTTGTATTTACTGCACTTTTAAATCAGACAGGCTGGAACGATGGTACTGCATGGCTACTGGGGTTGCTGCAGGGCGGATTATCCTTCACTGCCTTTGACGCGTAAGTTTTGCGAGCAGCGCCATGCACAAAAGTTGAGTAGCTAAGACTAGCACCCACGGCAGGGTCGCTCATCTAGTTGAGGAGATGCCACATCCGCGCAGAGACTGTCCACGAACTATGGTTCTTTCCATTGTCCTAGGCCTCATTACGTACGCGCAATTGATAACCAACAAAAGACTTCAAGACCCAAAGCTGATTTTACAAGCGGGCTCATTTTCCAGATATGTGTCCTGTTTTCCGTCCAGGACATTGATGAAATCATTAGCAGCTCTTTTGGGTGAGCTACCAACTCATAATCTCGTCCGTCCTGGTGCTGATAACCCCCCCAGACCGTTCGTCGTGATCCTGGAACAAGCAACTAAGTCTAAAGGGGCTGCAGCTGGAATGACTTGCGTCCTGATTATTATCATCTATTGCTCAATAGCCGAGGTCGTGACGTCTTCATCCAGGCTCACGGCCGCGTTCGCGAGACAAGGAGGTGTTCCATTCTCCTCGACGTATGTTGCGGTATTTATGAAACTGCATGCAGGTACTTATGATTGCTAGATTTGCCCATGTCAACAAGCGGCTGGATTTACCACTAAACTCGATGCTCCTTACCAATTCTATGGTCATAATCTTTGGGCTGATCTATCTTGGAGCCTCAAGGTATTGCATACACACACCCCTGTACCCCTTTTCTCATTCTGACGCCTACTAGTGCGTTTAACGCTATTGTCAGTTCCTGTGTCGTTGGACTCAACATCAGTTACCTTATTCCAATACTGGTTCTCATGGCTCGGGGAAGGGCTATTCTTCCACGCGGCGAATTCTCATTGGGACGGTGGGGCTATCCCGTCAACATTACTGCTTGCCTGTTCCTCACGTTCACGTAAGAATCTCGCGATAACTGGGAGTTCGACTTGATGGCCCTGACGTTGCTTGTTCAGCATTATACTCTTCCTATTGCCGTCAAACCCACATCCAGCTGCAGTGGATATGAACTACGCCGTTGTTGCTGTAGGGATTGTCCTGATCTTTGCAACAGGTACTCGTACTCAACCCCTAAGGCAGTGACAAGGTTCTGATCTCCGCTAGTGTATTGGTGTGTTTACGGACACAGATTTTACGAAACCCCCACGATACATATCGTTGACCTGGTACTTGATGATGGTTTGGTGAAGACAGATAGACAGCTTGACGAGACTAAGCACGAGCCGGCTACCAACACAATTTAGGAAACAAGGCTAAAGGGTGCCTCTAAAGCACATTCTGCTTCCTTTCTATGTCTACTAACCTGACCGCCGTCGCTTCTTTACTCGCCACATCAATGCCACCGACCTATGTTTAGCTACTTATAACTGGTCCAGTTGTGATTTACTTGATAAAACGAGTGTGATAAAACGGTACTATAGAAGGGACATTTATAGCGAATATTACCTCGTTTTCCGTTCTTCCCGATACGGCTTGATAGAATGCATAAGTAAATATGCAGGATTTAGTGGTTTGCAGCACAAGCAAATAAACCAACGAGACCGTGAATAGTTCGTGATGTCCTATCAGCCCACGTATGCTACTTTACTATTTGAGTCCCCAGTCAAGCTATAGTTACCGGAAGGCGCCCTTCTCCGCTCCTTGCCTTCGATAGCGAAGTCTCCGGGATCAAGGCGAGATTCTAGAAGCTGCCAACACACTATCTTGGTTCTTAGCTAGCCAGAAGATCCCAGTTGCATACGTCCAATAAGCCTCTCCAATCATTCCAATCTCGCTGATGGACTCTTCTAGTCCATATCTCTTGCAGGACGAGATGAATCGAATGCATGTTCCCCAACCCGAAGTTAGCAGCAAGCATCTTGACCCGATGTAGCGCCATCCATATCTGGTCGGGGTTATCCGAGATACATGCGCTGAGAAAGAGCAGAGGTAACAGCCCAGGCTCCTCAGGGGATCCAGTGGGGACACATGAGGCCGCTTCCAACCCATCTCCCAACGCAACGGCTTTCTCCATAGGCACGAGGCTGTGCAGGAACGCTGGCTCGGGTGTACCTTGCCTGTAGTCTCTATTGGCTATGTCACTAAGAACCTGACTCAGATACGCAAAGCATATATTCTCGTATGCTGAGGCAACATTTACCAGGTTGGCGACACTAACGGGCGTCAACCCAAGTGGGAGCATGCTGAGCTTTAACCTCCACGTTCTCTGACGCAAGATGGCAAGACTGCAAGTTTTCATGATTAGTAAGAAAGACAATCGGCTACCAAATTCAATAAGGGGGAAGAATAACACTCGAGGTCTATTTACATAAGCTGAATTTCGCCTACTAGTGAGCCGCGCCCACTTATAGAAGTGCGTTGAGACATTGGGAGCATTGATATGCGATGCAGAAGCATTACTAGCTCCCGGGACAACCCCATATATGGATCAATTATATAAATTGGGTTTCCGGGTTCAGTTCCGGGTAATCGATGGCCATGTACTGTTCGGCGATCAGAATGGCCGGTTAGAGTAATGGATGCGATCCCCTCGTGATATTCAAGACTTTTTTCTTAGTCAATGAGCGGCACTCAAGATCAACATAAAGATACTAGCGATAGTGTATTAAACGTACAAGCTTCGTGCGTACACGGCGATCTCGGACGTAGGATATGTGCTGTTTTGCTCCAAGAGATCGCAACAAGATGCTATTCCGGCTAAATGCTGCCGCCAGTTGTGTATGCCATCCTTGATGACTTCGTATTTGCAAAGAAATATCGACGATAGTAGAATAGTCTCGAGAGCTTGCTGTTCGTGATATGATGTGCCATTTTGGAAGCCCGAGACGCCGGGAATGCATGTCTTGAGGCTGCGCAACGCACGCACATAGTACTTCGTTGCCTCAAGCTGCCACCCACAAAAACCGGCTTCAGCGGTGTTTGCACGGTGTTGCGCAGCGGTCGAGCAAATTGCCGGAGGTAAACTAGGGGAGGAGACCAGCAAGGGAATGGCTAGATATAGAAGCGGGTTTCGGGATGTGTGAGCATTGAGAACTAGATAAGATAACCTGTAGAAAAAATATTGGAGGTGCTGCCAGTCCCTTTGAGACAACGATGGCACCTGTTCCGGGTTGGGTCTTAGTGAAACTCTGGGTGGTCGCCTGCAAGACGGACAATCCGACTTTAGACAGCGCGGTTTGTGTGAGAAATGACATGGAGACACGGGGCTGCGCAGTACCCAACGTTGGAAAAAGCGTCTTGATTCATCGATGCTTTTCTCGTTTGTATATGAAACGTGCTCGACATCTTCAGCGGAGCGATTGTCGGAACTGGACGCCCCCGTTGCATGGACGCCCAAGTTCAAGCTGCGCCCTTCGGTTCTCGGCCCCTCTACGAAGCGGAAATTCTCGAATCCCCCGCAGTGTAGCCTTTGTCGAACGCAATTCATACATCTATATGTGAGCGGTCAGAGGATGTGTCTTAGGGAACTTCTCGATCGGCAAGTCAAGCGCTTTAGGAGATATTTCCATACTCGGGCTTCCGTCCGTCGCCTTGTAATCCCAACCGATTAGCAATTATGCGTGGATTGAAATGTTGAAGTCAAAGCCAGTAGATAACGCCTTTTCAGCGTTAAAACTATGCCACTCTTCTTGCGCGCAGCAGACGGGGCTCGGGGATGCCAAACATACTACTGACATTTCTTGTGGCGACGCTTACAGGTCGAGCACCCTGTTCTCGTCCAAGCTGATATTCGCTGCCGCCGACGCATATTGGGATTTCAGGCTTGCTACCTATAGTCGTCCGTAGCGATGCCACGGGAGGTTACAAGCGAACGGTAGCTTCCGACCTTTGCAACCGCGACAAGTGATTGTCAGCTGTGACTGCCATAATCACGTATCGTGTGAGACACGCCGGTTTCTTTTGGTTGCAGGCAATGCAGTGCATAATCAATTTCTGGCGCATTTCCATAACTGCTGGTACTGTACTGTACTTTACCCCGTACGGAGTACTACAATCTACGTTTGCCTGGAGGTTCGGCACAAGCTCTGGCTCGCAAGCATTGCCAACATGCCATGAATCTCACTCTCCGCACTATAGGACGTATCTCGGAGCGCCACGTGTGCGCCGTTGGCTCGGACTTCCCCACTCGGTACCAACCTCAAATCAATATTGATGAGGACGCCAGCGCCTTGTGCTCAATAACAGGTGCGGAAACTTCAGTCACGAGGCCTTAAATTAAAGGCACATAACAGTATTGCACTGTAAACCAGAAGTCCGCCCGAGCGGCTGTCAAGACAGTGCGTGAAAGTCTTTTGAGAGGCTCTCGTGAGGTTTCCATACTTACGGCTGATGTTAGCGGTTAGGCCGGTCCCTACCATCTCGTGTTGGTCGGCGCTCGACTGCAATCAAAGACCTGTGCTCCAAATGCCAAGTGTACGAAGTAGCTTAGGGCTAGCCATATTGAGTAACCCGGGGTTATGGCTCTAAGGGGCAATCTGGAGCTTGACCGTATCTGCCTGGGCCTGTGGAGCACAATTATCGGTTGGGTGGTGCTGTACAGTGCCCACCAAACTTGGGGAACTGCGAGTACGAAGTACAGCACAGCGGGATAGGTAATGGCCAACCACTCGATGACTCTCGCCCTGTATATCCTGTGGACTCCCAGTAAAAAAGCTTTTTCTCTCCTGCCACTACTGTCACTAGAGCTGCCGCAATCGCTGGAATCTGTTCCATAGATAGTCTCATGGGCTGCAAAGAGGGACCTTTGGAGGGACATGACTGGCTCCATCGCACTGCTTCTCTTTCCAGCCCTCCATCGTGCATCAACAGCGGTACTAAGTCTCAGATATTGCGCAATTAGTTTACGAATTTGCCTTTTGGCACCGGGAATAGTCATTAACAATAAGTCGACGGAAATTAAATGATGAACCTGCCATGGATAAGATTACTGATAGATTCCTGTCATGCGCAATACCGCAGGCTAGTATGTGGGCTATTGCTTACTGCATATATGAGCAAGCGTCTACAGCAGCTCTCTGGTGCAAATGTAGAAGGAGCTGTAGCACTAACAGCGACTCATACAGTGAATGAATACTCAGAGGGATAGCCGTAATAACACCTCATCGACGTTCCGGCCGCTCAGTAAACCAGGGGCTCGGTGCTACCATCGAGAGAAAAGAATTTCCCACTTTGTTCCGGACCACACCGATGAATGAACCCAAGACACCGCGAAATCGACTCCTCTGGTTGAAGAGGTGCCTGACATAATGTTAACACCGTTCCTGACGCTCAAGTAGCAGTATAACCTACATGAACACCTTGGCCCTTTCCGGCTAGATCCGTATTGACCCATCCTGGGTTCAGGGATATGAAGGTGAATCCTTTGTGCTTGAATCTAGTAACGTGCCTACGTCAGCGTCCAAGCCTCCGGGCGTGAGTGCAGGGGCTTCTACTCGTTGTGGAACTTGATGTTGGCCATATTGACCGCTGCTTTAGTCACCGAGTACGACGAGTAATGGAGGTCGTCTTTGGCCAGCGCAAAATCGAGGTCGCCCAGAAATGATCCCAGATTGATGACCTTTTTGTCTTCCCCATGCTCCAAAAGTGGCAGCAATGCAATGGTGAAGAAGACGAGGCTTAGAACGTTGATCTTAAACTAGTTTCGGTCCATATTAGCCACAACCCAGGTTTGGACTTGTTCGATGTCGGTCCGAGGCATACCTGCTCCGCCCACTCGTCTGGGGTGGACCGGGAGAGAGCAACTTGGCTCTGTGCTCCAGCTCCAACCATCACGCCCGCATTGCTAGTTGATGTCAGACACTGCGTCGTGTGCCAGCCATCCGGGGATGCGTGTCTTACTTGATCAGGATGTTCACCTTCCCGTTTCCAACTTCGGATATTTTCGCAGCAACGTCCTGATGCCTGTTAGCGGCGGCATTTTAGCCCAAGACGGATCTGGACGTACGGAAAATGACTCGAGGTCCGACAAATCACCCTTTACAACATATACATTCTTCCTGGCGAGTATGCTTGATTGCAATAGTATCTCTGGGTTGCGGACCACTGCGATAACTCGATGGTGGCTGTTGTCACTCAACTGGCGTACAAACTCGAGCTTGATATCATCTGCATCAGTCAATGAGCTGTCTAATCTCAGATTGTACTCACACCTAGGCCGCGAGAGGCGCCTGTAATGACGATGGTCTTTGTTGTGAGCCCAGACATTATGATAGTTGGTCGTGAACTTTGTATTCCCAATTGAGATCTTGTGAATGATTGAGACGGCCTTGAAGCTACTGCCGGCGAACGCTGGCGATATATAGGGAAGTCGAGCCTGTCTCGGGCTGCAGATGAACACGTTATAAATCTGATCTTGAGTCGGCACCCATGATTCCATTCCCGGTTACTAATAACCTTCCCGGCTACCACCCGACATACCCGCATCTCCGCTATTACTTGCGAGGCGGGAAGTTGACTTGCCGCCCCAAAAGCTCAATGACCAACAACGGCAGGGGCGCGACGTACGGGGTCATTAGAATGCGCCTCGTCTCGATTTCCAATCCGTGGCGTCCGTTACTTGGCAATTAAGGTCCGCCCATTGCTCCGTGGCGTTATGTGTGATTACTATTCACTTATTCGGCCTTGCATGTACGCACTCCGTGGCCGACTTGGGCCTAGTCGCCTTCGGCCCCTTCTTACATCTAATAAAGGCATCGTAGACAACAATTCCATGACGTTCTGTGAGGAGAGAAGGGGAATCTTCATTGTCCTGACAGCCTGGCGCCAGCTTTGACGAAGGCATACCAGATGTTGCTCTGCGAACAATCGCGACAATGATGGGCAGTCTTTCCAAAAAGCATCAACGCTACAGGTCACAAGAGAGAGATCAGGGCAATACAAGCGACTTGCGCCAGCCCTCAATAAGGAACAATGCGTGCATCATGTCGATAAGGAGAGCCTGCCTTGAAGGATGGACGGCACATGTACCAGCCCGACCAAGAGCGCAGCGCACCGACTCCGCTGACGACCGGGAAAGGAGGGGCCAAGAAGCCCGCACGAGCATAACACTAGTGGATATCGAGTAAGACCCAGCTACCAGTACGGAGTACGTACTCCGAGGCTTGCCAGGGTCTTCTGGGGAGTGGGCCTAACGCCCCTCACCCTGTCGGATGCCATTCGCTAACTGGGAGTGGACTGGGGAACCTCAGCGTGGGTCATCATGTGTATTCGCCAAGATCCCGTACCTTCAGACCAGCACGCGTACTACTAGGCCTGTCCTACAAGACCCCAGTCCAATATTAAGCATATATGAAATGCTTCACAGTGAGACTTGTCCAGCGGAATTGGCCTCATAAGGTCCTTGTTCGTTCCATATTGCTCACGCCGGGATCAGTAGCTCCGCCAATAATACTTCCAATCAAACACGGCGCCCCAGTCTGTTTTGGTGGTAGTGCAGAGTGCTCACAGTTGATGCCCGGGTTGCATGCACAGCATGAATGCAGCGGATAAGGCGGAGGTATATTAGCCAGCAAATGATGAAAAAGACCGCTTGCCTCGGCGTACTGGCGAACTTCGGCCTTTCCGTTCCGCGTGGCACCGCAGGTTCAGCTCCTGCAGGAAGGGTACCGAAGACCGGAATCACCGGCTGCACCGGGCGACTCACAAAAATCACATATTCCGATCTTCGAGGTTATGATTGACCCCAGCAAAGGTGCCAATTGTACAAACTTAAATTGCCTCACATTCCGCTCATTGAATACAGAAGAGAGGCGTAGAATCACGCATCGCCTCAGCATTAGATCACATCAGGAAATGGGGGGACGCTGTGTCTCGCATTCAGTAAGCATGCATCTGGCCATCTTTCTCTCGCTTGCCGTTCTTTGCTTGATACACGCAGCTTCATCCGTCGAAGCAAGACCAACAACCCCCTCAGTCATTAAGCTCACGAAAATTGACTCGGCCTACTGGCGAGCGACATTTTCGGACCCTCCGCTCAATCTTCAAGGCGACGCATTCTTCCAGGACTTTTACTCCATCGTGGACGAAATTACAAACAATTCAGACGTTAAAGTGGTTGTATTTGACTCGAGCTCTAGAGAGTTCTTTTCAACTCACGTAGACCTGATCAATCCCCTCAGCCACGAATTATGGCCTGGAAATGGTCGCTACTGGGACTGCATCACTCGGCTCGCCAAGGCGCCAGTGCTAACAATCGCGGCAATTAGAGGCAGGGCATACAATGCCGGGGCTGAAATTGCCGCCGCCTTAGATGTTAGGTTTGGTAGCAAAGAACGGGCAGTCTTGGGACAGCTTGAGGTCGGGTTCGGTAAGTGCTAAGTCGCCATATTCCTGGGTCATTTGCTAAGAGCTGGTTCGTTCAGGAGCAAATCCCGGAGGTGGCGGAATCGAAATGCTTTCTCGTCTAACTGGTAGAAGCAGAGCGCTAGAGATTGTGCTCGGCTCCGATGTTATGGACGCTGATACAGCTGCTCTTTATGGATGTAAGTTTGCGATGATGATGCAGAGTTTCGCAGTCTATCTGGGAGCTGCACCAATAGCAGATCAACATGATAAGAGGAATCTAACTACAGTAGGGATCAACCGGGCCATACCAGATGCAAACTTCGAAAAGTTTGTTGATAGCTTTGCACGACGTGTCGCCGGATGGGATCACTTTGCCATAGCAACTGCTAAGACACTTATTAATGAGCGCACCGGCTTTGCCACATCTGAACAACAGCAGGAGAGTTTTATCTCTTTCTTGGCTGCGGCTTCCCAAGGGGCTGTTCCTGTGCGTCTTAAGGCTATGGCACGTGCAGGGATGCAGAAAGACCTACGCTTCGAGACTCGGTTTAGCCAAGAAGAGTTGAGGTTCGTTGGTAACGGGCCGTGGCGTACTTAAGTACTATCTTCACCCAGATACAACACTAATGGGTCCGGCTATATCCATCCCAGTGGTTTCAGTATATTTCTAGATGATACAGGTCACAATAAAGGAGATCTGATTCAACCAACGGACAGATACCTCGTTCTGGAAAACGTTCTGATAAGTGCTTTGGCATGTTTATTCTTTACTTGCTTACCAACACAGGTCTTTCTCCCAGTAGCCTGCCACGGCACGGAAGGTCGCTGCATTAGAGGCTGGCAGACTACCATACAAGTGGTCTCCTCTCATGGGTAGTTCAAGGACGATCTCTCAATCCTATGGTGCTTTGTTGGCAAGTGGATACTGACATACATCACCTGCCTCCTTGTAACTGTTAGCGAGCGCATACGACATATTAACAGATTTGGCTTTCCATACTATCGTCAAAACCCTCACTGTCTACTTGCCAACCCTGCCGCAACTATCACAGCCCGATTGACATCTTTACGCCTCGCACCCGGCGTCCGGCCGAGACACACAGACTTGCTGATCATCTCTATCGCCCATTAGCCTCGCGCAATAAAGCAGTTATATGTATCTCGTATTACCGTTCAATAGAGCATCCACATCAATACTGACTTTGATGCCCGATGATGTTGCTGGGGGCGGCCACAGCGCGTCAGATGCCGGTGTTCCGAGACAACCTCCCATATCATCATAGATGTCGGTTGGATATCTGGAACTCTGAGACGAAGTAGCTTCCATGTGTGCCGTGGCCCGGCTTTCGAATTGCTGTTGTCGATAGTGAAGCAGTCTGAGGCTATTGTAACTCGTGGATTCGAACGTGGCCTGGCTGTTGAGACAGAGATGGTCGGAAGTGGATGCAGGTATGCTCGTGTCCTCGAAGATGGTACCTTCGCCTGATAACGCGATTGTAGCTGGCATAAAATCATCGAGTAGGCCCTCGACGTTTATTTCCGCCTCCACAAAATCGACTGCTGGAGGTATCACGATGCCAAGGTGACGCAGATACGTTTCAACTTCGTCAGGGTCAAAAAAGTCCCCCTCAAACCCCGGTGACAGCATTCGCATACGATGATCCAGTTTCTCCTTGCGAGCAACTTCAAAGTCCTCACTAAAGGGGCCCATAGTGAAACCGGTCATCATTGAAGGCTTGCCATACTCGCGTGTGTGCTGGTTTCCAATGAGTAAATCTCGATGCTCGGGCACGGAGTATTTGCCTGAGCTGATACCGCTCATCATATTTGGTAGGAACGTACCCGCACCTCCTAGGTTAGTGAATGGATGATGCCAGTAGTGAAGGCTCTCCTCCCTAGATCGGCTGACTTGTTGACTTAGACGGTGAATAATGGTATCCCGGGATTCGAAAAAAAGGCAAAAGCCAAAAACGGCAGCGTATCGATCCGGCGGCGGGCTGGCCATAGAAATCAATCGCAGGCCCCTTTCTATGTTTGCTCTCTGAAGCCGACGGCCGAACGTAGTCTCGTGGGCGCAGTATGTGGCCGGAGAAGGTAGAGGAGTCATGGGGACATAGCTGACCGTATGCGCTACGCCTGGCAGAAAAGTTCGATCTGTCGAAGTGTGGAAGGGGAAGCTAGAAGCGCTGGGAATAGATGGTGTGACGACCGTACACGATGGTGAAGCCAAGTGCGCGTCTGGCACTGGTACAGAGCTGGTCGCTGAGTCCCTGAGCGAAAACAACCCTTAGAGAATAACATCAGTCCCAACAGCTCCCTTGTACGATATCGTATCGCCCAGCTACTGGTTCGCAGCTAATGTCAAAAGAACGACTGACCCTGCTGATCCATAGGCTGTGATACAATGCTGCTAGCCGAGCTGTCTTGCCCAGTCAACGCAAGCATGGAATTATCCAGGAGTGATCTGACACGGAAGTCAAGTTGAGGAGCAAAGGAGAACACGCCCTCTGATGTAAAAAGACTGTGGAACTCCTCAATGCCTGTGATTAAGGCTTCGTTAGCCTTTCGGAGGCTCTGAACCTTGTTTTCCAAGGACGATATGGCAGTGTCTTTGCGATGACGGTAAGCTCTTTGAGCAAGTCTAATTTGAGCTCGCCGGCGATCCCTCGCGGTGCTTTCATCCCGGATATCAAGCCTCGGTCGACCCCTAGGCCTTTTCTTGCGGAATGAGCCCTCGTCATCAAAGTTGGCGTCAGGGTTGGAGTGTGTTGCAGGTCGGAAGCGCTGGCTTGGATCGACGGCGAGGTCAGCAGTCTGAAAGGCGTCATTCCGACTGCCAGGCAGTTTTATCTTGTCTGGTCCCATATCATTACCCGTTACGACAACTTGAGTGGATACCTCGCCCGCTGAGTCTTCTGTGGGCTTAATCGAAGTCTGATGTTCGCCATGCCAGTCAAAGGCCGAGACTCGGGGCACATCTCGGACAACCATTGGGTCGTGTGAGCGAGTAATTTGACATGCAGCCGACGCGTGACTTAATCCAGCATGAGCCGAGAGATGCCAATTGGTTTGTGCGTTATGCTCCAATCGTGACAAGTCTCGCGCTGCAGCTCGGCGTGGTCCTGAGGGGGTTCATATGGTTAGTCCTAAGAGGTTGATGTACCGCAGCTCGGCGTGGTAGAGTATGAGGGCGATCAGACTGAGGCGAGGAGGATTTTGAAAACGCTGCTGCTCGTTGATTGCATGAATTCTCGACCTGGTCGTTGGTTGGCCTGTAGCTGTGATTCAACGGTGAGATTGGGCTGGCTTTCAGGTACACCAGAAACGGCCCCTCTTCGTCGCCTCAATACGCACAACTGCCTTGAGCCGTGCCTTAAGTCGACACAGCAGAATTGTGACGAATACCAACAGCACGCCAGGCCTCAAGGATGCACACTCGGGGATGCAGAGGGAAATCTGAGCACGGGGAGGGAATTCCGTCCCGGAGACATCCCATGAGAGTGCTGCAGCAAACCATCCCTGTCTCTGAGAATCTTGAGGGCACTAACACCAATAGCGTCAGCAGGCGACGCATATGGCAGGGCAGGACCGCCGGTCGTAACCGAGAACAATCAGCCAGCTGTGGAAAAGGCAAGGGCCGCTGGGGCCGACCAGGTGGTTGAAGGTTCAGGGTGGCATTTGACATGGGGCCAAAGAAAGCGAGCAATTCCACCAACCCGGTTCAGCAATTCCTCATCTCGGGTCGCACTGATTGACGGCAAAATGCCGGAAAAGCCACCCCGGCTTCTGGGCTGACACGCGAGGGGCGCGTGCCACAGAAAGGCGTGAACGCCACCCCCGCTTTCGTGTTCCTGTACTTTGACTGCATGTTCATCCAACGTCGAGAGAACACCAGAAGTGTGGCCCTGCGGCGGCTGTTTCCTACCACATCAACATCGAACCAGCCCCTTTGCCTTGAGGATGTGAGGGCTCTGTTCCGGAAGTTCGGCCGGGGGTTCCATCAATTCCCGATGCCTCTTGGGACTGCACGTCGCTTTCGTAGGAGACTCATGGGGCTGGTACTTCGTAGGTTGTCTTGTGCAACACGCTGCACAGCGACCTGAAGTGAGCCAGACCACAGGCATGCCAGCCCAACGAGGTGATTGCCATTTGTTACTCACTGATGAGCATTACGAATGGCCGGTCCAGATTGCGGCGAATGATACAATGCTGCAAACAGCGATTTCACGTGCTGTACGTACGGACTCTGGAAATCTGCTGGCTAGCACCCGTCGAACCAAGTACAAGGGTCGCAGGTACATTTCTCCCAGTCTGACCCCTGGGGCCAACGGCCGCCGGCCAAGCATGCAGACGCAGTGCGACTGCGTTACCTTTAAAAAGTGGAGCATGTTTCCCGCTCGGGAGTCGGGGGACAAACAAGACAAACACAAGGATGACTTCACTCATGGATACGAATTAATACGGCCGGTCACATCTCGACGCCACCACCAAGGCAACAGCGCCAAGCTTACTGGGGCTTCATTACATGTCCTGGGTTTATAAATGGAGGTCGCTCACGACCTGTCATCATGGCGGCATGAGACGAACTGCCCAGTCCATCTTCTTGCCGATCGCCAAGAGCAGCTTGCACTCGAACGCACCCTCAGCCCAGTCTCTCTCAACTATGCCTCGCTTCATGTTTCTCATCAAGGCCGATCCGATGGCTGAGTCCACGGAGACGGACATCCCAACCGAAGTGTTTGCAACAATGGCCAAGTTCAACGAAGACATGGCCGAGGCGGGGGTTCTCCTGTTCGCCGATGGATTCCGTCCGACTGCCGTGGACGGGTACCGCGTCAAGTTTAACGCCACTACCACGCCTGATATCATCAAGGGCCCTTTCGACGTATCCAAAGAGAACCACGTGTGTGGATTTTGGGTTGTTCAAACTACGGACGCAGAGGAGGCCCTGGCTTGGGCTAAAAGGGTACCATTTCCAGAGGGAGAGATCGTGGTTCGCCGCATTGGAGACTCCACAGACTTTGGCAAGAGTTTCACCAAGGATCTGCTTGAACGGGAGGAGAAGCTACGCGGAATGTTAGTCAACAACAGGAAGGCTGCTGGGGTGTAACCCTGCGGTATATGATACGTTGGCTCGTTCTGACGGTCGACTACGATGCCCATAATGGAAATACAAGAGCAATCTCATCCAATCTAGTGTGGTCTTTCATCGGATGTCAGAGTCTGATGCGATATGGGAAATAGCGAGCTTGGTCTGTCACCGCTAGAAGGGCTAATGAAGGAGGTTGAAAATTACGCTTGAACGCCTAGCCAGTGTATAGACTGCTCGGTGGTCTACAGTCCTTCGCCTACAGCTTATGCTAGCCTCTAGTAGCAGTAGCAGGGAGTCTGAGCTGATACGACATGAGGGATAAGCGTTGGCTCGCCAGCCGGACTCTTGCTTCCGCTTTCCCGGTAGGGCAGCATAGTAATAAGATAACCAGGGCGCTTCCACCAAAACGATCAACTTGGCCTGGCCAATTGTATAGTAGCCCTCGCAAGTGTCCCTCGTTCTGTCTGCACTCATGCAGCCACGCGAGGCCCCCGCCAAACAGCGCACCCGCTGTGACCCGACTACCGGCATTCTGATTTCATCTCACTAGGGCCAGCAGATCAGTAGGACGAAGGGAGAATGTTCCACGCTTGCTCGTCCTCGAGATTGGCGAAGTTGCGGGGTACGGAGATATGCAGTTAATACGTGGGATGGACGACAGGACTGGTGACAGTCCTTGTAAGAGTGATCAGTAGCTAAACACAATCGGTTCCACCAGGGTAACGGGTGTCCCGATCAGTTCGGAATAGCCGACGCGTTCTGGATCCACCTCGGAACAATGCCCGGAGGTTGGAATCCGGGGCGACTGCCCACTGGCCAATAAAGGCAATGAGCGGTCTGAAAGTACCCAGAATTCCATTGTTTCAGGGCCAATAGGTGCGCTCTGGGGTAAAATCCGGGGTTAAATTGGTGTGCCGATAACTGGCTATCGGGGTTGCAGTTGCGGAGCAGGCGAGGCAACGTTCCAAGTAGAATCTCGACGCGGAGAAGTCAATGCGTCCCCGCCAGTCCCTGGGTCGCTATATAAGGAACAGGAGTAAACGGCGTGCTCAACCCCTTGTCTCTTACAGCAGCTTATTTACGAACTCTGGAACATGGCCGCAACAACGCATTCTGCTGGGAATCCAGCCCCCGACTTTGACGAAACAGAAAAGCAAGGAATCCACCTATATGGTTCGGCATCAACGCTCGATCCGACCGTTGTCAAGCGGCTGAAGCTCAAGGCGGATCTGATTCTGCTTCCGTTATTGACCCTCGCATACCTCTTCAAGTTGGTCGGCCCGTGATCCTTTTAGCCAATGCGCACTGCATGGCCCCCTACTGTTGTAGATATTGACTGTAGCGAAGCTCCCTTGATCGCAGCAGCGTCTCCAACGCGCATACTGCGGGCCTTGAAGAAGATCTTGGTCTCGTCGGCAACCAGTTCAACCAAGTCTTGACTTTTTATCAGATCCCCTTCATCGTGCTCGGGCCAGCGGTCACGTTGCTCACAAAATGGCTTGGCGCCCGTTGGACAATTCCCGGAATGCTACTTGTATTCGGCTGTGCTTCTTTGGCCAGTGGCTTCTCAAAGAGCTTCAGGGATATTGTGATCTGCCGCGTGTTTGTCGGAGCGTTCGAATCGGGGTTTTTGGCGTCGTGAGTCGCCCGAATCCGCGGCATTCTCGGACGTCTTGAACAAGAGCTCACAAAACGCGCGCCTAGGGTTATCTACTATCTGTCCATTTGGTACACTAGGGCCGAGCTTGCCACTCGAATCGGCATCTTCTACGCAGCGCTTGTCTCGTCTTCGGCGTTTGGCGGTCTCCTCGCCTATGCAGTGTTTCACATCAAGAGTGGCGCTTACCCGAGCTGGGCATACCTGTTCTTTCTTGAAGGCGGCCTGACAGTGGTTTGGTCGTTCGTTTTGTTTGCTTTACTCCCTTTCGGCGTCAACTCGGCCTGGTTCCTCACCGAGGAAGAAAAGGCTACGGCATGCGCTCGTCTCGAGCAGGACTCCGTTACCACCCTCGAGGGCGGCTTTAGCTGGCGGGAAGCGTTGGGGGAATTTCGGACAGCTCACGGATATATACGTGTGCTTTTGGGATTTACGTCCGGCGTAATAACAACATCAAACGCAAACTTTTTAGCCATGATTGTCAAGAGGCTTCAGTTCAGCGTCATAAAGACTAACCTGGTATGTACACAGATGGCGGATCTGCCACACCACGAGCGTTTTAAGAGACTGACTATCCCAGTACACCGTCGCTCCAGCACTCACTGGAGCCGTGCTCCTCATATGCTGGTGTAGGTCCTCAGATCACTTCCGAGAACGGGGCGGTCACATTACCGCCTCTACAGCAGTCAGTCTTACTGGGTATATTATCCTCCTCACCATCAATACATCAAACACAGCTGTGCTGTATTTTGCAATGTTCTTATGCACGATTGGTGTAAGTTTTGCCCGCAAGCGCCAAGAGAGTTCAAAACATGAACTGACAGTCCATAGGCGTACCCAACCGATATCATTGGATCTGCATGGACCGTGGTAAACATTCCAAACCTAAACGCCCGCGCGATGATGAGTGGATTGTACACCTCCATCGGAAACTGCGGCGGTATTCTCTCCAGCAATATATATCGCAGCAACGAGGCGCCACGATATGTTACAAGCCTTACGACGAATGTTTCGATGTGTGCCGTCGTTATCAGTGGTAACTTGGCATACTCGCTGTGGATGAGGTGGGAGAATAGACGGCGTGACCGAAGGCAGGGCGGAGGTGTGATGGGCGATTACTCGACTGAAGGGGTTACCAGCACACGAGACCCACGGTTCAGGTTCCAAGCATGAGAGGGGAACTTGAGAGCACATTGCTGGGACCGCAAGCCTTTATTTAAGACGGATCAAAGATGGCTTGGCTGAAGTGGGTGATGCAGGCAAAATGGCTCTCAATAGCAGCATCATATTTCCGTCAGCATGATATCAAAGTGCCTAGAGAGTGCATATGCCGTGACCGCCATGAAGAAATTAGATCCTTCCTGTTCATCACATGCTAGTTGACATCATGGGCGTTCATCTTGCCTCGGGGAGCAGTGCGTGTCTGGATATTGACCTTGAAGTTCATCGGCTTCACGAACCAGAGGTTCCTTGTGATCCATTCCCGTGACTTTAACGTCTCATCCAATGAGAACTCAAAGTCCCGCAAAATGCGAGGAAGTAGCTTAGACATCTCCAGCACGGAAACGTGACGGCCAATGCACGTCCTGGAACCCAAGCCGAACTAAGCGAGTACTTAGTACATCATAGGGTAGAAAGTTTGGGACATTCGTACCGGTATCCAGTGGCGGTTCATGCGAGACAGGATCTCGGTGTCTTCCGTCAGCCATCTTCCAGGCTCAAATACATCGGCGTCTTGTCCGAAGATGCGGCGGTCGCGGTGTACCACCCACGTATTGACCCCAACAATCGACTAAGAGTTCAGTTAGAAAGCGACAGAAAGAGGGCCCAGTGATCTTACTCCTTCGGGGAAAAATGTGTCCAGTATCTCCACTCCCCCTTCCGGAACTACACGCTCTAGTGGCAAGCCCGTGGCCGGATGCATTCGAAGGGCTTCCTTGATCACAGCCTGAAGGTAGGGCATTTGCTGGGTCTCCTTGAAGCTCGGTATCTTCGACAACTCTCCTCGAGCTGTACAACTGTCGATCTCATCTTGCAGCTTTGCCATGGTCGCAGGATTCCTCAACAGGCAGTAGAGAACCGCGGAGAGACTGATCGCGGTAGTATCTGAGCCGGCGACCATGTTGGAAGTACAGCCGGCGAGAATATGATACGCAGTAAATGTGTCAGGGCTGGCAGCATGTTTCGCGAGAAACTTGGCCAGGAAGTTCTCCGCCACGACTTGGGTTTCAGCCAGAATTGGCTGAGGCTTGGTTTGTGCCTCTCGAATCCGCTCTCTTGTAAATTGTAGCACGTAAGCCCTTCCGGCGCCCTTGGCACCTGCCCAATAATTCATCAAGCGGAAGAGACGTTTATGCAAGCCGGAATAGATTCCGACGAGGGTCGCGTAGCCCAGGTGGTTCTCCAGGGCAGCAATAACGCCTCCGATGTCATGTCCGCTATCCAGGAAGCCGAGGCGCTTGCCATATGTAATCATTCCAATGACATCAAATGCATAGCATTGAAACCAGTGCCCGAGATCGATGGGACAGTTGGCTTTCATCATCTCCTCGAATCGGAGGGCTAGCAAGTCCGAGCACGTGTCTACAAGCGGCTCATAATTGACTAACGCCGACATGGCGTAGGTTGCCTGGTAGAGTCTCCGATTATTCGCATGACGTTGGACCGATTGATCGCTGAAGAGTGACCATTGCCCTGGGCTAGCCCAAGTCGAGTACCAGGAAGACTTTTGGCACGAATTCCCGAGGCTGTATATCACCTTGTTCACGGCCTCGAAGTCGCTGAAGCTGTAGCGATTGGGCCCGTATCGGACGATTTTACCTGCCGAGACCATCCTTAGTATGTCTTCCTGGCCTTCTAGAATGGGCTCAGAGTACCGTGCTTATCGTGCAGATGCAAGTTTACCTGCTCAAAGGAGCCTTTTTGGACCGTCCATAAATACCACAGATCGGTGAGTCTGGCCAGAAAAGGGCCAGGAACGGCCCGCAGTGGAGAGTGGCAAAGTTTCCACAGGCGTCTGAGAAACTGGACGGCTGCGAGAGCAGACCCAACGACGATAAAGAGATGCAAGTTCATCGCGGCGTGACGACATGGAGGCCGTCCAAGCTTGATGGCACACTGAACGGATGCGTGCACAACCATCGGCGGTGTTGTTTCGATCTCAAATACGGCAACTCCGCACTTGCGGCTTGCAGTGCCGAGCACGACCAAATGTGGGTTGGCAAGCGGGAGGGATCCAAGCACGAGGGAACAGGAGTTGATGAGTGCGGGGTCGCACTCGGGCCACCGTCCAGTGTCAGCGGCCCGTCTTGTTGCAGGCGAATTTTTTTGCCATTGATGACGCCCAGTGCCTGCAGCCTGTGGGTTGACTTCACGTTACAGCGCTGGAACAGAAGCGAGTTGCCCTCCCGGCGTGGACCACGAGCGCGCCACTGCTCATTGCTATTACCATGGGCATGGACAAAAACAAAACCCAATTCTGTGCTCGGCGGTCGTTCTCCAGTACAACAACAATCGCCATTTCGTGCTGTCTCTTGGGCATGTGTCTCAAGAGCCACCACCGGCACTGGCACGGATAAAAGCCTGGAACTCATCCCTGTTCCTTGTCTGCACGTATACGGACCCGGGGCCAGTGAAGCGGCACACCAGGCCCTCGCCCGTCTTGAGGCTGCCCATGGTTCCGCCGCCCGCCTTCTCAATCCTGTAGTCGCAGCTCCAAGCAACAAGATGACCATTGTCGACGATGTGTTGCTCGCCGGGTTGAAGCTGTGCAAGAGTAAGCAAAAAGAGGCGGGGCAGCGCAGGGGAGCACAGTTGGACTTACGTCGAGCCGGTCCACCGCGCCGAAACTCGTAAGCCAAATGATTCCCTGGCCCGCAACACGGTAGACAAACAGGTCTTCGCCGGAGAACAAGGCCTTACTGAGGCCCTGGGCCTTGGCCTCCTTGCTGACGTCGGCGGTGCAGGCCAGGAACGCGTCTTTGCCAATGGTCCAGGACTGGCGTCCATCGAGGTGCAGCGTGATAATGTCGCCAAAGAGGGTTGGACCCAGCGCAAGTCGTCCGGGCCCCGCATACGTCGACTCGGCCATGTCGCTGCCCGTCAGGAGCTTCTTCATGGAGAACTTGACCTTGCCCGTCAGCTGGATGCTGCCCGCCATGTGGATCATGGCGCCAGACTTGGAGCGCACGACAGCGCCGGGCTGGAGCGTCACGCCGAGCACCGCATTGGTGTCGCGGTGGGTGATGCTGTAGGTGCCGCCGTGGAAGGCGCCGTTGTCGGTCGGCGCGGGGGGCTGTTGCGGAAGATGCTGCCCGCCCGCTTGAGCAACGTTGCCGAACTGCTGGTGCTGCTGCTGGTGTTGAGGTGGTGGCTGCTGCAGCGGTTGCTGCTGTGGGGCGTGTGGGGGAGGAGGATAGTGCTGTTGCTGCTGGTGCGGGTGCTGGACCTGCTGCTGGTGCTGTTGAGGCACGTATCCCGGCTGCTGGTAAGACATGGTGACGGCCTGGGCGGGACGGAGACAGAGCGCGGGAGAGGATGGAACGCAGCAATATTCCGAAGCCTCCTTCCCGCCTTCTTCAACCAGCTTTTAAAGAAAAGCACCCGTCTGAAGCACAGAGCGACGCGATTCAGCCCCAGCCCCGCCAGGGGGGCCGAGGAGGATGGGAACGAGTATTCGCTCAGGCTAGTAGTCGATCATGGCTGGCATCCATCATGGCGGCATCAATGTCGGCTCCTCAGACGGGCGCGAGAACGCCTCTGGATCAGCCCTGTTGGTCAGATTCGGTGAGCACAGCCACCACAGGACGGCCCAGGAGCCAGCACCCTGGCAGAGGCCCACGGGCCACGAGCGTCAGCTCGCCCGCGGCCCCAGCGTTCTGCGTCCAGCTCGGCGCGCCCCGCGTCACGTATTCCTCGCACTCGATTCCCAAGATCAAGCTCGTCGCAACCCGGCAGACAAGGGCAGAAATGATGGATGCCGAGCAACATTTATGCTTAAAAGTTCCGACGCACAGCGCCCGGGCCTTGGGCTTGAATGCCAGTGCTCCGATGGCAGATGGAATGGCGCCTCCGCGGCTGAGGCTCGAGACGAAGGCACGGGGCAACTTCCGGCCGTCTTACGGCTCTCTCCTTGGAGCGACCATCTGCAGTTCGACCATTTCGACCCCTGGCCCTGATGAGGCACGTGTGCACACATCGCACACCATCAGTCAGCCCTATGGGTACTTGCCATGCACCATGTCTCACTCTGGAAACTTGAAGCCATTTGCAGGAGGGCACTGATCAAGGATGCACATGCTCCAGGCTCGACCGGAAGTAGGTCGGCTCTGGCTGCTTTCCTTCCTTACGTGAGCCACGAGGCACCCAAGCAGGCGCCACACCGGTCGACGGGACCATCCGTCTACAGCCACGCCACCAGGTTGAGGGCAGCCCTGCGTCAAAGTCGACTTGGTCGAGCCCGCGGGAAGGCGGGGAAGAGGACACACCTCGTATATCGGTGGCATTGAAGATGGCCGCCCAGCTTGCACAGCTCGCGACTACATTGCTTCAGGGCTCAGCTCACGGGTGGGGGTTTGCAGAACAACGGCGCTCAAAATATGAATGTAAACACAAAGCTCACGCGATGCAGCCGGGCGTTTGGCAATCTCAGAGCATCGCTCTCCGAAACACATGTCGCAGGTGACTGGTGGAATCCTAACGTTAGCCCGGCTGCAGCGAGCGTTGTCAACTCGTCACCTGTGTCAGGGACCTCAGAGGCCGATCATAGCGGTGCACCGTCGCCTGCAGGGTGCTACTGGGCCCTGGCCATGCATAAGTGAAGCAGTGCCCGACGGATATTTGGCCAGGATCGGCGAATTTAATTGCCCACCACTAAAAAGAGCGCGACCGACTTCTTGTTGGCATTTGGCAAGACGAACCTACAGCATGTAGTCATCACACTGCGTCTATGGAGCACTGTAACGCGAAATGCATCGCTCTCATAAGGTGAACATCTCATCAATTCTCCAGCAGCGATGTCCCAAGTACATCCCTGCCGTCTGTCCGTCGGTGCCGCCATCTGCCAGCCGCCGTCACCATTTTTGACGAGGCTTCAGTTAAATACGAAGGTACAGCGCGTACTTCTCCTCCATGATCATGAATTTGTGTCTTTTTAAAGGTCAGGTGGTGCCAGACCATTTACCAGAGATAGATATGGAGTGGCAAGCCTGTACCGAGGGGGATTGTGAGCCTCGCCGCGTACTCGTCGTGGAACCACTTTCAAGGTATAGGGTACCCGTTATTGCCAGCCTCATGAACATGGAACGCTGGTTCGTTTCTACACAGCACCCTCTTTGGCTCTGCTGATGCGACCAGAAGCTACCCAATCGCTTGAGACGCCGAGTGGTATTAGCACGGGACTAGCAACGTCTTCGTTCACTAACTGTCCCAACCGAGAGGACTCGGTTGCAAGCCAAATGGCTGGAACCCCTCAGCCTAAAAAAATGAACTGAGACTACTACGTCTTGATTGGCGGCGGGAAGCAAGTGTCCTGCCTGTCTTCTGGCGCATTGTCCCTTCCGTCGGATGTTAGTTACTCTCTGGCAAGGAGCCCGACTCCGCGGCTAAGTAGGGTACAACGAGGTCCGCGGTAAGTTGGGACGCTGACAAGGTATATAAATCATCAGGCCGTCCCCTCAAGAGAATAAGGTTGTCTTTCAAGATGGTTACAAAAACAACACACCTCTGAGTCATGTTCAACCTTTTGTCTCTAAGTGCCGTATTTCTGGCGATTATACAGGTTCCTGCCAGTGAGAGCAAGTCGCTCTGGTCTTCGCACCCAGCTATATATCGTACTGGAAACGATTCTGTTCTCAAGACAGGGTATCCCGTTGGCAATGGCAAACTTGGTGGTGAGCATCAATGTCCTGTACAGTCAGCTACAGCTAAACAAAAGCGCAGGCGTTCAGTTTGGTAGTCCGGGTGCAGACAAGGTCGTGATGAACATCGACTCGCTGTGGATTGGTGGACCGTTTGAGAACTCGGTACGCAAGCGGCTTAGAAGATCCCCCCATTAACCGGGTATCATGACAATAATGACTCTGGCTTTATAACAAAGAGCTACACGGGGGGCAATCCCCTCACAGACAAGTCTGCCTTTCTGCCTGGAATTCGAGAATTCATCTTCAAAAACGGTACCGGCGGTAAGGAATCAAGCCCCAAGTGCTCTTCATAACTGCTAAGGCGTCTTAGATGTGTCACCCCTATTTGGTAACATCGAGAACTTTGGCTCAAATCGCGTAATGGGAAATTTCAGCGTTGAAATAGACCATGGCAACAGGTACGACAGCTATCGACGAGAACTCGACCTTCATACAGGACTTCACACGACCTCGTACCGAGTAAAGGGTGTTACTTTCAAGACAACACTGTTCTGCTCCAACCCAGCGAATGTCTGTGTCTATCACATTTCCTCCAGCCGGGATCTGCCAGGGATCCAGTTACAGTTCGAGAATCAGGCTGTTCCTGAGCTCGGCACGGCGATGTGTGGACGCGGATTCACCAGGTACAGAGGTATCACCCAGATCGGCCCACCGGAAGGCATGAAGTACGAAGCCATGGCCAGAGTCATTGGCAGTATCAAAACGCAATGTACAAATAAAGGCCACCTCGTGATTCCGGAATCCGCCCGAATCAAGGAATTGACGATCGTATTTGGCGGCGAGACTAACTATGATGCGACTAAGGGCAATTCTGCCAGCGGCTACAGCTTCAAGGGGGCTGACCCCGGGCCGATAGTGAAATCAACAACAGCAACGGCTGCAGATTCCTCCTTTACCCGCCTTCTTCAGCACCATATATCGGACTTCCGATCTCTGTCTGGTGCATTCGAGCTAGTTCTGCCTGACCCTCACAAGTCTGAGAAAGCGGAAACAGCTACAGCAATCTCCCGCTACGCTGCGATGGGAAGCGCGGGCGACCCATTCATAGAAAGCCTATTGTTCGACTTGTCTCGATACTTGCTTATCAGCTCCTCTCGACCAAACTCACTACCGGCAAATCTCCAGGGCCGCTGGGTCGACAAGATGAATGCTGAATGGGGAGCCGACTACCATGCAAACATAAACTTGCAGATGAGCTATTGGGTTGCGGATCAAACGGGCCTCGGAAGCACCTTGACCGCTGTTTGGAACTTTATGCGAGACACGTGGATTCCTAGGGGCAGAGAGACGGCGAAATTGCTCTATAATGCTCCTGGCTGGACCTCACATCATGCCACAAACATCTTTGGCCATACAGGCATGAAGAATACGGCTCGTTGGTCTAATTGTAAGCGGCCACGTCTTATCGTTTGATCACAGCTGACGGCTGCCAGACCCCGCTGCTCCTGCGTGGATGATGCAGCATGTGTGGGACTACTTCGAATACACCCAGGATACGACATGGCTGCGCAGTACGGGCTACCCGTTTCTGAAAGAGGTTGCGCAGTTCTGGCTGTCGCAGTTGCAGAACGATGGTTACAACGGCGACGGCAGCTTAGTGGTCAATCCCTGCAACAGTCCGGAACATGGACCGACCACGTTCGCATGCACCCATTTTCAACAGCTTATCCACCAGGTGTTTGAAGCTCTTTTGAATGCCGTTGATCACACGAAGAATCCCTCATGTGGGATGGGGGCGGAAGTTTCCAAAGCATTACCCAAACTCGACAAGGGTTTACACTTCACTAGCTGGGGCGGCGTCAAGGAGTGGAAACTCCGTGATGCCGAGGGCTACGACGACAAAAACACGCATCGCCATCTGTCCCATCTTGTCGGATGGTTCCCCGGCTACTCAATCTCGTCTTTCCAAAATGGTTATCGAAATGCAACAATCCAGGACGCCATAAGAGCCACGTTGATAGCAAGGGGGACAGGAACGGACGACCAAAACACTGGCTGGGGGAAGGCGTGGCGCGCTGCATGCTGGGCGCGCCTTAACGACACTGCGATGGCGCATTCTGAACTTCGTCTGCTCGTCGCCGAAAACTTCGCGAGCAATGGATTGGATATGTACAGCGGTCACACACCCCCTTTCCAGATTGATGCCAATTTTGGCTTCGGTGGAGCCATTTTGAGCATGCTGGTCGTCGATCTGCCCTTGTCATACAAAGATAGGAGCCAAGTGAGAACTGTTGTCCTCGGTCCGGCGATCCCCCGAAGCTGGGCAGGTGGCAGTGTCAAGAGCCTGAGGCTGCGTGGAGGTGGTCTGGTGGACTTCACATGGGACTCGCGAGGCAAGGTCACGAAGGCGCGACTTCGCGGCAACATCAAACCCCTGAAGTTGGTCAATGTTGACGGCAGGCCGCTCAACTAGCGAGAGCCGTGTTCATATGTAGAGACCATGCTTGTCATGACCCCGACTCAATGAGATAGTCCCGATCTTTTCCCCATGATATGACCGGTGCCGGCTTGTGATGAGCCATGGGTCCTGATCAGGAGTCCACTGAGCATGAGGGAGACATGTGATGGTATAGGGGTATGGTATCCTGGCCATAGTGACCTACGAAGAAGCAGTACCCAGCGAATATTACCCTGGCAACAAGCTGCCGCTCCCTGAATATACGCGACTACTTTATGAGAAGTCCAGACCTGATGTCACCCCATTTTGCCGCATACAAGTCTGCCGTGTAGTGAGTTCTGGGCCTCCATGGTCCTGTACCGGCCTTCGGAAGGGCCCTGTTGATGTTTTTCAGGTATGTCGCTGACAGGCTAAGCAACGGCTTGACTTCCATCTTCTCTGGGTTCTCGAGGTGTGGCACCGCGACCGTAGCATTGTTATCGCGCAGCTCCCACATCAGGCGCGTTAGAAGATGCGCCGCGCAGTCGGCACCAAGCGTCCAGGAGGCGTTTTCGTATCCGACACAGAACACAACATTGGGAAGGTCCTGAATCATGGAGGACTTCCAGATGAATCCTTGGGTGGGGTCCAGATGCTTGCCGTCCACCGAAAACCGAACGCCGCCGGCAAACTTGAGCTTGAGACCCGTAGCTGTGACGATTACATCTGGTCGGATGACTTCACCAGAATTCAGCTTGATGCTATCTTCCGTGACGGTAGCGATCGTATCCGTAACCACGCTGGCTTTGCCGGAGCGCAGCGCTGCGAAGAAATCTCCGTCCATAGACGCGCAAAGTCGCTGCTCCCAAGGGTTGTATCGTGGAGTAAAATGAGGGTCGCAGGGGATGTCGGGCGGGAGCAGCTTCTTGTTCACTGCCCGAATGAGTCTCTTGGCCAAGCCCGGAAATGTCCTGCAGGCAGCGATCATGAGATAGCCCTGTATGATCCATAACAGTCTATTCGCCAGCTGAGCCATGCGAGACGGCATCAATGCGAACACGAAGGAGGTGAGTTTCGGGTGTTGAGGCAACGGAAATATATAAGTCGGACTCCTCTGCAACATGGTGACATGCTTGACCTTGTCCGCCACGGATGGTACAATAGTTACGGCAGTAGCTCCGCTGCCGATAACAACCATCTCCTTGTTGGTGTAGTTGTAGTCTTCTGGCCAAAACTGCGGATGAATGACCTTCCCCTTGAAATCCTTGATTCCCGGGATGACTGTTTCCAACGGCTGTTCGTAGTCGTAGTACCCAGTGCCGAGGAGCAGGAAACGCGTGCGGAAGACCCTGAGCTTCTCGCTGGTTTTCACGCTGACCGAGACCTCCCAGTAGTTCTGTCCCGGAATCCAGTTGGCCGATATGACTTTGTGCTGGTATCTGATTTGCTCATCGACTCCGGCTACTTTGGCGGACTGGATCATGTATTGCTTTATCTCATGGCCCATGCCTAGAGTTGTTTGGTTCGGCCATGGGTTCCAGGAGAAGCCGAAGGTGAAGATGTCGGAATCGGACCTAATTCCAGGGTAACGGAATAAATCCCAGGTGCCGCCAATGCTGTCTCGCCCCTCAAAGACAGCGAACCTGGTGCCCGGGGGCGCCTGCTGCTTCACGCGATAGGCTGCATTGATGCCAGATATTCCCGCGCCGACGATGATCACCTCAAAGTCAAGCTGATTTGGCGAATTGCTGCCCGACTTTTTGCCCATGATTGATCTGGTCCTGACGTGGCTTGCACGGCCAGGGTTCGGACGACGATCGGAGAAAAGACGAGAAACAAAATTGACCTGCTCTGCAACACGGCGAAACTAGGGACGGAGCAGAGAGTGCCAGAAGCTTGGAGTTTTGTATCCACTTCTCGGCACACGTGCTGGTGGTTGCGGTGCCGACGCGTTCCACGAGCGAGGCCGAAGAGACGGGGCTTCGGTGCATCCCGACTGCCGGGCCGGGTGGGTCAGGACTGGAGATGCTGAGGCGGCCGGCCCCAGTCTTGTCGCAAGCCTCGCCCATCTTGGCAGTCACAGCTTTGGGGTCGAGCCGCTGGTTCGTGCAGTTGCCAGTCACTCACTGGATCGCCGGGGTAGACATGTGGCGGCGGATGCAGCCTCGGGCGTCGGGACATTACGCTCGCACGATTGCGTGGCCAGCGATCACTCGACCTGCCAGAAACCCAGCAGCATCGGCCGTTCGGGAACTGTGAAATTGCAGCGTTGTGGGCGGAGGCCCGGGGGAGTGAGGGACCGGGCTGCAACTACGTCATATGTACGGAGTACGCGTAGAATTGACCGGATGTGCGGCCAAACGCGCCCATTCGCAGCACCACTCAATGTCCACGGGCCCAGACAGCATCATTGCTACGACGTAAACAAATCGTAGAGGTTTGGCTTTGAACGAAAATATTTTTTCTTATCGTTTGTGCGCCTTCGTAAGCCTAGTAGCACAATCCAACCTGCTCGGCCACCTCGCGTTGCGGTGGAATAGCACACCCTCCCCAAAAAGCAGTTTTGGGGCAACCTTGTGGTTGCTCGCCTCTGAAGGTCTGCTGAAATCCACTATAGCTTCGTTGCACTCCTGCCAATCGCGTCTCGAACCACGACTTGCAGCCACGTCGGCCATCCCCTGAGACCAGATACGATCGCCTGTGTATCGGGCAGTATCAGCTGCCCTCCTCTCCTGCTGAAGACTTGGTTTACAATCTTCTCGGCCACTTGATCGCTAGTTAGCAGCCGGAGGCCCTCTCCTTCTAGGCGATCGCCAAAGTCCTGGACCAGCGGCGTCCTCACGAAATTCGGGTGGACCACAGTAGTCAGCACGCTATCGGCCTTGTAGAAGTGCTTGAGTTCGCAAGCGAGGGACTCGTGAAATGACAGCGCGGCAGCCTTGGTGGCCGAGTAGTCGGCGCCTTTGGCCAGGGCAACGAACGAGGCCATGCTGGCGACGGTGACGATGTGGCCCTTGTTGACCTGGATCATGCGAGGGAGGAACTGCTGCACCGTGGTCCAATGGGACATGCAGTTGACGCCGAAAATCTTCTGCAAGAACTCCTGTGGCATCTTGAGGATCGGCATTGGCTTGGTGATTCCTGCGTTGTTGACGAGAATTGTCGGATGCCCCAGCTCTTGTCGGACGGCATCAGCGGCTTTGGCCACCGAGTCCGGAGACGTGATGTCGCATTTGTAGTACCGGATCAGGGGGTGTCCCTGGAACTCCTTGGGCAGGTCCTGGATGTCCAGGATCGCAACCTTGACCTGACGGCGAACCAGGCGCTCGACAATGCCGTGCCCGATACCGCTGCATCCTCCGGTGACAACGGCAATCTCCTTGGGCCAGTCCCAGCCAGACGCTGGCGTCACACGCCAGGAATTGGCTGCCATGGCGCTGAAGGCGAGGTTGACAGTGCGCGCAATGCCGAGGCCCAGGAGAACCTGCAGAACCGTCTTGGCAACGCTCAAGTCATAGTTTGGCGGCAGAGAGAGCCGTTTCAATGCGGCATGGCGGAGCTCCTCTGGGGCAGCAAGCAGCGCAAGCAAGAGCGAGCCGGACACTACCGGAGATAAGAGAGCACGCCGCAAGTAGTGGATGGCCTGAACAGGACCGGACTCGATGACTCCGATGACGGACATGGCGGCAACGTGAGCAGGTGAAGACGTTGAGGGAGTACGTCGTGTGCTGGCGGGAAGAAGCTGCAGATGAGCGCAAATGATTCACCAACTTGACGCGAAGCAAGACGAAGCGTTGGGATAGCGCGCATCTAAACTATATACTCGCTGTCGTCAAATGCCCACCCGGCGTGAGCACGGCCTGCCTCGGCCTGCCTCCGTTGTCTTGGGACCGGAGCCCCTGCCGCGCTCCGGCGCAACACCGTGTGCCGTTCTGGGACCCAGCAAGCAAGCTTCGCCGTCTTGGGACGCCTTGGGTCAAGAGCCCTGACCCATGCGTGCACGTGAGAAGTAAGGCTTGGCCCTGGCAAGCCTCAAGCAAGCCACAATCGGGTAAGAATCGTGGGGGTTGGGGGCCGCCACTTCTGTGCCCCGGTTCAAGGCCCCACTGGGGCGTCGTTTTTGTGCCGACTGGCTGGTGACTCGCCGACACTAAACCGCAACGGCGGTTCGGCGTAACAATCCCATCCGCGTGTTAATGCAAGATGTCGAAACACAGCACTCGCTTCTTTCCAGGTCGGGAGTCCGTTCCAAGTGTCGTCATGTGCACTTCAACCCCACGGGCACGGGCATGCGGTCTTGGCTCGTACGTCAATTTGCAACGGCTCATCGGCACTTCCATCTTTCCAAACGTTCCGTGCGTACTTCAAAGTCGGTTCCCACTAAGGCTCAGCTGCGTCGGCAGGATACTTAACCGGGCAACACGCACAACGTACACAACCTCCTTGGATCGAATCCTTCAGCTCCATTCCAGATCAAGTCCGCTCCATTTACTGCCGGCACTGCTCTTGGTGTTGCAACTTCATATCCGTTGACCTCGAGAGGATTACACGATGGGCACACAACCAAACCCAAAGGACTCAATGAAGTCCACCTGGCGCCGCGGCGACAGGAAAGAGTGGACGCACCACCACTGGCTGATCGAGCTGCTCAACGCATACCATGTCGACCTTGACAAGCCGGTTCCGGTCCACGCAAAATCCGACAAGATACCCTTTCTCCCCCAGTGGCCACAGCATATTTGGGTCATTGTTTTCTCCCTGATTCCACTTCTTCTCCATCAGGCCTGGCTCTCCTATACAGGATATAATGCCATGGGGCGGGTTGGAGTTTTCATGTTGTACTTCATGGCCTTCAACGCCACTGTTGTCCACGAAGTTCATGTTCTTCGACGACTAGGCCACAAGCACGGGTTCCTTGACGGAGACGTCCATGAACGCGACGGGGTTCCGGACGTTGGTGTGTCCAAGGTGGCACTGTCGCTGATCAAGACTACCGGCTCCCGGATTGCCATGGCGATATATCTTTCTTACGATCCAAGTCAGCCTCCGATGGCTGTCTTAACGTCTTGGAAATGGTGGATGTGGCTCCAGCTCGAGACTGGCCTCTATGCCGTTGTCTTGGACTTCTGGTTCTACTGGTATCATCGCGCGATGCATGATTCCGGACATCTCTGGAAATTCCACCGCACACATCATCTAACGAAGCATCCCAACCCACTCCTCTCTGCCTATGGCGACCATGAGCAGGAGTTTTTCGACATGGTGGGAGTCCCGTTCATGACGTATATTACGCTTCGCGCCATGGGTCTTCCCCTGGGCTTCTACGAGTGGTGGGTATGTCATCAGTATATCGCGTATACCGAAGTCTGGGGCCATAGCGGTATTCGCGTTCATCTTAGTCCGCCTTCGACGTTGAACTGGCTGCTAAGTATGTTCGATGCCGAAATCGTTATTGAGGATCATGATCTGCACCACCGCAAGGGATGGAGAAAAAGCCACAACTATGGCAAGCAGACTCGGCTATGGGATCGCATCTTTGGGACTTGCTGCGATCGAATTGAGTCGACCAACGCGAACATTGACTACGTCAACGAGGCGACTATTCCGCTTTTATAGAGAAAGAGTAAGCTATTAGAGGACCATGGGCACAAGTCATTAGTTTAGATGCCAATGGAGTCTATTATAAAGAGTGACGCGTAAGTTTCATGGTGAAATGTTTGGCAAAGGGTCTGGAGATCTGAGAACGATCGCCCAGTCCCCTTCTCCAGCCTGCATGTAGGGAGGGGCTGGCGTGTCGTCGTGATTTGTTCGTTCCCGGCCATCGGTCGCAAGCTTGAGCTCCGGATGAGAGCTGTGCATCAAACAGCCGTGCTAGAGGATTTGGACTTGGGCGGTGAAGCGTTGAAGCGGTGTGTCGGCGGCACAAATCCCGCGTGTACCATCGCCTGGTTTACCTTTCGGCCCCAGCCGGCCAAGATCCGAAACGCAAGCGACACTTTCATCAGACACATGATTTCAGTGAAGAGGCTTATGCAGATTTCGACCTCGAGATTAGTAGTGAATACTAGTGATACAAGGTTCCTGGGTAGGATGCTTGATGTGTTGTCTAGCATTGTCTTGGCTTCGGCGCCTACGTGTCCACGCGTCAGCCAGCGAGGCTTCGCAGAGCAACCCATCATGCTGCAGTAATATGAAGGACCAGCATTGACTTTGATTGTGCGTCTCTAGAACTAATAACTGTGTGAAACTTGACAGGCAAGCCATGGTACGCGGTGTGAAGAGTTTCTGCAGCGTCTAGCGGCATATCGAATATCCTTGGGGGCGTTGCCTCCTCTAGGCATCCCTGGCGGTTCTCTGAGGCGTGCGTTTCTTGACATAAGCAAGAGCGCTTCAATTTCTCATGTCTGTTGATGCTTCGATATCTTGCAGATATGAAAACGTTCAGAGTCTGGGATTAGGGAAAGCACCATAAATTTTATGCAGCATCGATTCACGTGTACAGGATATAAAGATGAACTCTATTATTGTCGCATCATGCTCGACAGTACTCGCGAGACTCCCTGATTCGACCTAATGACGTGGAGTTGGCTCCTGGGGCTACCACGTGGTCACTTCATCGCGCTTGGCTCATGAGAAAGTCAGGCTAATTCTTATGCTGACATCTTGGCTAGAAATAAAGATCGCCGTTCGCATTGCCTAACTCGCGGAGACGGTTTAAAGGGCGACCTTGTCCGGCATACGTGCCACATCCAAAAACACATAACGCGATACCAAGCGCTCTAAGTGTGCAGGTCAAAACTCTCATATATTATAGACTTATTTTGAACAAAGGTTATACGAGGAAGATGAGCCTCTTCATTTCAATTCTACTGCTATGGGCTTTACCGGGGTTTGCAATGCCACCGTCAGTCCCCGGATTCCTCTTCTACCAGGGTTTTGTCGGCCATCAGGTTGTCTACTTCAATCATCACAATCGAAGCTTATCGGTCAGCACGGAGTACACGTGTGTCGCGCCTCTCGCGCATCCTGCGGCTGCCAGGAGGGCAGGCGGCATCCAATTTGTTTGTTGGATTGATCAGGACGGTGCTGGTGATGCTACTAACATCCCCCTCCAAGTCAGCACCAGTCTGAGTGATACACATGCCGAATCACTAGGTCAAGTTTCGTGGATCTTTAGACTGGCGACCGGGCCACATATGAGCCCCTTTCCGCGCAACGCGGAAGCACCGCGTGTATTCTCATCGTACGGGATTTTTTGGTCTCAAGTCCAAGCTTACGCCGCATCTGACGGGAGAAGCGACGTGACGAGTCTCGAATGGATAAGCAATCCGGACTACGATCGGCGATGGGAGCAATTTGGCGCAAGCCGGTACTCGCAACCCATATTCTTTCCCGAGTCGGATTGGGGAGAGCAATATTCCCGGCTTGTATCAATCGGAGGGGACCTTTTCTTGCCGAGGCGATTCATGAACGAGTTGACAAACTCTCGCAACCCTACGTTCGGTGACGAACAGCGCCTCATCCTTCGGCAGCTTCTCGACTGGGACCCTGAACTTGAACCAACTCGGGACTTCCCCTTACTACGCCGAACGTATAGTAAGCGCCTTCAGAAGCGAGTGACTTTCCTTGCCAAGCTAACAAGATCAGTCAGTAGCCTAACGACGATGGCGCTTCAACAAATTGATTGGTCAGCCATTGGCCTCTCGCTATCGCTGAGAATGGCGTTGGAAGGTGGTCTGCCATCTCCCTCACAATGTGCCGAGGCGCTTAGGGCGACAGCCGGGCATCTACAAAGCTCCAGGGTGTCCGCTTGTCGCACCCTTTGCATCAAGAACAAGGATACCTTGAAACCCAGTTCCGGGGGCATTACCCTTGGTAAGACCTAACAATGCCCCATGGCGCCGGCCTTCCGTGTTCATATCCCAGAGTGAAGGCCCAGGCACCGGTCCGAGCACAAGCGGAACACAGCTTGTGCAGCGAGCGTGCACAAGCAAGAAGCGGGCGACCGACACCGACATCGAGAATGATGTCAAGCGCATGAGGCTCAGCCAACCCGACAACAGTCGTTTGCGATTGCCGTCGTTACAAAATATAACACAGCGACAGATTTGCGGCCGAGCGGCGGGTAAGCGGGATTCCCCAAAGGCAGGCGAGTGACCTGTTCTGACACGCACGACAAGAAAATTGCAAACTTCGACTTGAACGGGCATTCAGAGACCTTGAAGTTGCCTTGTTTGACTATCTGACTGTTCACGAAGATGGAGATGTAGATGGAAACAGTTGCACGCGAGCGGATGGTATGATGACTGCTTTCGCGGCCGTACTGATGCCAGCGATTGGTGCTAACATATGAACGCCCCCAAAGAGCAATGCAACGCCCAGGTCACGCAGGCTTTCAACCGAGGCGACAATCTCCTAGAGAATCTCCGCAGGGTCGAGGAGCAACAGCGCCGGGAGTGCATGGAAGCTGCCGCCATCGCTGGCCAGAGTGGTCTCACCCGAGTAAGCGTCGAGGAAGGACCAAACGTCTCAGGCCAGTGGCAAGGTTTTACCCAGGCGGCAGAAGCCCTTGGAATTCCCGAGGACCGGCTGAGACACCTCTTCCAACACGGCATGAACTGGTTTCGTGTAACTTTCCCCGAGTTGTACGAAACGCTGAGAACTCGTTATTCTGCAGCGTTTGAGGTGCTTTGGTTGGCATTTTTGGCTGACGTCGAAATGGACTCCTGCCGCCACAGAAATCCATCTAGACGGTCGTCAGCACCAGGGGCCGAGTGGGTAGCACACCAGCAACTAGGTATGGGTGCCTTCCCGTCCATGGTTTCACCTGCTTGACATATTCACTCACGGTCGCTCCTAAGTTGAGCAAAGAATGGCAACTTGCAGACGGATAATAGCCATGATCGGCCCGCCGGGCCCCCACGTCAGTCTCTGCACGAACTCTAGTGTCCATATGAAGTGCGCGTACTTTGAAGCCCTCCCCAGCAGGTGCGGTATGTTCCCCTCAGCCCTCCCACAACCGCGCCACTCTCTCCTGGTGCCGACAAGGGGGCTATTATGCCTGCTTCTGTCAGATTTCTTTGCTGATTGAGAGTGTAGTTGACCCTGGCTCGTGGGATGATGGAGGTACTGTCCTGCGGCCAAATACTGCGGCCGGCACGTGCAGCTTTTATGTGTTTGTACCCAGATCACGATACCATACCAGCTCTGTATTTGAACACCTGAGGTAACTGACTGCCCAACTTAGCAGTCCGAAATGTGCCGGTGACAGAGTCGTCGCCACCAGAAACACGCGATTGAGAAGCAAGTCCTTGAAGAAGACCGTCCGATCCCTTCGTTGTCAAGGACTAGGGCGGCACCGCGCTCAAAGTGAACTACAGAATTGCGACACCATTGACAAACTGAAAGTGGACTTGCAGCTTGATGGCTGGCTAGCTGGAACCTGGGACACCATCTCTGCCGGAATCGGAGTCGCATTATTTCCTCTGGTTGAAGCTCCATGGGGATCGTACCATGACAAAACGCCCATCAATCTTGTCAAGGCCTTTAACATGTCTGAGGTTCCATTGAGCGAAATCTCCAGAATCGCGCTGTACTCTCAAGAGGCAATGTCTCCATGGTTCAACCCAAACAAGGAATGGAAAATGGCAGGTAAGCCTCGCTATTGCGTAGAGCCTGGACATCGACTCACGACAATGAGGGGCTGACATTTCCGCCATCGCAGGACTCAAGCTGTACGCCCGATGCTCGGCGAGTGCAAAGCAAATTGTGTATAGCAAATATGGCGACGTCCATACCGGATACCTATCGCGCGACATGGGAAATGGGTTTCAACGGGTCTGGGTCGGCGATGTTGATCCGAATGAGTGGCGCTTCACGACTGAGTCCGGTCGACAGACGCAACAACACGACGAGCAGTGACAGTAACGAATACCCCAGGCTCGACGTGGCCCACGCAGACTTGCGAACGCCCTGGGCTCAATTGGTCTCCATGTTGTGGTGGCGGTACGTGGTGTGGTGAGGGGGCCACAAGAGACTCTGTGGTCTACAGCAGGCGGTATCCAACAAAGCATCATTCTGCCTCGTGAGGGCAAGCGCACTCAGACGTTAATTGCAGCGCACGGTACATAATACGTTAAATGTGCATACAAAGCGGCAGCCTGTCCGTCGGCACACACAACCCAGATCATGCCACGGCACACTGGCTTCAATTGCCGCCGCTGCCGCCGGATTCAGTAGCGTAGTGGGTTACAACGGACTTCGATTGCTATAGCAGCTGCTGTCTTCAATTGCGACCGAAGCGGGTCGCTCAGTTGCCGCCACAGGTCGCGGCTCGTCGGGGCGCTTCCTTTCCATGGTGGCACTGGCCCCGAATGTCTGCTTGTCAATGAAACTCGCAACGGCCAACAGGGGCAAAGAGAGATACGCGTGTAGGTAAACAAGCTGCTTTGTCGGCAAGGTACAGCCACGCACATCTTCCAAAGATTTTTCGCAGCTCCGGGCACATAGCTGCGCCGTGTGCTTGCGCCAGCCCCGTCTGTTGCAGCAGTCTTGGCTACTGCTGGCTCCCCGTCGGCACAGGGCGGGCAGGCGAGGGCCGGACGTCGCAATTGGGAGGGGCCAATGTGCGCCGGCGGTCTGCACCGGTGCTGGCGGCCGCGATTGAAGGCGTTGCGGCCGTCGGAGGGCATCAACAACAATCGAAGGCATAGATTGTGCGTGATAAGTTAGTGGCCGCTAGGCTGCAGGGGGCCAATTGTAGAAATGTCCACGAACATAGACTCTGGCATGCAGAAGGTCCGCTGGTCAGGGTGGTGAGAAGATTCACGGCAAAGCTCACCTGTGTAGAGACTATGGACACCACTGAGGTGACAAGCATAGCGTGACACTCCAGCACAGCGGCACACAGCGTAGCCACGATGACACGAGATACCCGACCTCAGGGCTGACTTAGTGCGGCAACAACACGCTGAGTTGAGATTCCACTGCCTCATTTTGTGTCTATTCATAAAGACCGCTCGAGACATGTACTAGACGGACGAGCCACCAGCGGCCAAGATCACCTGGCCCGTGATCCATTCACTGTCATCTCCAGCCAGCCACGAAATGACTTTCCCAATGTCACTTGGCAACGCACATCGGCGCATGGGGCAGGCCCCGGCCATCGCAGCCTCGACCTTCTCGGCCGGCCAGGTCTTGTCGGCGCCTGGGATGTAATGGGTAGCCATTTCGGCGAACATGTCGGATTTGACGCCACCAGGCGCGACGGCGTTGACTGTGATGCGGTCGGGGCCAAAGTCGGTCGCCAATGCCCGCGTGATGCCTTCAACGGCCGACTTGGAGCCGGCGTAGAGAGCGTGGTCCGTCACACCCATGATGCGCGCCGCAATGCTCGAGGTGAGAATGATCCGCCGCGCGTATGGAGACGCCGTCTCCTTCATGTAGCGGTAGCCCGTTACAGCGACGAACAGCTGTGACCGAGCGTTGAGATTGAAGACTTCATCGAACTTTTCCGGCGTAATATCCACGGCTCGTTCAAACGAGTCCATGCCACTATTGCTGACGACGATGTCCACCCGGCCCCATTTTGCGACTGTCGCCTGGAAGATGCTGTCGATATCCGCTTGTTTCGTGACATCGCCCTGCACCGCAATTGCCTCGCTGCCCATCGCCTCAATCTCCTTGACGACTTCCTCGGCCGCGGAAGCCGACTTTGCGTAGTTAATTGTCACCTTGGCGCCTCTGCGCGCCAATTCAAGGGCGGTTCCACGGCCAATGCCTCGGCCGGAGCCGGTGACGACCGCAACGCGGTCGGCAAGAGTGGGCAGCGTTCCGTCGGACGACATGGCGTTAATAAGGTACCAGAAGAAAACACTGGATGATCCTACTGTACAACCCGAGCTGGACGAAAGCCAATTTGATGTATTACAGTACTGTATATAAGAAACCAATTGGCAGGTGGTCGGCTCCTCGTCGCTCTGCCATCCAGCGCGACATAAACGCGAGGCGGAACCCCGCCGGGCCGCCAGCCGGTGTTCCACTCCGCGAAATGCCCTGGCAATCCAGAGGCCTCGGGCGGCCTCGGGCCCAGGCTCGGAGTGGCTCTTGCAACAAGACAAGACAGTCGCGGGGTTGGCGTAAACACGGGCCCTGTGCGTAGGGCGGCGGGCGACCTTGCAATTGCAATTCGATCGGCAGTTGCTGTCCGCCAGCCTACTGCGCCCGTCACTAGCATCAATGGCGTCGTTATCCACGTACAGCACAGGCCATGCCTTTCAGCAGGCCACTCCCGAATTGTGGCGCGGCTTCACACATTGAGCAAAAGTTCGCCAGGGCTTGTCTGGGAGCGGAAAGAGAGAGGCGACTCATGCCCGTCAATTTGACGTGGTTCTCCTACCCGACGAAGGCCGGAGTCTAGAGCGTGCCCCGTGCCTTACTGTACTATCAGTGTGCGTGCAAGGCGGTCGCGACTCCTGCAAGCTGTTGTGCGCCGGCTGGCTGAGCTTGTGACAAGCCCGCACGCGACACAAGACTACGCTCACCCTAGCTCATCTCCATCCACTGCAGCCCATCATCAAATGCCTGCTCGAACATCTTCACGGCCACCTCATCTTCCGCGTCCACTCTGCTCGCAAACCCGTGCTTCGTACCACCGTATATCACGAGCTTCCACATTGCACCGCATCGCGGTAGTTTACCGACCAGAGTCTCCGTCAGATCCGGCGTGAAAACGTCCGTTTCGGCCACACCCACAAACGTTGGCTTGTTCAAGCCATGCAGGTCTGAAGGTTCGAGAAAAGCCTACAGCCGACACGTCAGCGTTACTCTGCAGGCTTGTAACGAAGCAATAAGCCAAACACGGCCATGTGTGCGTGATCCGCGATGCAAAGCCACGGGGTCACCGAGTACTAGCTGACAATAGCGCGCCTGCTTACCGGGTGGTAGACAAGGGCGGTTTTGATCAAATCGTCGTCAAGTTTGGCAAGTCGGAAAGCATGCTTGCCGCCAAAGCAATGCCCGACGACATGTAGCTCAGCGCTGGGGCGGTGGTTATCCACAACGAGTGTGTTGCAGAACTCTGCGAAGAACCGATCTACCAGCGAGGCTATATGCCCTGGGTTGTGCCGCGAAAGCCATGCTGGCATATCGATGGCGCGAATACGTCGTTTCTCCTATGTGCGCGTTAATTGAGGTCGGCCAAGCGACGGGACCTAGGTTCTGCCCACTACCTCTGCGGTGAAGTTGTCGTACGTGTCAATGTCGGTCCCTGGCATATATTGCATGAAGATCTCGGGCAGCGCATCTCCTTCGAAATAGTCTACAACGGTGGTCTCATAGCCTGTGAAAATTAGACGCCGACGTTACGATAAGCAGTGCTTGCCATCAGATGTCAGCTTACCGCGCTCGGCGTACAAATCCGCCAGCTTCTTATTGTGCTTCGCGAGACCGAAGCCATCAGGCAGGTACAGCACCTTGCCTCGTAGAGCCAGGTCAGCGGCTTTGTCTTGAGGCGTTGCCTTGTATGTCTCAAGTCCGGCGATAAAAGAGCAAGTGCCAGCTGGCTCATACTGTGCTGCTGCATGTCAGTCGCCGAACTGTCACGCGACGATTGATGGGAACCAGGTTCTGCGCACCCTCTGCCGCAACGCCCTGAAAGCAGTGGTGCGTAGACATTGCTCACTTGCGTGCCGTCAATGAGCGATCAAACGTACGCCGAGTTTTGTTGAGACCAGACCCGTCTACGCAGGAAGTGACACCACAAGGCTTTAAATCGACGTTGGCTTCAACAGCAGTGGGCGGCGGGTCAACTAATAAGGGTCGGCGAGGCCTTCGGTACCCCACCTCCACGATTCAAAGTTCAAACCTCCGACCACGTGCAATTAATGCGATTTTGGCACTACATAATGGGGCTGCAGAATTATAATGTTCAACATCAGAATGAGCTTTATTCAACCAAGGCAGTAATTATTCGGCCTATTCAAATTTCAGTTTGTTTCTCAGACATCCAATCCCGCTTATATCCACCTCAACAATGTCTCCATCCTGCAGCCATGGCTGGCCCGGCATCGCGGCAGCGATGCCGGCCGGGGTTCCTGTCATGATAATCGTGCCTTGCTTGAGCGTTGTCCCACGGCTCAAATGAGCAATTATCTTCTCGGTATTGAAGATCATGTCGCTTGTACTCCCATTCTGCCTGACTTCGCCGTTGACTGAAGTCCTTATCTGAAACGGAGAGCTCTGAGACGCCAAGGAGCGATGCAGTATCGTCGGGCCGATCGGAGCAAATTGGTCGAAAGATTTGGCGTAGGTGAACTGTCCACCAGACCGCGGAGGTCGTTGCCAGTATCGCGATGAAAGATCGTTGCCTGCAGTGAAGCCAAGGACGTGACCCATGGCCTGCTCTTCCGGTATATTCTTGCCAGTCTTCGAGATAATGACACACAACTCTCCCTAGTTATTTGTTATCTTTGATCGAACATGAGTTTCTGGCGAAGTAGTCTGTAGCAACCTCGTAATCCATGAATTTTGCTTCCGTGGGTATAGGTATGTCGTCGTGAGGACCTGCTAGTGCATCTGGAGGAAGATTGGCGTCAACATTACGAGGACGATACGCGGAATGGCCCAGTGCTACTGACCTGCTGGCTTGGTGAAAACTACGGGGTTAGGTGGAACTTCGAGCTATGTCCAGAAGATTTAGAGTGTTTCTCGATAAGTGCGGCCCGCACGAGTCGCACACCTTGGCTTCTTTGGCGTGGTTGGCATAGTTCAACCCAATGCAGACGAATATTGGCGTTGAAGGAATAGGTGGGAGAAGCTTCGGATGCACTCAGTTAGCTCCAATCCAAGCCAGCGGCTTCAGTGCTAGAGCCATCGGCGGCTCACTTTCTGCACCACTGCGGTTCGTTGCGTTTCCCGTAGACTGAATATGTCGCCGTCAAAGACCGGCACCTTGATGCCAACAAGCTGGCCTAGGGCGCTACCCGTAACATCCCCATAGCACTCAGTCCCGTTCTCGTCCAAGAACCGGATCAGGTTAGTAAAAGAGGCAGGAGGCGTCATATTCCGCAAGCAATGACTACCGAGAGGATAGTGGTGATGGCAAAATGGGCAAGAACTAAAATTGCTCTCGATGCTGCGTACGTGGGATGAAACAGCAAATCGGCATTCCTTTCGCTTTTCTTCATGTTCCATCACTTATCACCAACACTGTTTCGGCTCCCCACCGGGCTGCTACAAGTGGGTTACCAGACACCCCGGGAACATCGCGGTGAAGTTGCGATGTTCATTTGTACAGTACTTGGGATTAGTTCAATGCCACGTGGTTAGAGCAGCCACTGAAAATTGGCTGTGGCACTGCGCCTGATTGGAGTATTGTCCTCGTTTACGGGATTATGCTCTCGCCATTGCGTGAGGCGGAAGGAGACAGGCTCCTTTGGGGAACTGACCCGAGGCTAGACTTCGCTTCATTTTACACATATTAGAGCCTGTCAGATCCGATTTCCGACCTCTGACTACTCCGATCGGGGTGTGTGTCCATAGTCTGCAAATCTTTGCCCATGTGTACTCAGGTTCAATCCCCGCTACATGTGGCCGCAAATGATCATAGAAAGCCGAGACTTCAGTCAAGAAGTACAGTATCGGCTGTGAAGTCTGTGGCGAATGTGAAGAGTACCAGTCTATTAGAATCCCCACTTCATCACTCTAGCATCACCAGCCAACTACATGTAATATAGAATGCGCCGTTCTATCCGTGCAAGCGCAAGACTCAGTCCGACTAATGGTTCTGCCGTGCCCCTTTGGTCCACTCTGTAAGGGTGTCGAAAGTCCACCTGTAGGCAAGTTTGTTCCTCATCTCCTGTCTCTTGGTCCAATATTAGGTCTGGCCTTGATCAGTCGCTCATCCTCTCCACCACGAACTCTCCTCACGAACTCGTCCGGGTCGAAGTCAACCCCGACAGGATTCTCGGCGAATGCGTCAGACTCCATAAATGCCACAGCCTCTGATGCTGAATCGAAGTTGTCTACTTGAAACTCGATACCATTCCCATCTGGATCCTGGTAGTACATGCTGGTGCTGATGCCATGATTGACACACCAGTCGGGAACGATGCCGGCCGCTTTCTTTTCTTCGTAGGATGTAGCAAGGTCCTGCAGGGTTGGAAAACCGAAAGCAGTATGATGCAGGCCGGCCTGCATGCCCGTTTCTGGCCTCGGGCAGGCGTTCGGATCTTTAATGACGGCGATTCGGTGGTGCTCATGGTCGTAAGTCATGAAGCAGAGACGGTGAGATTCATGCGAGACGGTGCCGCCTAGCACAATTAGGTAGTAGTCAATCATTCGATCGAAATTGTCTGGTGTGGTACGGAGAACAATGTGGCACAGGGCCTCCGGCGAGAGCCGCTTAGAGGTTTCTGGCCGCGATGGCATGACTGCGGAGAATGATACCGGAGTCGAGATTCTTGCTGGTTCAGGTCCAGTAAGTCTACCGTGCAATATGATGAAGAAGCATATCAAGGCTTTAATATTTCGGAGCAGCGCGTCCACTTCTCGCTGACATGAAGCCGCCGAGCCGTCTTGGCCTATTCTGCAATAATATGTCAAGCCAGCCCGGTGGGGACCCACGACTTGCAGGTACCGACTGTACAGTGCTGCACAGGTTTATGTCGGTAGCCGGCAGTGAGCCCGCTAATCGCGCTCCCTGCCGCCGCTCAGTGCCAGCGCCCGGAATGCCGGCGGGGAACCGGACATCGGGGATGGCCGTCGGGCGTGTCACGATCCCAAGAGGTGGGACTGTACATTTGGAATGTTACGACAATGCGTGCAAAACAGCATTGCGCGACTTTACTCATGCAGGCGCAGAAGACTTTGTTGTTGCGGAATTCTTTTACAGTGAGCTGGTAAGCCGCCCGCCGCCCGCCCGCCGAGCCGACGACATATTGCCTGAACCAACCTTCTCCACCAGACCGCAGTCCACGACTTCCGACTGTTCAATGGAGGCCAGACGTGAAACGATATGATGCAGTGTTGGCAAAGCCTGCCAGTCCAATGCATTCCATGTGACCTTTGCATGCGAAGCAGTCCATCTCCTGGTTGTTTGCACCCTCTGCCTTTGCGCCTCATCCGCGTGCGACATGAACACTGGGTACTCCATGTCGGCGAAGCCAGGGCGCCCTGTGGAAGGGAAGTAGCGCCACAGTAGCAGTCCTTCGTCGATCCCGGCGGCGGCGGGCGCAAGCGGCCTGGACAGCCCAGGCCCTGGTTGGACCTCACGCAGGCCCCCCACTGAGAAGTCGGCAAATTGAGAGCCCTCCCAGCTGGCCTTCATTGAGTAGGACTCCTCTGTTGGTCGCGCAATGTCGAGATTCGCAAACAGTTTTGGGTATCCGAGCTCCTCTCGCCCGCTGATGATCGGATCTGCCATACTTTCCCAGAGGACAGGAAGATATGTCCCCTGGTATACCTTGCCATCTTCCGGCGCTGTGTACTCTATGCCGTGTACGTACACGCTGAGGAGGTTGTACCCCCGGCCACCCAGCCACTGCAGATTGTCGAGGCGCTTGGCGGCGACGGTGATGTAGCCGTGGTCGCCCGGCCGCTGGAAGCGAAACCCCGGTGGCAGAAGGTCGACAATTGAAGATTGTGGCACCGTGAGCGTAATAAATGCTTCGACATTGCTCGTCTTGCTCCCGTCTCGCGCACCACCATCAAATGCCTGACGAGGCCCTGGAAATGGCCCGAACACAATCGGCATCCGGTGGTGCATCGGGATAAAGTTGCGAGGCGCAGACATTGTGGGAGTCGGCAAGGGCGTCGTAGGCGGGCAATGGAAACTGTTTAATTGTGATGACAGGCAGAATGTGAGAGCATTATCCTCTTGCCGCGCAAACAAGCCCACTTTAAGGATCCGCGGCCGAGCTCAAAGCGACGGAGAGCGTATGAGCCCAACGTCTGGAATCGGGTCCCCTCCGGATGTGGGAGACGACTTTCCCACTTGGCCGACGAGTCCCGGAAAGCAATCCGGGGATGCATGGCTCTTGTTGGCCGGGTTCGTCTCACCGGGACCTGAACGCTCCACCGCAGACCTACAAAATGTTCCATTCCCACGGCAATGGCAAGTTTGTTCTCCTGTCAAGCAATCACCACTCACCGCGAGCACAGAGTCAAACGTCATAATGGAGCCGGCGACGGATCGCGACATGGAAACTGCGCAGGAGACACGTTCGAGCAATGGCGAAACCGACCGGGGCGATGAAGCAGGCCACCAGGCACTGAACGGGCACTCAAAGCCCAACGACAGCCAGGCGCCTGTCATTATCGTTGGGGCCGGCCCTGTCGGCCTCCTGTTGGCCCTTCGTCTAGCTCAGAAGAACATCGGTTCAATCGTCCTGGACAAAGACTCGGCACCCAGCCAATTGCCCCGCGCCATTGGATACTATGGACCGGTCCACGACGTCTTCCAGGAGATGGGACTCTATGATCAAATTGCCGACGAAGGGATGCCGTCTGGCGGATATGTCTGGCGAAAAGCACCAGTCGATGTCCTGGACGAGAACGGGTCGGTGGTTGGCAAAGAACTGGGCCCTATTCTGGGAGAAAACATGATGAGCCAACCGGGACCAGAGGGCAAATACAAGCTGGGACACTACTCGATTCAATTGCCCCAATGCCGCCTCGCGGAAATATTCTTGCAAGAGGCAGCTAAGACAGGTCTGGTCAAGGTGCTCTGGGACCATAAAGTTGCCGCGGTCGCTCAAAGCGAGAGCGACGTGTCTGTTACCGTCGCAACAAACGAGGGACTGGCGACGTTTACCGGCCAGTATCTCGCTGCATGCGACGGCGGCAAGTCGACGATACGCAAGCTGCTGGGCATTCGACTTGTTGGCCATTCCTGGCCTGAGCGTTTTCTAGCAACGGACATCCTCCGCACAGCGCCAGTCATCCCCAAGGTCCCGGTCCACTTCACTGTGGACGAGAAGTTTTGGGGCGTAGCGACCCCGCTGGAGCGCGTGGAGGCCGGCAAGAGGGGCTTGTGGAGATACAGCCTGGCCGTGCCAGCGAAGCCAACCGACGATCCGGATTGTGTGCCATTGACCGACGAGCAAGTTTTGGAACCAGAATACGTAGATTCGCTTCTTTTACGACAGGTTGATGGCCCCAGGCCGAGCGATCACGTGGTTGTGCGAAAGAGCTTGTACAAGATGCACCAGCTGCTCGCAACGACGATGCATCGCGGGCGGTGCTTCCTCGCCGGCGACGCCGCCCACATCAACAACCCGATCGGTGGCTTGGGTCTCTGCACCGGGCTGCTTGATGCAGACGCACTCTCTCAGACGCTGGAGATTGCCGTGTCCGCGAAAGCAGCTGAAGATCGCAGCAGTGCGGCTCCAGACGCCTTGCAACAGTTGTTCACTCGCTACTCAACTGAGCGCCGCTGGGTCTTTCAGAACATCATTCACCCGTTCAGCAGTGCGAACAAGACACGACTACATGGTGGGAATCCGGACGAAGTTGCTCGGGAAGACTGGTATTTTGTGGCGTTGGCGCGTGGAAACAAGCAAGAGCTCCAAGCCATCCACCGTCCCCTCTACGCGTCCTGGAGGACAAACATGTGGCAATTCTGGCAAACATCATCGGCTGATTAGATACAGCCTTGTGTATCACAACTGGGGTAGAATTATGGCCGCCCTTCAAGCTTTTTCATGCATTTGGTACTTACCTGGTCTGATTCCATGGTGTCGCATCTAGTATTCGCAAGTCGCTCGGCCACACTGCCCCATCGTCCAGGAAAGCCTAGTTTTGTGCATCATCCATCCCTCAAACTGTAACGACTTGTGAGAAACTGCTCGAGCTTCACGCGAATCCCTTCCGAGAACCTTGTAGGGGTTCCCCCTTCGAAGGCAGAGAAGCACGTATCCAGTGTTCGGATAGGGTCATCCAGACGAACAGGCTCTATTCCTCCGGCTTGGTTCGTCAATGCCGGGATGCCAGGGAGAGACGTGGCACTCCAGCCAGCGTACGAGGCGCCGGTGCTCGTGAAATAACGATGGCGGCTTCCCCCTTCATTGCTTTCTTCAATTCCTCGTTCGACGTCGATTAACACGAGAGGGAGCGACGATGAGTTCCATTGTGCCCCGTAAAGAACACTCATCATCCACAGAATAAGCGAAGCGCGGTACAGTGCAACAGGCCACCAAGGCGGTCGGACCTTCCTCCCTAGCATACGAAGGAGATGTAAAATTTGACCGACGTGATCCAGAACCTGATCGGGGCTTCGAATGCTTTGTTCAATTACCTCGGGCGATAGCGAGCGGATTTGGCCGTCCGAAAGTCGCCTTCTGGCTAGGCTTTCGATTTCCATAAAGCTAGACATCGTGTTGAGACAGATGACATGATACTCAATGAGTGTTGATATCATCAAAGGGCCTTGGAAGTTGTGATTGTGAGAGACATAAACGTCTGACAGGCTCCTGTAACGACAGGAGTTATACAGGCTAATCCAACGGTATAACAGGCTCTGAACCTCCTCTACTCGAACATCCGTAGAGCGCTTTGTCACTCGTGAGAAAGGTCGAGGGCTCTGCTCGCCTCCAATACAACTGATCAGTTGTCCTAGGCTGTATGCAAGCGAATGGAGCGGGTGAAGAAGGAGTCGGAATGTTGCAGGTGTCAGGGAGCGAGTTCTGTCCCCTATCAGTTGATCGTTGAGAAACCACTGGAACAAGGTGCGTAAGGACGGCTGATTGGACGGCTCCTGCCCTTTCTGTATTTTCCAGCATGACTCATCTCGCTCGAAATAGAGCTCGTCACAGTAGGGAATGGCCAGGTTTAACTCCACTATCGAGAGCTCCAGGTTTGTGTCATGAAACAAGCTGAGCTCCAGGTCAATGACGACCCACGCGTAGGCAAGCCTGGGGCATGTTCGAGTCAATTTCCAGTACAATAACTTTGCGGAGCTCATTGTTTGGCTTGAGGGTTTTTACCTGGTGAGGCTTTCTCTATCAAGCCATGCAGCCCGGCTCACGTCACCCGTGGCAGACGATGTAAATGCCTCGGTGTCGACAGTGTCAAGCAACCTGCCGTTTCTGACAACCTAGTTCGATACGTCAGGTCTTTTATTGCTTCAAAGACGTTGCCTTCATCAAACCAAGATGGAGTTTCACATACTGCAACGTAGATTCCCCGCTGCCCCAGCCCAATGTCCATGAGCCATTTGTCGCCACTCCAAGCTGCTTGAACAACAAAGATTATGGCGCAATGCACGAGCAGTTGATGGTGGGATAATGAAACATTTTTCTCCATAGCATCGAACAATGATATACGGCAAACCTCCGTCAGACCCCCCGAAAGCCGGCGGGCGTCGCCCGTCGAATTCGACGTCGCCCCTTGGCCTATCATGAGGAGAATGAGGAGTGAGGAAGCGGCACTGCTGGGACCTAGTATCAGAGCATTTGCATCCAAGAGACCTTCCGGCACAAGAGGATAAAAGGGTTCGAAGTTTAGCATGTACTCTTGCAGACAGTGGTCTATGGTTCCGATCCGCGGTAGAGTGAGGAAGGAAGTGGTGCTGTCAGGGTTGGCTGAAGAAACCGCAGCGGGATCAAGGCAATGAACCTTGAGTGCCTTTCGGAAAAGAGATTGAGAAATGGCTGAAAGCCTGTCGCGGGAGCCTTCCTGAAAGGGCAGACTCACGACTCGCTCAAATGATTCCTGGCTTGGGAAGTCTAGTCCGAAGCCGAATCCAGCCCAGGGGTTGTCCGTTTCCGCTGCATGGCTTAGGCTCACAAGCAGAACTCCAGCAGTTCTTGGACACTTGGTGATGTCCTTGGAAGGGTTACACCTGAATGATGACCAGTAGTTGTACGCCTCGATAACGGCTTGGTGCTCAACGGCTTCGGCATTGCGCTCCGGATAGCCCCATGTTGGAGTGTGCATATGCATGTCTTCATACCACAGCGTATCGAATGAGTCGCAGTGCATATGGCCTGCATTTGGAGGCATTGTCTGGATTGAGCATATTGCGCTTTCGTCGATCCCAGCAAAGATATCAGCCGCGGAGCTGTAAGTGTGTTCACCACTGTGGGCCAGATCTCGACTGGCAGTGTCAGTCGTGTGGTCCCATGTTGGCTGAAGCTGCCCCATGGTGGTGACAGCTCCCCCAGAATCTGATTCAGCCGTGGCTCTGGCAAGGCTAGATATGTGAATATCCATTCTGCTGCTTGTTACAACAGCAGTCTCACATATCTGAGCATCAACTGTGGGCGATGGAGTCTGGCGCGGTGTAACGGGATCTGGCATCTGGTCAAATGAAGATACTGCAAATTTTGACTGCTCCTCATCGTTGCCCAGGTGTTGCCCATCTTCAATGTCCATTGCAGACAAGTTGTTCTTCGCAACTTCGGTCCCGGATGGAGATGGGGTTGTTGTGGTATCGTCATCGACCGATTGTGGTGTCGGGGAAAGCTTCTTTTTCGGTCCTCGATCACATGGTATCTTCTTCTGTCGACATCGGTTGCAGGGCGTCGCAGAATCGCATTTAGTTTTCGTCCTGGCGCAGTTTCGGCACGCCTTCTGCGTACGCGGCCTCACCCCAATCACCAGCTGGTGATTATCTTTTTCCGCCGCGGCTGCCACCCCATGTATTGCCATATGTCGTTGTAGGACATCGCTGAGATATGATGTTAGTATGCTCATCCTCGCTTGGTGGCTGTGTGGTCCGTACGCTCGAGAGAAAGACAAGTGGCAAGTCGGGCATTTGAAGCGTTTGATGTTCGTATCTAATGTAGTCAGCTTCGCTGATACGTCTAGAGTACTCGAAGCCACGAAAACTTCACTCACGGGCTGTCAAATGTCGCTCCAGATGCTCGTTTCGTTGGAAGCTTTGACCGCAGTATGTGCAGAAGGCCATCGTAGAGCGTTTGATCCAGAGCTGGGACACCTTGTTGAGGTCTCGTGGAACGATCCGAATAACCCGCAGCTGCCGGTCCTCACCATGGGAACCTCGGGCAATAATACCACGCTTACTCCGCACTGCTCTGTCACCAATCACACCATCCCCGCACGGAGAGGCAACTTCGGCCGTGCACGGAGGCACGAGTGCCTACCGTGAGGATGGCGAATCGTCGGGGCCAGCGGCTTGGCTGAGCTTGTTGCTTACCCAGCAGTACGTTTCTTTATTGGCTAAATCTGCCATACTGTTGGTCGACTAGTCTGATGCGGTGTTGGGCAGCGGTTGAACTGCTTGGTTGGTCGGTTGGTTGACACCGTGTGACACGGACTTGATTGAGAGACATGCTCGGGATGTTTCGCCATTCTTGTATTCCGTACCCATTCCAGCTTTCAGCCGTCAAGGACGCGCCTTCTCAATGTTTATCGCCTCTCTGCCGTCGTTGGGCAAACATCGTAATGCGCAGCATCGGAAGGGCGCAGACATTCTTGAGAGCTTCTCGGCGTGAGCCTCGCCGTGCCCCCTTTCTTTGCCGTCAAGGAGCTCCGGACGAATAGTCTTCGGCTCAATGTAGCATGCTACTTCGCGCGACGACATTAAATTTCTATCTAGACGTCACTGAAAGCAGCACGCCAGTACGAGTGTTACATCCTCAAGTGCTAGGCGGTGTCATCTGGATCGTGCCGCCAAACCAAACACAACCTCTACGAGAGGCACTACAGTGGCCGTCATTCGGAGATAGGATTCATGCGGATGGTTGGGGCTCCAGTCCTTAGCGAGAAGCTCATCCCGTCGTTTGATGACCTTCGGTTACAACTCGACATGTGGCAACATTTAGGCCGACAGTTCTGGCTTGTGAGCTCCCGACCTACTTAGTCTACCATGTCTCAATGAACCCCTGGTTGGAACCGGAGCTGGGATGGACGGGCATTACGCACCTCTTTGGTACGTGGCTTCAATTGCGACTAAACTAGTTTCCCAGCAGTTGCTCCTGGCTGTATGCAGTGGCACGGGGTTTCTCGCAGTACGTGGCTCATTCTGCGGAAGAATGCGATCTGCAACTTACCTCCTAGATGTCTGCAAGTCAAGCGAGGGTTCGGCGTGCTGTTGATGCTGCTAGGGTGCCAGGACGCTTAAAAAGGCCATTAAGCGTCACGTTATCTTGATGGTACTCCTTTTTCTGAGCGTGTGCAAGACTAACCAAGCACTCGCGGTCGAGCAACCCTCAAACTAGGATCGTTCACCCAACTCAGACCTTCGGGGGTTCATTTCACAGACCCCTTAGCAATCAGCGCCGCAAACTATAACGTTGAAGTTGGCCTTATCAAAGGCCTGTCCGGCCCAGTCTCCCACTAGATTCTGAGTATCCTCGCATCTTTGCTGGGCAAAGTCTGAGCCTTCTGCCGCAATGGTAGCAAAGCTTGGAAGTGTCCTCCAGATCCGGTCCTATGGGAAGTGTTGTCATTCGATGGCCCGTTTCGCAAGGGAACGCACATCTGTCTGCCCGGAGTAGGTAGATCAGAGGGTTAGGACACGCAGCTCGCGGAAGGGAACAAGCCTTACGTCGTTGCACCACCAGATGGCTGAGCTTTCCGAACAGCTAACACGCGCACATCTTCCAGGTCCTGGCCCAAGACTCGGCCGACCCTTGACCCTTTTCAAGTAGGCAGAGCCTGCATGAATAGGTAAGCCCCTAGCTCTCCCCTATCTTGGGGTGCAGTCCACGTGTTGGTTCTTCCACACGATTGGCGCCACGATCTCTGTACCGCCTGTCTTGCCAATGTCGATGTCAAGCAGGTCTCGTGCAGCACGGGTCGAGCCTCCATCATCCGCCTCACCTTCAGGAAAGTCCGTGTCGTAGTTTGGGTTCAGCTTCAGGAGCTGAGAGTGTACTTCCTGGACGGTGCCGTTAAGCGTCACCCAGTCGCCACCAGGTGTGATTTGGTATGTTCCGATGCTGTCAACAACCTCATAGCCGGCGCGAGTAGCAACAAGCGCCACGGCCTAGCCGAGTGTAAGGAAGTAGGCTAGCCTATCTTTCCATATTGCCTATGTTTGGAGATGCAAGGTCGTACCCCGGATGCAAGGCCGCAAAAGGCCGCCAGCTGGCATGTGAGCTTCATTAGGCCGGCGGCGGTTCTGTGCCAGCAAGGAACTTCAAACTTCGTTCTGGAAAGTTATCTCTTGAAGCCGATGAGGCTCTTCGGTCACTCCGGCTCTGGTTGCACTATTATACTCCTTCGCTCCATGGTACAGTACCGAATGCTGGGGCGAAACTCGAGCCGTATTTCCATTCAGAAGACCCATCGCCCCAGCCTCCTCCTCGTAGATTATCTAAGGATGATCCAGAGATTGTAGAAGCGTATTAAATTCTGGGTCTATATCATGCGCTCGATGCACGGGCCTACCACTGGTCTTCTCTTGAGCCCTGGCCAGGCATTGGTAGCGAGAACTACTACTCACCCACACGCATATCTCTACTTGGTAGGTCCATGGCTTGCGCCACTGGAAACTGCCTATTGTCGGACGGTATTGTCCACCCTAGCGCTGATGCGAGCCCTCTAAAGTTCTAATGTGAGGATGTGGAGCATAGATCACCCCCGATGTCGACTGCGGCACCGTGTCGACATTAGCCGTCTGCCAGAAGTGCCTACATCCCCATCCATGCATCGGCATATTGCTGGTCGGTCCAGCTGACGGAGGCCGCGCGCGTGACCCTTGATCATCTTCGGTGTCGACAAATTCCGTTGAAACAAATCGCGACTTGGCTGCAGCATGGCGGCTGATTACTTTGGCCACATGCCTCCCCTGTGTCCAGGCACTGCTACAGTGATCATTCACCTCAGCACCAATCGGTCACTGCTGGGAAGTTGCTCACCCTCGGTTCGAGACACAACGAGCGGCTTGCAAGCATAGCCAAGAGAACTAAGTATGTCTGCATATTCCTTGATGATGATATGCCTTGTCTGCGACCGCGAAATGGTAGCTGCGTCCTGGCGTGCAGAACTTTTGTGGCTCATCGAGGCTGGGAAGCACATACTTATACGTGGGCGGCGCCGACGGTGCTTGTTGTGCGTGTTAGACTCTGCATCCGAGGTCATATATGATAGCTCGCAGCTTTGATCTTGTATTTCCGTATGCGTAGGTCAAAACTTACCGGGCAGTGGGTTCCGCTAACCGGCCGAGGGCATTCTGCCGAACCGTGTCCGGACACGTCCCGAGAAACAGCCTCGGCACTGACTGCCTTGTCCAGAGTTCGCAGCTGTCCGTTTGTACTTGAGAGACTATGTATGGCTCCTGGCCACTTCTCAGAAGCGTGAAGCCCTAGCGTTACTGATCTGCAGCATGCTCGATAAAAGGCGACCAAGAAGCATCTCAAGACTTAATACTGCGAGAACTATATGTGCAATCTTTCATGAGGCCATGTTCGATACCATACACAGACCCTTGGTTTGCAATCCCTGACTCACAAGACATGAAGCGGTCTAACCGGAACAAAACTGCAGTTTTCGGTATTCGTATCCTTCTATATGACCATTAAGCAAATCAAGCAACACTACTCAGCCAGCCCGTAGGCCATGATGATGGCATCGATTGTATGATAGGCAACGAATGGCAGGGTCATGCTCAATCTGCCCCACGCGATGGCAAACTTGTACATGTCTTCTTTGGGGGCATTTCTGGCGGCGAGGATCTCGCCAGCCAGACCCAAAAGAGCATCAGATCGTGCGTCAAATCTGTCGCCCCATCCTGGCTCGGTTGCGGTCAGAAGCTGCTCGTGCCACAGACTATGCATCTCGCGAAGAATCGGCGCTAGGTCCTCGCTGACTCCAAGTGGCTTTCTCACTTCCATCTGTTTGGTACCATCCTGGATGAGCGCGTAGAAAGAGTCGTAGAACTTGCTCCGTGCCGAGTCAGGTAATGACTTTCGCGAAATAGCTCTCTTAAGCGAACAGACCAAAGGCTCTGCAAGACCAGACTCAGTAACCTGCTCCTTGGCCATATGGAGGATCTCCCAGGTCCACTGCCAAAAGTCTGGGTAGCGCCTGGTGTATTTCTCGAGTGTTGCAAAGATGCGCCTGTGGCGTGATCTGCAGAAGCTGTAGGCAGGGGAAGTCGCTGCTACTCGTCCGTCTTCTCGTCCATCAAAACGAGCCCGTCGGTGGCCGCGGAAGTATTCGCAGAGCTGGCCTGATAAAATAGTCGACAGAGTTCTCATTGACTCCTTCAAGGTGAGGCCATCCGGGTAAAGCAGCCGCAGTAGGTTCCTTGTCTCACCCGTTTTGATGTCGATGTCCAGGTCCATAACATCGTTCGCCAGTCCAGATCCGATGAGAGAGTCGATGCCGGCATTGTCAAACCATGAAGCCCCATCGCTGCACATGTACGCAGATCCAATTGTATCAATGCCCCGCACAGCAATGATAAGGTCGTGATCCAGGTCATGGTCGATGCGAGCTTTCCTAGGCGCCTTGAATGTTCGGGCATTCTCGCAGTCATTCATCGCGCGGACGTACCCCTGGGTGATACGCCAAAAGGACCTATCCTGACCGGATCGCCTGTCGTCCAGTTCCGGGACCGCGGACCTCGCAAGGTTTTCGAATGCCTTCAATCGATTGTTGAACTCGTCCTTTCCCTTGGCCCAGTCGACACCAGTGAGTGCCGAGTAGACGTAGTCTGCTTGTTGCGTGTTCGGCTCCAACGTGAAAGCCTGGCACATCATGAGGTAAAACGGAAATAGGACGATGATTGGAGGGTCGCAGTCCAGACCAGTAAGAAGTTTACCCCAAGCCACGAAATGTTCGTCGTTCGCCGCTTTTGATGAGTGATACTCGCTTTGAATGCTAACAGGGCAATCTGTGCTATCGGCTGCGAGGAGCAATGCGGCACCAACTTCAAGGGTCAGCTGGTAGGAAAGCTCGATGAGGTTGAAGTCGTGTAATCCAGAGCCAGACAGCCTCTCCTTGTCGATCAGATCATGAAACCAGGCGGCGAATGGCTTCACGAGCTCTTCTGTCTGCTCACTGGGCTGATAATTGGAGATGGCGCTCCTGACCCAAGGAGATAACTCTGATGTCAACGGGTACTCGCCGATGTTCCGGCCAGAGCCAGGAACTTCTGCAGGCGGGCGTTCATACTCCGTCTTTGTCCAAGGCCGCTCGTAGATCTTGGCCTCCTCCGCCGCTTCCACGCCGTCGTTGTGTTCGCATGTCCCGCCCAGGTGCTCATGCGAGTCGGTGGTGAAAGCTTTGAAGGCTGCTAACGCAGGGCCTGTGTACCGCATCTTCTTAACGTCAATCATGTTTGATGATACCGTGGCCATGACAGCGAATCTTGGCGAAACACCGATACTGGCTGTTACGCGGGGCTTGCTTGAAGAGGCAGAGATGATACAGTATATCGAGACAACCGTTATGGTAAACGGACTGCCTTGTCCACCTCTCTTTAACACTTTATAGTTGCGCCAAACTTGGCCAGAAGCACAATGCTATTTGATACTCACACCTCCACGGAGCTTCACGGAAACCAACAGAGGTCCAAATGAGAAGCACCAGACCTTCCTACGATGTCTGTGATGCATTCCGCGAAGTGAGGGCCGAGACGTTCGGCGATCACGTCACCGGGCCACATTGTGGTCGGTGCACGACAGCCCAGATAACGACTGGTAGAGTTGGTGGACTCGCGCGCCAGGCGCCCACTATTGTCGCTGGGGGGGAAATCCTATTGTGCTCACCCGGAAATATTTTGGCCTGACCAACTAGTGGTTCCAACTGTATGCCACTCTGCGTTTGTTCAGTGTTCGGAACCGCGGCACATCTCCCTGACGACTGGGGCGTGCGTTCGGGAAAGGAAATCATGACTACGGTCAATTCGAACTACACAGACATGCGAGGTAGATCCTGATGTCAATTACGCGTCTCATCGTGGTCTAGATGCAGGGCCGATTTCCTGAGAAAGAGTTGCGCGGGATGAGCATAGAGCAACTTCACATGACAGGACTTCTCTGTTACGTTGCTGCGCTGGCGACACACCGCCCACGAGCACCAATCGCGCAGCGCTGACTCGCCGGGACTCACTAGACAGTTTGCTGGTAGCGGCCCACTTAAACATCGCTCCAGTATTGTGCATTGACTTGCGGGCAAACCCGTCGCTCACATGCTGCTGCGTCAATGGGAAGTTTATATCCAATAACTTGCCCAACAATGAGAATCCCCATGTTCCCTTTTGTCAGATGCGCTTTGACAATCATGGCCTGCCATGCGCGAGACTGTCAGCCGCACTCAATGCCGATCCGATTAATAGGCTGATGGACCGGAGCCACCAGACCGGAATTGATGATCGGACGGCCAAACTTGGTGAAACATGCTACCTCAAATTAAAGGTCGCTCACACTATCATGCGATATATGCGATGCTGCTCTAATGTGAGCACCGGACAGGGTGATGTATACTAGCACCATCTTTCCGTGTCGCCACGGAATGTCCGCGTAAGTGGTCTCTGATCGTCGTCTTTGGTGCGCATGCTAACATAGGCATGCACAGCGGCGGTCTGAGCCGGGGTCACCTGATATGGTCATCACTAAAATGTAGTCTTAAGAGCAATAGCAACGAGCGTCGCTTGGTGAGAGACCAAGTCGAGAACCACGGAACCCAATCTAGGTGAGACATCCTGAATACGTTCCAGACCACGCAGCACTGGCCATTGTATAACACAGTCACCCTGGTATGGACGGTCTGGAATTCGCACGGGCCATGTAGCACCCGCTTGTCGCTACATATTGCCAGTCTCCGGAGGCTTCATGTAATACTACACCCCTCGAGCACGAGGGCTCTACTGAGTCTGGAACGCACATTGACGCACATGAACGCACATTGAGATCTTCAGAACCGCCGCTTTGACAGCAAAATATGATAGTGAAGAAACACCTCTAGGATGCCAATGCCGTACATATACAATGGGACAGTAGACGCGACGCGACTTAAGGTACAGCTGTCGCCACGGATAAAGCCAAGTTCGGCGACTACGCCCAGTTCGAGGTTCAGACTCTGAGCTCCATTCCATGTCGAGGAGGTGAGCGACGAGCGTGCGGCGCAGGCACCAAGGACGCCCCACAGGCGGCACAGTGGTCACGGCCCGAATGCCACAGCGTATAGAACCACTGTGTATCAGCACTCATGGGGTGGGTCGTTGTGGTTCCTCAGCTTACTTGCACCACAAACCCAAAATGACTACTGTCGTCGCGCTCACGGCTAGCCCTTCATTCATGCCTAGTGACTGTGGCCTTCTCCGAGGTCTCGTCACGATTCAAGTGCAAATCCGGGTGCGTTTCCCCTTCGCCAGTGGCAAGACCGGGTATGATGTCAAATGACTGGCGAACTTGAGTTAGCAGCCAGGTTCGGTAACAAAGGTCACAGTCTGTAAGAAGCTGCGAGGTGATCCATACCGGGCCACGGAATGATCTTCCAAAAACAAGCCAGTAGAGAGTGACAAGCACGGTGAAAATGCCCAAGACAACAGATACATAGTCTGTGGCCAGATTTGCCAGTTAGATCAGATTCCTGCGACAGTCCTCAAGACGTGGCACTTACTCATGCTGCTCCCAGTTACAGGCAGAGCAATTGGAAAGCAAAAGAACTTTGGCGGCTGTTAGCGCAGTCAGCGCTACACAGGCAGAGGGCAACTTACAACAGAAGTTACCAGAAGATATACAACTGCGACGACGTTGACAGCAAGGCCCAATTTCTTGCTCATCTTCAGCCCAGCTTTCTGGGAGCCTCGATGTTCGTTTAGTATGTCGCGACCGCGAATGAGAAGCACGACGATGGGCATTGCGTATGATATGTCCAAGAAGATTGTGACCGAGGCGACGTAAGCACTGAATGCCACTGTTGGACCGAGGTACAACAACCCAAAGCATACATTAAAGCCGTAACAGAGCACTATAGTTCGAACGGGAACGTTGAGGCCGTGCTGGATATGAGAGAAATAGTCGTGAAACACGATGCCGCGGTCACGAGCCATGGCGAACAGGAGTCTGCTCGCACTGGTGATGCTGGCGTTGCATCCGTTCACGAAGCAAATACTGAGCATAAAGCTCAGAATCGTCGCAGCCGACCGGCTTTTGGTAGCCTGAAGGACCATCTCGATGATTGGCATTCCGGTTGTCGTGGCCAAGATTGTTTCTGGGTCGGTCAGGCAGAACAATATGACAATAATGAAAGCCGATCCCCTGTGGCAGTCAGCGGGAAGGCCGCCAACGTGAACTGGGCGAGACTGACGTCACACCGCCCACAAGAATGGCGTATATCATCGCTCGCGGGCTATCTCGTGCCGGGTCAGGCATCTCCTCGGCCATGTGCAGAACCACGTCGAAGGCTATCAGAGAAAGGGCAGATTGCAATAGCCCTAGTATCCACGAGACACCATCGGACCATCCCGTTTCGTTCCGGAAGCTAGTAAAAACGAATTCGGCATCATTCTTATCCGCCTTCACTAGGAGGACGATGCTGATGACGAGAACGCCAAGGACAGACCAATATACTATTGAGAATGTTACCCAATGTCACCAGTACGCTGTCTCTGGCCTGTCTTTGCACTTACAGGCACAGTCATTCCATTTCCCGAGAATTTTGTTCCCCCAAATATTGACGGCAGTCGTGAGAGTGAGAATTGCGAGATAAATGCCGTAGGTTCTCGCGGGTGTTATTTGGTACGCATCGCTCGAAGCAACGACCGCAGCGGCGGAGATGAAAAGGGCTAAGAAACAGTGTCAGCGCCGGGTATGGCAGACCCGCTGGGTACTCTCACCGCCAAAGTAGGCCTGCACCGTTACCACCACCAGCCAGCCGGCAATGCTTGTCCAGCCGACGAAGAAGCTCTGTCGCCGGCAAGTATTTGTTTCAGCCAGAGACACGATAGCCGCACCGAAAAACGGCATCTTACCGCTGGCAATCTCCATCTCTCGGTGCAGAGGGCAAAAACGAAGTGATACTGACCGCCCGCGGTCGGCCAGATGGCGCCAAGCTCGCCGAGGCTAGCAGCAACGCAAAGACAACATAAAACACAAAAGAGGAAGCCGTAGAAGAAGGCAACAGAGCCGCCTGACGGCAAAATGAGGCCAATGGAGCCTGCGAGAGCGATCCAAGTGCTTAACGCCGTGAGCGCGATGTCCGACGTTTCGTGACACCTGTCGGGCACCTACTTCAGAATGGCAAACGCCATTGCCACGGTCGACAGAGTCGACAGCCGCGGCTGAAGCTCCCCATGGCTTCGGTCAGCGTAGCTATGGGGTTCCCTCATTTTCATAACGTTATCTGCCTGTCTAGACAGCGGAAGAACAAAGGGTTTGCAGAACGAGATGGATGGACGCGAGCGACAAATTCTCCAGGTTGCATGGGTGATAAATTACGTGCGTTGGGCCAAGCGTGAAGATTGTTGGCCAATCTTGCGTGCGCGGCCGTTGGCTGCAGAGAGATGGCCCGTCGGTTCCAAGGAGCATCAATTGAGGCCATCGCTCCGCCGCCCTCTTTATATGCCAGGCGGCTGTTCGGTGAACACAGTGTTCTGGATTGATATCACGACCGATCCTGGCGTCTCATGCTCGCCGAGACAGGCAACTTTGCGAGACCGGGTTAAACAAGCTTTCGGCTAGCCCCCTTCGACTCCGCGATTCTTGAATCTTCAGTGAGAGGGATGCGGGGTACACAGGCCACCTGTTAGCCCCTTACACGGCAAGCACGGGGCCCCCGCGACAACGGACCGTGTCGTGTGGCAATCCTGGCCTCTGGGTGTGTGTGATTGTGCCACTGGAGCAGCCACGCCATTTCTGCAGGCTTCTCCTTGCTTGGGCCCGCACCCCGGATGTCATTATGTTTCCCCACGATCCCCAAAGCGGCAATTCTGCGAGAACGACTGGGGATGGGTGCTGATCCGTCGTCCGAACAACAATGTCCCACACGGCGTCCGCCGGAAAGCTCGAGTCTGCACTCTGCATCTCAGTATTCTTCCCATTGCAGTTAGTTTTGCCGAAATGGATCCATATACTTCGCGCCGTTGCACGGCATCTGTCGTGCAGCCTCGGAATAGCCCTCGAGGTTTGCAAATACTTATGAGCCAACCTGAGTCCGACCTGAACAAACATTCTTCACGTTTGGAGTTCCAGCATAAATCATGGCGTCCAAAGATGGCTTCTCGTGGACCGAGTCCGATGGTCTCAGCTCCGGCATCCCCTGCATTGGCGCAATTGAACCATCGTCGAATATCACCAACGATGAGAGCGACTTCGATGTCATCGTCGTGGGTGCCGGCTACAGCGGGCTGACTGCGGCTAGAGATGCCAGCACTTCCGGTACGTTGATGGCTTCCCCAGAAGGAGTGGGCAGGAAAGAAGCGCTGACCGACTCGATTGATGAAGGTTTGAAGGTCCTTCTGCTGGAGGCACGCGATAGAATTGGTGGTCGATCGTGGTCGTCCGACATCGCCGGCTACCCTTACGAGATGGGCGGTACTTGGGTCTACTGGGGCCAGCCAAATGTATGGCGCGAAATCAGCCGGTACGGGATGCAAGACGATCTCGAGATATCGTACGACTTCTCCAGAGGCCTCAATCGCTACATACTAGCCAGTGGGCAACAGTCGCAGCATTTCACCCATGACGAAGAGGTGCGTTTTGGTCAATCCACAATGTCGGAGAGGAAATCTCATCAGCCGAACAGGACGCGTTGATGGAGTCGGCCCTGTCGAAGCTCGTCAACGTCGACGGGTCATATGGCCGCGTTGCGGTGCCGTTCCCTCATAGCCTGACCCTCAGTCCAGAAGAACGACGCTACGACCAAATGTCTGTCGCAGCCCGTCTCGCCGAGATCCAGAATGATCTCACGCCGAACGAACGCCTCTGCGCCGAAGCATTCGTGCTTTTGTGCAGCGGAGCTACGCTTGAGACAACGAGCTTCTACGAGTTCCTTCACTGGTGGGCATTGAGCGGCTACACGTACGAGGGCTGTATCAACCACCTGGTCAGGTACAAGTTCAGGCACGGGCAATCCTCTTTCGCGATTCGCTTCTTCAGGGAGGCTGAGGCGTCAGGCAACTTGTCTTACTCCTTCAGCCGACCAATCTCCAGGATTAGGGACCTCGGGTCCCGCGTTGAAGTCATCGCACGCGACGGCAAGACCTTTCGCGCGAAAAGGGTGATTAGTGCTATTCCTTTAAATATTCTGAATGATGTGCAGTTCGAACCTCCTCTGTCACCTGGAAGAAAGGCGGCAGCAAACGTTGGACACGTCAATCAGACCGTCAAGGTCCATGTCGAGACCAGCGATAGGGATCTGCGTTCCTTCACTGGCATTAGTTATCCACATAATGGGTTGATATATGGTTTCGGCGATGGCGAAACGCCGGCGGGCAATACGCATATTGTCGCCTTCGGCGGACAGCACAACCACTTTCACCCGGAGGACAACATCTCCAGGACAATTGCAGCCTTCAACGGATTTACACCGATGAAGGTTGACAGAATAGTAAAGAAACTCACCCGCAGGTAACAGAAGCCATGGCTAATCACTTCGACCAGGTCTTCCACAACTGGTCACGAGATGAGTTCGCGAAGGGGGCATGGTAGGCATCTCACCGACGTCGAATGTAGGCTTTGGCTCACACCTTTCTGCAGGTTCTTCCCGGCCCCCGGTTTGCTATCCAATCATTTGAAGGACCTGAGGGAACGGCAAGGAAGCATTCTTTTCGCATGCTCGGACTGGGCGATTGGCTGGCGCAGCTTCATCGACGGAGCAATCGAGGAAGGGACTCGCGCGGCAGCCACTGTGCGTGCCGATCTTATAGGTAGACCGAGGCTGTAACGGGCCGTACTGACGCTATTCATGACATTTGACTGGCTGAACTGAAGCTGTAGGAGATAAAAATTTACGTCTTGATGTTCTCACATTATGAGTAACGGCCTCTGCCGTGTCACCACGTCGGTCCAATGTGACGAGCCATGCGCTGACCAAATCAACTCCAGCGTTTCGAGTGCAATGGGGATGGTGCCGAACCTCGTGCACTCGAATAAGCCCCGCAGACGGTTGGCAAAGAATTCTCGATGCTGCGGCAGAGAACTCTCGGCAGCTGCCACGAAGCATGCCCACACAAGTGTGTGGCCGCCATCTTCCTTGGGATCCAAGTCCGCTACGGTATCTTGTATCCGCTCAACCAGCTGAATAGACTGTTCTGGAGAGATCATGTGTAGGGCGCGACGGCGATAGATGTCGCAGGCTTGTTGTATGGCATCCTTCATAATTCCTATCCTTTCACGTTGTCCGGAGGCGAGATGTTGTACTGGACACGCTGTCATGAAGTCCATGTAGAAGTCAGTACACCGGTCGAGAGCCTCGATGCCCTTTTGTTCGCTCGAAAGAGGCAGACCGAATAGCTCGAACCTGATCACGGTCCCACCCATTAGCACCAGTTCAGACGGCGTGGTATGGAACCCAGCGTTGAACCATCAGCGACTTACATGCGTGTCTGTTCTGTGATGAAGGCTCTGGTCCCTGCTGACAGGGACTTGACAGATTCGGACGATCGGGCCAGGCATGAAAGCAACCCGAGAAGATGCACGTAGTTCTTCGAACCTGTTATCGTGTCACCAACGAGCAAGATCAAGATCGTCGCCCACGTAGCAATGTCGAAGAAATGCCGCGGGTCGAGGCTTAATGACTGGCGATAAAGGCGGGTCAAGATAGCCTGCTGTCCAAGCTCTGCAGCTTCGCGCATGTGTGGCGCTTTTTGCGCGAGATGAAAGGCCGCGACGGCCAATACAGCTTGCTCTACCATGGTATTTTGGCATGCAAGAGGCAAGATGATCTGGCGATAGCCGTTTCCCGCATAGTCAAATACAACCATCTTGGCAGCAATGAAGTTGGAAACTAAATGGAGGAGCAAGCTCAGAGAGGAAGAGACGGGGCGTGGGGATGATAGATTGGCAACATACAGTGATCGAAAAACATTCTGCTTCGCGAGGTTACCGATTCCAGCGGGCCCCGAAGAGATATAAGGGCCGCATTGCCGGCCGCATTGTCGCGATCTTGTGCAGCAGAGCCATGTTCACCGTCATGTGGAGGGTGAGCTACCAGTATCGCGAAAGGTCCCTGCGGTAGAGGTATTTGGGCGAGGTGCTGCGCTTGGACTGGCGATTTGCCTGACAATCGGCGAGCCGGCGCACGGCCGTGGGCCGACGACTTGCCCGTCTCTGGCGATTGGACATCTCCTTCTGAGAGGGATGGAGTCGGTCGTCGAAAGGGCCGTCGGGCTGGCTTGCCTCTTGAGGTCGGCTGGACCACATTGTTATTGACCTTCAGCGCACCGTTTTTTGAAGGACATGCGACGGTCATATGAGAGCTGAAGCGGTACTCGATCCCCTGCCCGGAGCAACAGATGCCCTTTTTGCGACATTTGAAGCACTCGGGCTCCTCCTTGTCGCACCGAATACGACGCATGCGACATTGGACGCAGCCTGGTGGAAGAAAGGCATCAACAGTTAGCCACGCCATGCGCCGTTATGTGTTACTGATTGCAAGTGCACACCATCGTTTCGCTTTGCTAGCGACATGGCCGCCGCTGCCTCTCTCCGGCGCGTTTGCGTTTTGACGCACGGGTGACAAGTCGAGTATGGGGTAGAAGCGACCGAGATCCGTAGAGCGGGTCGCGATGCAACGCTGAGGCCTCAGGGCACAGATTGAAGAAGAGGGGCTCACGGAGAACGATGAAGAGCATGCCCAGGACTCCAGGAGAGTCAGGTGATTGCCTGTGTTGGACGCTGCTTGTTGGACTCGTTGCACGCATCCTCCGGGCACCTGTTGCGCCGGTCGAACCGTGGCATGGGCAGCGCAAGTTGGTTGCAAGTTGCAACATGAAGCCGCTTTGCCCCATCGAACCCCCGTCCCCTCCTTCGAGTACGGAGTACGTACGGTGTACAGGAGCACGGTAACAGAGTACACGACGCTAACTACCTAGTAACTTAATACGTACCTGCGTACCTAGCTTTAGCCCAGTGCGCATCCAGGGTCTCCGGAGATCGGACACAGCGAGCTGTGGCTGTGGGGTTCTCCTTGGCAAGGAAGAGACCAGCGGCGGCCGAAATGTCTGGGTCTTCTGGAAGGTGAAGGCCGGTCGGCCGCCTCCAGGGCCGTGAACCCAGCGTGGCCAGCGGCCAACGCGCATGTTTGTGGGGGTTGGTAGTGGCACCAACACTGCGGGGTCGGATCCAGTTGGCAGTAAACTTCACAAGGGCCGACTGTGTGCGCGACTTTGGTGGCTTGATGGCACAATCTGCGAGTCGTGGACTTGCTTTTTCCTGTTTGCAAGCAAGCTGCCCTGTCCTGTACTCGGTGCTCCAGTCCGTAGGCCAATGTTGTGGACGGCCCAGCCCCTGGTTCGAGATTTGATGTCCGCTTCGTACGATGAATAATGTACACGTTGACGACATGAATGCTCTTGCGTCTTGCTCAAAGTCGAAGTACGAATGGGAGCGACTGCTCCCCAGCAGGGGCAAGTGGACGCCGAGACACATCAGAGGGCATGTTGCGATTTGTCCTTGCGTGGGTTCGGCTTTTGACTCTTGATGCAAGTCTCTTGATGAAGGGCAGATGGCGTAGTAGTTACCCAAGTCCCGTCACTGGTTAACGCCGTACTGACGGCCGAGCCCCTGCGGCAGACGCCGTGCATCGTGTGGTTGCTCCTCCCCTGTGCCGAAAATCCCGTAAAAGACCCCATCTTGCGAGGTGGCTCACTTTGGCAGGTTTGTCCTCAAGACTGCATGTGCTCGCAGCAACGTGTTCACCGGAATACCTGTCTTTGACGGAATCCGTGTCGCGTCAAGCCAGCCCGACATCGCATTCGAATCAAGAAGTGCAGTCGAGTACATAAACTAGGCCATGGAGAAGATGCGAATCGAAGCATTGCAGCGGTGAAGTGTCCCCAGCCGTGTATGTGTCCCGCGTCGTGCGTGCACGACTCCACTCCGTTCGAGGCGCACCTTGGGTTCTCAATCGCAGCAGTGCGAGGCTGTGAGGGCATTCCTGGGTTGCAATTGGCAGGCGGCTTAACTCGTGCGAGCGGTGACGACTGGGCCGGGAAGATGGGGCATGCCGCATGCACGAGGCACTGAGTAATGGCAGAACGCGCACATGCTCCCTCCATTTCCAGATGCCGGTAGTCTCGGCTCGGCAGTTGCGACCGTCATCCGTTGACGGAGATGCGAATGTCGAGCGAAGGGGGTCTGGGATGCTGGCAATCCGGGCTCAATCCGGGCTCACTGTCGCCACCCAGGCCTCCATTACTCCAGCGGGGTTTGGCAGCCAGACTGTCCCTGGCCGGCAAGGAAGCGGTCCAGCTCCGCCTTACCCTTGCCAAGTGGCACAGTTCAGCGCGGGAGGGACCTGATCCACCGCCTCAGCTGCTACTTCATCCTGGCACGCCCGTGTACTCTTGTAACCCAGAAGCGCTGGCGTGACTTCGTAATGTGGGTGTGGTACCCGAACGTTGGGTAGTCGTATGACGGGAATGGGTGTATGGGAGAGTCCAGCTCTGATACTGCGATACATGTTAGCTCAATCCCATTCCTCGACAGTAGCACACCATCTGGTGGATCGCCCGTCCGCGCGTCGGGTCGAGCGTAGAGTCAAGCTTTCACGCCGAGACGGCCACCTGTCGACCATGACGTTGTGTACAGGAGCCTACGCCGATGTATTTGATACGGCTTCGGTGCATTCAAGCAACGATACCAATGTACGCACGTCCGCCCAATGCTGCCCGTCGTCCTCGCCACCGGCCACTGAGCGCACCACATGCAGTCACGGCATCAGCGCCATTCCGCGCGCGTCCGACGTACCTTTGGACCAGTCTAGACCCAAGCCACACTCCAGAGGCTCAGCTTGAAACGGCTCGCAAATCTCGAGCAGTCTGGATGCCTTTCTGCACCGACGGGCGTCCGTGCTCCCTCCCGTCTCCAACTCATCGTCAATCCCGCCCGCCTCCTTTGCCGCCGCACGGGTCATTTCCTTGCACGGTCGCCCGACGCGCCTTCGAATGGCCGGGTAGCCTCGCATCGCCTGATTCCAGTCGACGCCAGGCGGTGACCGCCACGGCCGAAGCAATCTTCATTCTCGCCGCGTCCTCGGTAGGGCGTGAGCTGAGCGACTGATCCTCCGACGTCGACTCTGACGACCTGCGACACCACGAGCACATGCCTTGAGGGTTCTGTCGCATCACCTCACCTGGATCGGCTGCCCCTATTCCACGACGATCCCGCCCGACCGCCTGCGCGCCTCAGCATCAGAGCGCGGCGTCCCGTCATCGGCACGACCGACTACACGCGCAGCCTCTGGGAATCGTTGTGAGTCTTCAGCTGCCTCGTCAATCGCTCCGCCATCCCGCACCCTTGGCACCCGAACATGATGGACGAAAGTGTTCTGGCGGCGGCTGCCGACATTGTCGCGTCCCTCGCTGCCGGCAATTCCACAGCTTCGTCCCCGACCGACCCCGCTGGCCGCCAAATTGCTCTTCCCGGGTCCGAAACCCAGGCTAAGAGGCATCTCGAGGCTGAGCTCCAGAAACTCGCGATCAGGGTTCGCCACCTCGAGAGCAGAGCGTCCGTCGCCACGCTTCCCACTCTCCCGCAGACTCCGAATGAGCTCAGTGATACACTCTTCGGCTCAAGCAGCGTTTGCAGCCCTGCCGCTGCCTCCAAGCAGGCTTCCCAATGCGTCGGTCAAGGCGCTGCTGCGGCAGCAGAGAGCCCTCCTCTCAAACGCCGCCGACTGGACCACGATGCGCTTGATGCACTGCAAGAGCACGTCACAGATCAGTCCAAATTGCTTGACACCCAGCGTCAGGAAATCACGGGCCTCAATGCCCAGCTGGTCACACAGACGAGGCTGCAGCAAGGGGCCTTGGATATCTTGGAACACAAGTCTGTTGCGACCTTGGAAAGAGAGCTGCTCAAACACCAGAAGGCCAACGAAGCGTTCCAAAAGGTCCTCCGGGAAATCGGCCAGATTGTCACCGCTGTTGCCCGTGGCGATCTGACGATGAAGGTGCGCATGAACGCCGTGGAGCTGGACCCCGAGATCACGACATTTAAGCGCACTATAAACGCCATGATGGACCAGTTGCAGACCTTTGCAAGCGAGGTCTCTCGAGTAGCACGCGAAGTCGGCACCGAGGGTCTCTTGGGTGGGCAAGCAGTGATTGGCGGCATCGACGGCACTTGGAAAGAACTTACAGACAATGGTATTGTGCCCTGTGCGATGTTCAACGTCCCTGACTCCTGACTGACCACGCTCCACAGTCAACGTCATGGCCCAGAATCTCACCGACCAGGGTTTGTACTCCATTCCACGTGCCGATCATGAACCTTCTGACTCCTCTGCATAGTTCGAGAAATTGCGTCAGTGACAACTGCAGTCGCGCATGGCGACCTGACAAAGAAGATCGAGCGCCCTGCAAGGGGCGAGATCCTGGAACTGCAACAAACCATTAACACCATGGTCGATCAGTTACGAACCTTTGCCTCCGAGGTTACACGTGTTGCCAGGGATGTCGGCACCGAGGGCATTCTTGGAGGCCAAGCAGATGTTGCAGGCGTGCAAGGAATGTGGAACGATCTGACCGTTAACGTTAACGCCATGGCCGACAACTTGACGACTCAAGTCCGCGATATCATTAAGGTTACTACTGCAGTGGCGAAGGGCGACCTTACTCAGAAAGTTCAAGTCGATTGCAGAGGCGAGATCTTCGAGTTAAAGTCCACAATTAACTCTATGGTCGATCAACTACAGCAATTCGCGCGAGAGGTCACAAAAATCGCCAAAGAAGTCGGAACCGAAGGCCGACTTGGTGGTCAAGCGACCGTTCACGATGTCCAAGGAACGTGGAGAAACTTAACGGAGAACGTTAACTACATGGCCATGAACCTAACGACACAAGTTCGCGAGATTGCCAAGGTGACTACGGCAGTAGCGAAGGGAGACTTGACAAAGAAAATCAGCGTTGAAGCAAGGGGAGAAATCCTCGAGCTAAAGAACACTATTAACCAAATGGTCGATCGACTAGGCACCTTCGCCCTAGAGGTTAGCAAGGTGGCCCGGGAGGTCGGAACCGAAGGAACTCTAGGCGGGCAAGCGCAAGTTTCGAACCTCGAGGGCAAGTGGAAAGATTTGACTGAGAACGTCAATACCATGGCCTCAAACCTCACAGTCCAAGTGAGGAGCATATCTGCGGTAACGCAAGCTATCGCCAATGGAGACATGAGCCAAACAATTGACGTCGAAGCCAACGGAGAGATCCAGGTATTGAAAGTCACGATCAATAACATGGTCGGCCGGCTCTCGAGCTTCTGTTATGAAGTTCAGCGTGTTGCTAAGGACGTCGGTCTTGACGGGAAGATGGGCGCTCAAGCCGACGTCGTTGGTCTCGATGGGCGTTGGAAGGAAATCACCACAGATGTCAACACAATGGCCAGCAACCTGGTACGCGGACCCCGTCACAAGGCTTGATTCAGTGTGCAATTGCTAACTGTAACTAGACAACACAAGTGCGCGCGTTTTCTGACATTACCAATTTGGCGACAGACGGCGATTTCAGCAAGCTAGTAGACGTGGAGGCATCCGGGGAGATGGATGAACTGAAGCGGAAGATCAACCAGATGATATCGAACTTGCGAGACAGCATTCAGAGGAACACGCAAGCTCGAGAAGCCGCGGAACTGGCCAACAGGACCAAGTCGGAGTTTTTGGCTAATATGTCTCACGAAATCCGGACGCCGATGAACGGCATTATCGGCATGACCCAGCTTACCCTCGATACGGACTTAACACAGTACCAGCGAGAGATGCTCAACATTGTAAAGAGCTTGGCCACCAGCCTCCTTACTATTATCGACGATATTCTGGATCTGTCAAAGATTGAGGCTAGAAGGATGGTGCTCGAGGAGATTCCTTACACACTTCGAGGGACAGTGTTCAACGCGTTAAAGACACTGGCAGTCAAGGCCAACGAAAAATGCCTTGATTTGACCTTCAAGGTCGATAGCTCGGTCCCCGACTACGTGGTTGGCGATTCGTTCCGTCTGAGACAGATCATCATGAACCTGGTCGGCAATGCCATCAAGTTTACCGAGCGTGGCTCAGTGGGTTTGACCATTCGCGAAAGCCCGGAGCCGTCACCGATTGACCCCGGAGAGTATGCCTTGGAATTCGCCGTCGAGGATACCGGCATCGGCATTGCCGAAGACAAGCTGGACCTCATCTTCGATACCTTTCAGCAAGCCGACGGCTCCATGACGCGCAAATTTGGCGGTACCGGGCTGGGTCTTTCTATTTCAAAGCGACTCGTCAACCTCATGGGGGGAGACCTCTCTGTCAGTAGCGAGGCCGGCAGGGGCAGTCAGTTCTACTTCACCTGCAAGGTGAGACTAGCGTCCGGAGGAGAGGAGCTTATCCAGAAGCAATTGCAGCCATATCGTGGCCATCAAGTGCTCGTCGTGGACAAGGCGCTCCCGAACTCTGGGACAGAGATTGAGGGTATGCTCAAGCAACTCGGCCTGCGACCCATCATCTTCAGCTTCGACGGGCGCCAGGTTTCCGGCAACGCCAACGGTGCCGTTCCGGAAGAATGCGACGCGATCATCGTCGATTCCATCGACACGGCTCGAAGATTCCGCGCACTGGACCAGTTCAAGTACTTCCCCGTTGTTCTTCTGGCGCCCGTCGTTAACGTCAATCTGAAAACCTGCCTCGAGCTAGGCATTACGTCCTACATGACAACGCCTTGCCAGCTCGTGGACTTGGGCGGCAGTATGATACCTGCCTTGGAGAACAGGGCTACGCCGTCGCTCGCCGAAAACACGAGGACGCTGGAGATCCTGCTGGCCGAGGACAACACAATCAACCAGAGACTCGCGGTAAAGATCCTGCAGAAATACCACCACGTCGTCACAGTGGCAGGCAATGGGCTAGAAGCAGTGGAGGCGGTCAAGGAGAAGAAGTTTGATGTGATTCTCATGGACATTCAGATGCCCATCATGGTAAGCGCATGCACTCTTTGGAAATCTGGACGGCGCGCTGACCTTGATACAGGGAGGGTTCGAGGCCACAGCGACCATCCGCGAGTTCGAACAGCGAACCGGTGCGAAGAAGACGCCCATCATTGCGCTGACGGCGCACGCCATGATCGGTGACCGAGAGAAATGCATGCAGGGGCAAATGGACGAATACCTATCGAAGCCGCTGCAACAGAACCAGCTGCTAGACACGATTCTTCGATGCGCCAGCCTGGCAGAGTAGCCGAACGATAGTGTCGATCGATCTTGTACATAGAACGAGGAGGTGGTCATTATGAAGAGCCAGAAGCGGTGCTCAATATACCCTTACGAGAGAGGAATTGATCCAACGCAACCCCGGGCAGGATTTGGATTATCGCGAGATCCTCGTGTGCATGTCAAGTCCTCCTCGCTGTCCAACCCCCTTACTCCCAAGGCGTCACCCTTGCCGGTCGCTACTCACTTTGACTGACAGTCATAATAGGCCGGTTACCACCATCGCCGGGAGGCGAGAGTGCGGCGCGCTGCTCATCAACGACCTGGCAAGGGTCGCCAACGACCTGAGCAATGTCTTAGCTCTCCCGGCTTCATGTTACGGCAAGGCGATGGCTGTTCGGCAAGGGGCAACGCCCCGGGAGTGTCTGGCCTTTGCTTCCTGGCGATTGTAAACGACGAGTACGGCGTAGTGCGCATCGCAGCCCTTTTCGCGTATCAGCTCGCGTCCAGATGGTGCCTCGGGATGGTTGGGGAGCTTCCTCCTTGAGCCTTCAGCTGGCAGAGGGAGACTCTCAGTAAGCTGGCATCATATAGCGTCAATCGGAGCAACATGGGCGCAAAGCTGCACCTTTGACGTGATCTCGTCCCAGAACGGAAGCTGCGACAACACGAATTTTGTTATACCTGGATCCGATGTTAACCACATTTGTCGTCATTGGCCGCTCGCTCGCTAATCAAGGGTGATTCAACACGGATGTCGACATCGGCCGAGCCACTGCCCCCTTATAATGTGCACCCCCTTCCCATGTAAAGTGCGTTCGCCACTTAGCTGTCTGCCTTGGTCCTAGCTGGTCGACAGACACGAGAAACGCGAGTAAAGGTCCAGTTGCAGTCGATACGCGTGAGACATGGCGGGCAGCATCGCGAGAAATACGACCTGAACAGCAGCATTCCTCCCGCTCAGCTCTTGACTTTAGTGGCCAAGGTATAAAAAGCGGCCCCCGAGACGAGATCTTCCATCTTAGCAATGCGAACAATAAAGAAAGAAACACACAAAATATCGATAGTGCAGATCCCCTCATCTTGTTTCTTAACATGAAGCCCATCACACTTGCCACCTCTGTCGCCGCCTTTGCGGCACTTGCGGCTGCGATGCCGCAGGCCCCCAACATGCCCCGTGATAGGGAAATGGCCGTGCCCGACGGCACTCGGGTGACCAGGCGCGGCAAGGAGCAGGGCGTTGACCCTGACGGAACGCGAGTTACCCGGCGAAGCAGGGACTTTCGCGTTAGCGACGACACGGATGGCACGCGAGTGACAGTGAGATCTCCATTGCGCTTCAGTTGGAAGTCTTTCTTACAGATTGCAGCGGCGACGAAGGGAAGACGGTGTTGGCGATGACACCGATGGAACGCGAGTCACCCGAGGAAACAGAGACTTTAGCGTCGGGTATGGCACGGACGGCACGCGAGTGACCCGGCGAGGAAGGGACCAGAGCGTTGGTGATGGCACCGACGGCACGCGAGTCACTCGGCGGGGAAAGGATCAGAGTGTTGGCGATGATACTGACGGTACACGAGTTACTCGACGAGGAAAAGAGCAGAGCGTAGGTGACGGCACCGACGGAACCCGAGTTACGGTCTAGGATGTCTTAACGCTCCTGATCAACTGGATCCAAAAGTCTGTGCGGTAAAGATTGAGAACCGTATCCCCCTGCTATCGCCTAGGGGAAGACCGGCATTTGGAGCGAACAAGTAGAGCAAAGAGGGCGGTGCTTTCGAGGCTTTGTTTCACATGTCACTCGCTATCTATAGTTGCCAAGAAGTTAACCTACAAGCAATATCTGGCCCTGATGATGGTCGCGCAGAGGCGGCGTGGCACCCTTGAAGTAATGGCCGTGTCACCAGTAGAAGGGATCGGTCCACTGGCTACATGTTCCTACTTCGCACACAAATATTTTCCTACTACACATGCTCTCAATTCCAGGCTTCCGGCAACTTCAACGGCAGATGGAACAAGCGCTGCCCCGCAGGCGACGGCTTGGGCATCCGACCCGCGCGGACGTTGGTCTGAAGAGACTCGTGGAGCAGCCTGGGCGCCGCCAGAGCGGCATCGCGGGCCTCGCGGAGGGACACAAACTCGTCCTCGGTGACGCCGCTCCGCAAATGCTTGTTCAACCTCCTGTGGTCCTCCACGGTCATGCATGGCACAGGGCCACGGCCTTCGTCTGGGGGGTAGTCGTGTCCCGTCCAGATCCTGACTGTGGGGGGCAGGCTGAGAAGCTTGCGACCCGAGGCGTAGAGCGTGTGGGCACTGCCGCCGGGGAAGTCGCAGCGGGCGGTGCCAATGTCCGCGTGGAACAGCGAGTCGCCGCAAAAGACATTGTCTGCGACGGCAGTGTCAGTGACCCTGTGTCAATATGAGGTATTGAGGCGTTGGACGAACCGCCGATCTTGTAGCCCATGTGGTCGGGTGTGTGTCCCGGCAGATGGATCGCGGACGCGGAAAGCTGCCCAATGTGAAAGACCTCGTCGTCTTCGAGCAGCACGTCAAACACGGTACGGTACTCCTCCTCGAGCACGCCGTAGCGCTCGGCAAAGAGCTCCTGGACCTGGCCGATGCGCTTCCCGATGCCGATGGGTGGGCGGTGTCCCGTACGCCGGACGAGCTGACGTTGGAGGTACGACGCCGCCGTGAGATGGTCAGCGTGCGCGTGCGTCTCGAGAATCATGTCGACCCGATACCGCTTCTGCTCGACCAGCGACAGCAGCGCATCCGCAGAAGCGGTAGCCACGGCCCGGGCGGTCCGGTCGTAGTCGAGGACAGGGTCGATGATGACGGCGGCGGATGTCGTCGGGTCGGCGACGACGTACTGCCACGTCCCCGTCTGTGTCTCGAACAGGGCATGCACGGTGGGCTGCTGCGCTCCAGAAGCCTCGACAGTGTGGAGGTTCTTGTCGGTGGTGGTTGTAGACGCGCTTGGTGTGTGCGCGGAGACAGCATCAGTCGAGTAAGGGCGACGTGACCGGACGCACATCCCGTTGGGCTTGACCGGCCTTGGAGAACCTGCAGATGTTGAGGTCGAATTGGAATAGAGTATGTTGCCAAAGCCCTTGATCACATTGAGTCGCGGCGCCTCTGATACGGCGCGGGTGCTCGCCGCAAGCGCGCGACGGCAAGCACAGACTGGCAGAGCGCTCATTGTGACCATGGACGCGCTGCTACGGGAGACAAAACGATGGTCGAGAAAGTGTCGTACGGTTCTTGCAGGTTTACGAGGCAAGGATCGGGAGATATACGAAGTACTGGTTACGGGCACCCTCACCGGCGGCCGACAAGCCATGAGCGAGCCGACCGGTGGACCTGGGCCGGCAGTGCGCTGGGAAGAGGCTCTCCCTCCGTCTTACCCCGTCACCGAGTGCCGGACGGGTCCTCCGGGAGGGCCGCCGGGGTTGCCACTGGGCGCTCCGGGGGGGAAGGGGGAGTGGAGGGGACGCATGTGATGCGACAAAAGCTGGTTTGTCGTGCATAAAGGCATCCGCGCGCGGGAGTCGAGCCGAGCGTCATCGTACGATGGACGGGCCGGGGCGGGTTTGGGTAGGCGAGTCACGGCTCGACGGTTCGGCGACCTGGGCGGGCTTCTGGTGGAGACGGGACGTACTTTATCTTGGGGCGCGGCAGCCCGAGAGACGCAGCGGGCAGTAAGGAGGTAAGCCCAGTTCCGTACGGCATTTTGGGCTGTTTCCGTCGTGGAGGAGAGTGCGGAGTAAGGTTCAAGATTGTGTTTCTCGGAGACGTAAACTTTGCTGCATGTGGCGGGGGAAAAGGGATGGAAGCCGTGGAATGCGCGACGGGACGGAACAGTGCCGGCCAGGGGCCTTGCATAGGGGGCCACTGCTGGTAGGTACTGCTGCAATGGATCCATGGAACTCCTGGAACCCGGGGCGGGTGAGACTCCAGCACTCGCCAGGGCCCGGGCCGCTGCCAGCCTGCCGGCGGCAGCCCTGCAAGCCGCCAGACAGCGCGCCAACCGACTCATGGGCCCCTGAAAGCCCCCCCAAGACGAAACCAGCGCCAGCAACTGCTCCAGGTCGCCGCGTCGACTTAGCTAAGCGGATTCAGGGCCCAGCCAGGGCGGCTACCGGGCGGCAGCTCCGACAGCCGCCCAAGCCGCCTCGGGGCGTCATCGCGCAATGAGGTAGGTGGGATGGAAGTGTAACCTATTGCACGTCTGACAGCGACACTTTTATTAGTGCCTGCCGCCGCGGCGCGTCTGGCTGCGAACGTCGAAGCCACCGTAGCACGCGATCAATATTTCTGTTTCTCTCTGCCTTTTGCGCCTTCCTTTCCTTTCCTCTTCTTCTTTCTCCTGCCGTGCCGTCTCAATTGGTCCTTCGCTTCGTGTCACCACCACAACACCTGCCGCTGCAGCAACATGCCCGGACCCTCGTCGTCGCTGCTGCGCGGCGGCCCCTCCAGGCTGCTGGCCGCCACCGCCGCCGCCGCCTCGCGCCGCCGCCTCCTCCTCCAACAGCCGCGGAACGCCCGGCTCCTCGCGACAGCTTCGGCCGTGAACCCCGTCTCGCGCAGCCACCGCGTCGTCGTCGTCGGCGGAGGCAGCGCCGGCCTGGTCATCAGCCACCAGCTGCTGCGCTCCGGCAAGTTCGCCCAGCACGACATCGCCGTCGTCGACCCGGCCGAGTGGCATCACTACCAGCCCGGCTGGACCCTCGTCGGCGGCGGCCTCAAGTTCAAGGAGGACCTGCGCCGCCGCCTCGACTCCCTCGTCGATCCCAACATCCGCTTCTACAACCATGCCGTCGGCGCCTTTGCCCCCGAGAGCAACGAGCTTACCCTCGCCAGCGGCGACCGCCTGAGCTACGACCAGCTCGTCGTCGCCCCCGGCGTCGGCATCAACTACGGCAGCGTCAAGGGCCTGCCCGAGGCCCTCGCCGACCCCCAGAGTCTCGTCTCCTCCATCTACGGCTACGACCACTGCGACAAGGTCTTCCGCACCGTCGACAAGCTCAAGGCCGGCCGCGCCATCTTCACACAGCCCGCCGGCGTCATCAAGTGCGCCGGTGCGCCCCAGAAGATCATGTGGCTTGCGCTTGATCACTGGAAGCGCGCCGGCCTCTACAAGCCTGCGTCCGCCGACTCCCCCATCCAGATCAGCTTCGCCACCGGTCTGCCAGTCATGTTCGGCGTGCCCAAGTACAGCGCCAAGCTGGACGAGCTGCGCAGGGAGCGGGGCGTCGAGGGCCTGTTCCAGCACGACCTCGTCGCCGTCGACGGCAACGTCGCCACTTTCGCCCGCCCCGACGGACAGGAGCAGGTCACGAAGCGCTTCGACCTCTTGCACGTCGTGCCCAAGATGGGCCCCCACGCCTTCGTCAAGAACAGTCCCCTGGCCAACGAGGCCGGCTACGTCGACGTCGACGACGCCACGACGCGGCACAAGAAGTACCCCAACGTGTGGTCCGCCGGCGACGCCTCCAGCCTGCCGACGTCCAAGACGGCCGCCGCCATCACCGCCGAGGCCCCCGTCCTCGTCCGCAACCTGCTGCGGTCTACGGAGGGCAAGGACCCCGACGCCGTGTACGACGGCTACACCTCGTGCCCGCTCCTGACCGAGTACGGCAAGGTCCTCCTCGCCGAGTTCAAGTACGGCGGCGTTCCCAAGGAGACATTTGACGGCTGGCTCGGCATCGACCAGGTCGAGCCGCGCCGCGCCTTTTACCACCTTAAAAAGGACTTTTTCCCCTGGGTCTACTACAACTCCATGGTCAAGGGCACCTGGGGCGGGCCCAAGGGCTGGGTCAACTGAAGGGACAGCGTCTTTTAACAGCTGCGGGTCGAAAATGCGTCCAAGTCCCGCCGTGTCCCCAACAGGCACATGGATTGCCAAATGAGCGCCTTTGACTCGCTGATGACCGGCTTCGCATGGCGAGTCGGCAGTACTTTAATGTCGGATCGACCGATCTCTAGTCGCCCCGGCCTCGAGCCATCCCCGAGACGTCTTATAGAAGATCGAACAGATCGAGTCGATCGCGACACGGGATTGGGTAGCGATGGGCGTCACGGTATTGGGTAAAAATGGGAGATGTGAATCCGTTGGAAATTAGGACGCTGTCGAGTGAGGTGGATGATCTACCAACTGGAGCTTGTACGGCACAAGATGCCCTGCTCAATAGACAGCATCGTCCCAAATATAAGTCGGACAGTTCATGTCTGCCAGTGGCCCGCCATGTGCATGTTACATTTCACATCTTCGTCCGTTGCTGGCTCGCATACACCGGACTGTACTGTGCCACTGGGATGCTCGGTCCAGCTGGCGATCTGTCGCCTGCAAGTCTTGCATTGCTGTGCGACTGCTGCCTTTTGTACCTTTTGTACGCATATTGTATGCCTTTTATACGCCTTTTATACGTACTGTACGGATAGCGGACTGGTGCCCATCACGCGCTGGAGCAACGGCCTCGCGCACTGACACGGACAAATATCCCGCAAGTGGTTGCACGACAGACGCCACGCAGGCGGGCCCCAACGTTACCAGCCAGCTTGCAAAGAGGTTCAAGTCACTGGGCAGTGTTCTCCCTTCTGGCGTCTGCCTACAGCACTTGGCCGTGCTGGGCTGTGTTGTGCTCTATGGTCCCAGTGGCCCAGCACAGGCCAGGGAGCGGAACGTGTTGCTTGCAGTTCTTTGAAGCTGAAACAAAGCCGGCATAAATTGAGGCAGGCCGTGGGCGATTGCCACGAGACTCCACGGGAAGACGTCCGTGCCAACAGCCAGCCAGCCGCCTCTTGAATGCTTTGTTGCGCGGTTGAAGCAGCACTCGAATAGACTACGACGGAAGAAGAACTCGCTTCACATCCAATACTTCGCAACATGCGGTACTCGACATGCAGGGCTTGCCTCTTGAAATCTTGCAAATATTTCGTAGCAGATACGCCGTGTGCATCTCCCAGCGCTTTGCGGCATCAGAAAGCGCTGAGGGGTCGATCGTTTTGGCTCCACGGCGCTGGCGGGCTCCATCTCAGTTCTATTTGCGTCCATGCCCCGTTGCGCTCGCCCGCGGCTGCAAGCCACGCTCATCTCGAAACGCCAAGATCCGATTCCCATCCGTGCACGCGCTCGTCTTTGTTCCCAAGCTGGGACAGCATGGGCGCCGTGATCGATTCACCCGAGTGTACTCGGCGCTCTTGGCCGGGAAGCGATTCCAGCAAACTGCTCTCGCCAGATGTCTCCTGTTGAACAAAAGGGCGATGGGGTCTTCTCGCCATCATGTTGTCGGGTATTCTCAACAATGGGTTTATCCAGAAACTCGGTCTTCTGTCGATAACGCCCACGCACTGGTGGGAGGTGAGGGAGCACAGGTCGGTATCACCCTCTCTCTCAACTCCACCAGCGTCAGCCTCCCAGCGCCTCACACACTGCAGACCCTCCACACCCGATCCATCACTGTCCCCCTGTTAGCCCACAGCAACACAGGCACGACTTCTCAGTCCTCGCGGGCGAAAAGCGCAGCCTTGTCGCTCCTGCACCACGGGAACAATCGAGTCAATAAGCTCACCCAACAAACGGTCCCGCATGGATGGATGGTCCCGTCGTGCATATGGCTGGCTTGGCTCTGTCCCTCTGTTCGAGTACTTCAGTATAGCTTCCCCGTGGGCCCCCCAGAGTTTTGACTTGGGGTTTATTATGCCGGTTCGCTCGTTTAGCCGGCCATCAAGGGGGCAAAGCACTCGTTATGCTCTCCTCCCTCTTTTTCGCTGTGGCAGCGTTGCCGTCGGCGGCGCTGGCTTATGGCCATGTCTTTAGGGATGTCGCCAAGGGTGCCTCGGTCGAGGTGGAGGACGTCGTGCGCTATCCCGTCACTGCCAAGACCAAGATGCCAAGCACCTTCGGAAAGCGACAAACCACCGTGGACATCATCAGCCAGAACGAGGGAACCTTTTACACCATCGACCTGGTCCTCGGCACGCCTGGCCAAAAAGTCACGGTTGTCTTCGACACGGGCTCGGCGGAGCTGTGGGTGAACCCCAACTGCTCCAATGCGTACGACCCAACTCTGTGTTCCAAGTTTGGCCGCTTCACGGGATCTACGACGCTTGTCGACGCGCACGTCAAGAACGAGATCCGCTATGGCACTGGTGGGGTCGAGCTCGCGTACGTCTATGACTATGTCCAGCTCGGGTGTAAGTTCCGGCCTCGCAAGTCGTCCTGTACGAGGTCTTCAGACTGAGTTTTATATGCAGCTGCGAAGCTCAAGCAGCAGGTCTTTGGCGTCGCCTTAAACAGCAACTTCACGGCCACTGGCATTATGGGAGCCGGTCCGATGGGAAACACTTGGAACAGTAGTTACCCCCTTATCATCGACTCTCTAGTCCAGCAGGGCTTCATCAAAAGCCGCGCTTTCAGTCTCGACCTGCGCAACATGGGCGACAATCGTGGCTCCGTCACATTCGGCGGTCTTGACACCAAGAAGTTTTCGGGCTCGCTCGAGAAGCGCCCAATTATCCCCGCTACGAATACACCCGACAAAGCCATTCGGTGAGTGTTCAATCCGCGTGCTTGTCCCCAACCCCTGCTGACGCACATAGGTACTGGGTCTACATGGATGGCATGTCCGTCTCCTCGGGAAATGGCACCACCACTCCTGTTTTCGACAAAGTCAACGGTGTTCCAGTCTTCCTCGACAGCGGCGGCACCCTGAGCCAGCTCCCGACCTACGTGGTCAAAGAGCTGCTGAAGTCTTTTCCGTCCGCCAAGAAGAACGGCAAGGTGTATACCGTGGAATGCCCCGCCCGGGACTCCAAGATGACGATCGACTTCAAGTTTGGCAACACTACCGTCTACGCTCCTGTGAACGACTTCATTTGGCGCTCAGGAAAGTACTGCATCCTTGGCGCGTTTGAGAATGACAGTAAGTATTCGTCTCCCATGTCCGTTGGACCTGCAATTGGTCTAGTGTCAGCAGCTGACAATCGTGACAGAGGATGCCATTCTTGGCGATTCATTCCTTCGTGCCGCCTACGTCGTATACGATCAGGACAACAAGAACATTTACATCGCCAACAACGAGGACTGTGGCAGCAACCTGATTGCCATTGGCAAGGGTCCGAACGCAGTGCCGTCCGTGGTCGGGGAGTGCCGACGTGGATTGTCCCTCGTGTCTTCGTCTGTGAGCTCTACCACAACCTCCTCGCAATCTAGCTCGGTGTCGGCGGCACCTGTCCAGTCGTCCAACTTCACTGCGTCGGGCAACTTCACATGGACTTCCGCCGGCAAGACGAGCACAGCCAGGGCGACGACCTCCTCCATTGTCACATCAACCATCAGGACCACCCGCACTTACACCATCACTTCGTGTGCGCCCACGGTGACCAATTGCAACATCGGCAAAGTGACCACCGAGGTTTACACCTCTTACACGACGCATTGCCCGGCTACTACCCATACATCGCAAGCCATGAGCTCAGCCATGAACACGACCAGAACGGGATTTCCTGACATCACGGCGACCTACGTGCTTCCTGTCAAGTACATCTGCCATAACGGTCCGAGCCCTTGCCCCAACGAGACCCGGCCCCCGCCACCCGTGGTGACCGTCCTTCCCGTCGTCACGCAGTCCACGACTGTCAAGGTTCCCGGCTGCGCATTGTGTAGCACTTCACCACGCTCAGCGTCGCCGTCCTCTGTAGCTTTGAGATCCTCGGGTGCAGCGAACGCCACTGGCGGCAAATTTGCACCAGCTTCTACTTTCACGAGCATGCCAGCCAGCGGCGCGGCACCAACATCAAGTCGCTCAACGACGGCGACTCCATGCAGCACCTGCAGTTCTGCTCTTCGGCCCCCGACCGTTACCGGAGGCATCGGCAAAGGATTGAATGTGCCCTGTGCCGCTGCTCTAGCTGTGGGTGCAGCGGCCGTTGGCTTGTGGTAGAGATGAGGCCTGTGACGGCCCAGCGGCGATTCGATCACCCACACCTTGAATGCTAGGCGTATCCAAAGCTCAGCCTCTGTATATTATCTAATTATTGTACGTACACTATCGTAAGCACAGATGGTCTTTTTCTTGTCTGTGAGACTCGCCCCTCGTCTCTTGCTCGATTCGGTTGTGTAGAGGCTCATGAGGCACTCTCACCACCAGGGACCAGCGTGGGCAGTGGCCAACGAAATGGATCTGTAGCTGCCACTCCCTGCCCCTATCATGCTTCAAGCTAGCAGGTGTGCTCGTATCTCGATCCATCTTGACATCACCTTCGATGCGTCATCAAGGTGTGAGCAGTTTCATGACGGTGACGAGTCGGGTCAGCTGGCGGGTGCACGAACTTGATGCATGGCCGCCTGGAATCGACGCGGGCTCGAGCTCCCACTGAGGCCAAACCCTAATCGTGGGCTTTGAACGCTTCAATGCATCCAGAAGTAGTCGATGGAGAATCGGGATTGATGTTTCTTGCGTAATGGTCGGTCGGCTCGTAATCTTTGCGCCTGAGGACATGGTGTCATTTATCTTGAGTGGTGAAGTATGTCTCCATGTCAATTGATGTTGCGTCAGTGACGCAGCTCTACGGCCTTGCAATCTTGTGTAGCATTCTGGTCAATGCGTTGTACCAATGTGTCATCCAAAGTCTAAGCCGTAATTATAGAAGATCTTCGACACCGTATATGCTAAGTTTTACGTTTCTTTCGTACTTTCTAGTACTGTATTAGTTGAGACTGTTTGGCAAGGTATGGGTCAGGGCCACCACAGCACATGTAGGCATCGATCTGGGACAGAAGGCAGGGCATAAAAGGTCTTAATGCCGGACTACACGTATCTTCTCGAAATTCTGCAACCGTCTTCAAAGTTCGTATTATCGGCCAAAATGAAAGTCGCTCTCAACGTCCTCTTCTGCGTCGTACCGACCCTCGTTCTCGCGGGCAACGACATGAGCTCCATGAATCTACCCAATTCGGTACCCGGTAGGATGAAGAATTTCATCGATCATCTATATCTTGGCGTGAGTGCAACACACAAATCCCTCGGAAACCACAGTTACTGAAGCCCCTCCTTGTGAAGAAATGCTACGTTGCGACAAATACATGCAACTACACGGTCCCGGCGGCGAGGCAGAACCCTCCGGGCACTGTAGACATTCATGGGTCAGTACCTTGCTTTACGGGCTTCAGATGGGTCGACGTGGACTTGAGGGTGAGTTTGACGGCCTGCAGCAATGCGACTCCACATCACCATCATGCTATGAAACGATGGGCTAACTCCCTGAGTCAGTGCGAGCGTGATGGCCAGTCTTGCGTGTTCTATACCGATTTTCCAAAGGCCGTTTGCGGTAAATCACTCAGGGTCTAAGCACAGTGCCGTCTCTGTGCGTGGTCGCAGCCTCATTCTATTTTGTCTGTTGGCAGTCGCCATGATCGGAAGAAACAGTTCAGAGACTCTTTGTTGTTGGTCTGGAAGCCGCAAGGCCATGCGCATTGTTAGCGCCCGTTGCCATGATCAGCTTAGGAATCCCCATAGACTTAAGAATTTAAGCTTACTTTCTTGCCTTTTCGCGCTAGACAAACATCTACAAGAACTTTGTGTCAAGCACTCTGCCATTGACTTGCGGCGATTCCTCAAGCACTGTGGCGACATGGAGGAGACGACTCTCACCTGCCAAGCAAACTGATTCATCGGCTCATTTTGCTGAAACTTTTAAAGAATATCTAGTCCCGGGGCCTGAGACGAGTTGTGTGGGTGCTGATGCCACCTTCCTCGGCGACAATCCTTCGGTGATGCCGCCATCAGACCGACCGCAGCCTAGCGGCGGGATCGCGAGGATTCCACCCTGGCCAGAGCTGTCATGATTCGTCCAGCAATTAATTCCTGTGTGGAAATCCCCTGCGTCAATCTTATACACGTAATCGGCTCACGAGTCATCTCTAGCCCAACGCAATTGTAGAGTCGGCATCCCGCAGCTTTCGCGGCAATTGAGTTGGGCGGGCCTACCTGCATGAACTGCTCCCACGCAATGACCGACCGTCGTTCTACCAAGCCCCACCACGCTTGTAAGTGTCGTCCGGTCTTTGTGCAACGCATCGTTGATGGCCTAGAGCGGGCTGAGCCGGGGCTGATGGAAGTGCCGAAGTCATAAAAGAGGCAGTGCCTCCTCAGCGACGACTTCGTGAAGATGCAGTCTAAGAACGGTCTCTCACATACTCCAAGATGAAAGCCTCACTCCTTGCATGGTCCGCATTTGCGACGGCCATTTCGTCCGCGTCGGCCGTCAATGACACCAGCTGTCCGGGACTGAACGAGAGCCTCATCGTCAATGTAGCCCCGGACTTTGTGAGGCCGTATGTGCTTCCAAAGTACAGGGGCCGCGCAGTCAAGCTCACGCCATCTCAAATCATTCGCCTCTCAATCACCGCCAACTCGTCTGGCGGGGCCTTCTCCCTCATACAGCACACCGGCAAAGATTCGGGATGGGCTTCTGCAAGGCCTCATACGCATCGCCAGACTCACGAGCACTTTTACTGCGCCCGAGGCCGCGTCGAGTTGTGGGGCAAAAAGAATATAACGGACAGTAGCCATGAGGCGAGGGTCGGCACGGTTGGCGACTACGGCAACATCCCTCCGGGCTCCATCCACACTTTCCAGCTCACGGACCCGGACACACAGCTATCGCACGTTTTCCACCCGGGCGGGTTTGAGCATCTGTTCGACGTCTTCAGTCTTGGCGACTGGGCGACGGATAGCATCAGTTCTCCGTACCTGGCAATCCCCGAAGACGACGCGCCGTTCGGTCCTCTTACGCCTGCCATGGACAAGCTGCTGCAGGGGTTGGATCTGTACGCCTCCCCCGAAGAAGAGTACATCCCCAGAAGAGACTTTGTCAACGGCACGGCCAGCGATGCAAGCCTCAACTGGCACAACGGCACCAATCAACTGCCCTCCGACTCAACCATCCCCTACTTTGTCGCCAAGGATTACGGGCCCAAGTACCTGAACTCGGAGGCCGGCTACAAGATCATCCAGCCTCTAGCGACATCTGATCAAACAACAGGAGGGAACTTTACCATGGGCACCATCATCATGTCGCCGAAGCGGGCAAATGAAACCGCGTCTCGGGCCAAGCTGCCCCATCATTTCGCATTGCAGATGGAGGATGGCCAGCTGGCACTCTCGGTACGCGGATACGGCTCGGCAACCTTGATTCAAGGGGACGTGGCCTTCATACCTGCCGGCGTTCCATTCACATACCATGCGACGGTTCCGTTCACGAAGTTCTTGTATATGAACGCCGGTGCAAAAGGCCTGGATCACGAGCTTCTGGGCAATAGCGTGAAATGGAACTTCACTGCTTATCCGAGCGATTGAGTCCGCCATGACAACTATGTACAGATCAAGCTGGCTGTATCGCGCCGGTACATGTAGAATACCAATGTCGAATCATAGTCCCGTCATTTCTGTTTCATGGCAGGCGCCGCGATGAAGCCTCTTGTACTTGAAGTCACTTCCCGACTGAATTGGGAATTGGATGCCGATCGTGTCCGCAGCACTGGGGTACTGGGTTCGGTGGCCGTGCGTCGAAACGTCCGCGGTGTCCGCCGCAATGATCAACCCGTACTTGCCGCCTTGTATCCAGGCCTCGTCGGTGCCGTTTGGCAGCGTAATATGAATCAATCCCGCGGTGAATAGAACAAACCTGCTTGTATCAGTGTCTGCGCGCACAGAACGTGTGGGGGTCGGGATATTGGCGTACTGGCGTGCGGGCGCTGTGTGCAACCCGCCATCGAAACGGCCTGGAAGAACGGTGTAAGTCGCGTTGGAGAGATCCCCGAGGAACAGCCCCAGCGCGCCTGAAGTTCCGGCGCCGGTAGAAGTCTTGAAAGGCGAGTCAAGCTGCCAGCACTCCAGAGTTGATTCGCCATGCGACGCGCCGATGGCGGTGAGGTTCAGCGTCGGCGTGGTCTGCTCGTTCAATTGGCCGAGCGAGGGCGCAGCGAGGGCAGCAAGCACAAGGGCCTTGAGGTACAACATGATGAGGGCTTCAAGAATCGCACCGCCAACGTAGCACAATATGTCGCAGATGCGAAGTAGCACGAGAAAGAATGAAGGCTGCCATCCAAGGGACGGCGCACAAACCCGGTGTGCGGATGGGCCGCAGAGCCGGAAAGTTTGATTCCATGTCTCACGCCGCCCGGCACTGTTGACGCCTCAAAGCTTGTCAGACGTGGCGTCACCGATGTGTCTCGCGCTCCCTGTCCAGTCACACAATAGCCATTCAATTTATTCCCGCTATTCTTCCCTTGCAAGCCGCTACTCTACGTTGATGCTATCTCGCTCACAGCGTAATTGGGGTACGTAGCCAGTGCCTTCGCGTGCGAAAGCGGGAGTTGAGGCTTCAGCTTGCAACCTTCAAATGCCAGTAGCGGGCAACATCAGCATGCGGGATGAACGAGCATCGAACAGAAGACGAGAAAAAGGGTGCAAGAAATGTATGCGCCGCGTGCAAGGAAGAAGTGAGGTTAGTCGGGCGATTGCTGACATTCTCCGGTGGTGGAACAGACGGCATGCATGTGGAAAACACGATGCAGATTCCGGGGAACCATGATCGGCCGACAGCGCACTTTGTAATCCGGCGTCAGAGAGAACGAGAGGAGCTGGTCCCAAATCACATATATTGAGGCGCAAAAGTGCATCACCGCTGAGAGGCACGGAGAGCACGAGGTGCCTACAGAAGCGGAAGGTAGTGCCCCATGTGGGCACTCATATTCGCCTCGCTCGAGTCCGTATTCTCCGAATGGGAGACACCGGGCCTTTGATGAGGTGCATCCGCGCCCCTGACGCTAGCCGGTGGCTTCAAACCACGAGCCTGTCATCTTGGTGCCGTCGCTGCACTCCGCAGGGCGCGGCGTCCGCTGACCTCGCCCCTTCGCCCATTTGGTCCGTCTTGTGGCTGCCTTTCGGTTCCGCGTACCGGGCGAGACACCGGCAGTTGCCACTGGCGAGCTTGGCACCGCAGCTGCACTGGGGACCCAAGAGACCTCAAGACTTATGGGCTTGACCTCCAATCTCTAGGGATCCTCCAGGGGTTCATACACCATTTTACTCATTGCGCGCATCCCACCAGCGTCTCTGCCTCGGAGAGACTGTCGGTGCCGGCTCGCTGTTACAGATCGCCGTCCACGGAGACCCATAGTCGCCCGTCTGTCGGAAGTGCTCACTCTCGCCAGCCGACCATTGGCTGCACTTACAAGGCACCAAACCCACCTTGCCCGCAAAACGCGTCGCAGGATCGTCGCACCTCACATGGCGCTCCGCTGGAACTTTGGCAAGCGCCCGGGATCGTCATACTCGGGTGTATGAAGGCGGCGCAGATCGCCGGGAGCTTGACGTTTCGGGAAGCTCTCGACTGCTATCGCTTATTATGCCGCTCAACTTCCGATTTGCGCTGCGGACAAGCGTGGCATCAAGCATAATCCAGACGTTCCACCAGAGTCTGGAGTCAGGGCCCGCAGGGACTAAGCGCACCATCCAAGGGCAAAGAAAGAACATGAACGAGGCGAGTCCAACACCAACCACCAGAATTTCAATGAGGTGAGTCCCATGTTTCCCTTTGAGGCTGAGATGTTGAGTTTCGCCCTCGATCATTGAGACCGATCAGCTCCGCCCAGATGCGCTCTCAGGCCAATACCCTTGTGTCCTTCCTCAACCGTCGTCGATGTCTTCAAGACCGTGCTCGTATTGAGCTCGTGAAAAGGTGTCGACTTAATTAACCTCGACCAAGTTTCTGCCTCATTGAGCCCCATCGGACCGCACTACAAGATCCGAGTTATCCGTGTGGAGAGCATGGCACTGCCGTGCAGGGGCAAGATACTGTACTTCTTTGGAAGGCGCCCAGTCGGAAGGATATTGACCTCCCAAATGCGGCACCTCTCCGGGGCATACCCCCGCCGGGATTGAGGCGGCCCTATCCGTAGCAGATGTCGATCTACCGGCTGATCCGTATTGAACACCAAGGCTGCCGCGTCAGATAGAGCTGAGACTCAGATAACTTGACTCGGGTTCGAAAGGTAAATGTCGGCAGCTCTGGTTCGAAGAAGCTGATGAGCATGATAGTGGTCGAGAACACTGTCTTTAGTGTTCCAAAATATTGAGGAATAGCTTTGCAAACAATCGTTTCGTCCGAAGTCGGAGATCGCTTTAGTCCGCATGCCATCTGAGGTTGTCGCAGAAATGGCAGGGCCCCTGACCTCTCGGTGAAGAGCCGCGAGACTATCCAAGATGGGGCAAGTCGGTCAAACCCCAGGCAAATGGGTCGGTTGTGCCTTGATGAAATGGCTTGTCGTACCCCACAGATCGACAGTCCCGACATCAGTGTGTGAAGAACATACTCGTAGAGAGATTGAATCTTGGACAACTCGTCTCGACTATAGTTGAGCAGGCATCTTGCTGGAGCAACTAAGTATAAAAGTCAGACGTCCCGTTCATCGGTCTGTACGTCTACCAGCTCAGCAGGTCCTTCCAAGACTCCAACAACTATCCTCAAGCCGTTCTCTCAACGCCGTGCCTTATATCTGCTCAGAAGCCTTCCCACCTCGCTCAGCAATCATGAAGTTCCTCGCTGGCCTCGCTGCTCTCGCCTCCGTCGCTGCTGCGGCGCCCTCCGCACCCACGCCGCTGGATGTCCAGCTTGAGATGACGGGCAACTCTCAAGTCAAGGCCACCATCACGAACCATGGCAAGAACAACCTGAGAATCTTCAAGACTGGCACTATTCTGGACAAGTCTGCCATCCAGAAGGTTCAGATCACCGGCGAGGGTAAAGTGCCTTTGAATACACCGACATTATCTGCCATGACTAACAACGAGCCCCGTAGGCAAGGACGTCTCCTTCCACGGCATCCGTCAGCGCATCAGCACCCGCAACATCAAGGATGAGGCGTTCCAGAACATTGCTGCCGGCCAGTCCATTTCCGTCACCTTCGATGTCGGCCACGTCCATGACCTCTCCGCGGGCGGCAAGTACAACCTCCTGGCCCATGGCGCCCTCGAATTCGCCAACGAGGGAGACAACAAGCTCATTGGATCCGTCCCCTTCCACTCCAACAAGCTCGAGGCGACTGTCGACGGAGCCAGGGCTGCCTCCGTACTGGGCGCGTTCGCTCAGAACGTCAAGCGCACGCAGCTCCAGAGCGACTGCACCGGCGACAGACTCTCCGTGACGCAGACGGCGCTGAAGAACTGCGCGCAGCTCGCGTCCGCCGCCGCCGAGGCCGCCAAGTCCGGCGACGCCGCCAAGGTCGAGGAGTACTTCAAGTCCTCCGACAGCCAGGTGCGCGACACCGTTGCGGACGTCCTCACCAAGGTCGCCGGCGAGTGCGGCTCCACCGATGGCGGTGTCTCTAAGTACTACTGCACCGACGTTCAGAACGGCTGCGAGCCGCAGGTCCTGGCCTACACGGTCCCCAGCCAGAGCTTCCAGGCTTACTGCGACCTGTACTTCAGCGACCTGCCCGACCTTGCGTCTTCCTGCCACCAGCAGGACAAGGCCACGACCAACCTTCACGAGACTACCCACCTGAGCCAGATTAAGGGCACTGACGACCTCGGCTACGGCTACGACAACGCCATGAAGCTGTCCACCCAGGACGCCCTCAACAACGCCGACACCTACGCGCTCTTTGCCAATGCCATCAACCTGAAGTGCTAAGATGACAAGGGCGGGTAGGATAGGCTGAGAGGGTATGAGCCAGGCGCAGTTATGAAAGCTTTTGGTTATGAGCAGTGGACTGCGTCGCTCAAAATTGACTAAATGTCGGGCGGATTGAGCCAATTTGGCGTTGCAATGTTAGCGAAGTAGCTGAATCTCTGAGCAAGAGATCATGAATATGACGAGAATTTGAACGACACGATTGAGCCGATGCAAGTAGGAGGCGGTATCGTGACCACGCAGTTCACACCTCTGCCTGGTGACTCACCATGTATACAGAATGACGAAGCGGACCGCGGACCCCAAAGTCTCCCGTGAAGAAAGCCATGCTCGTTTCCAATTGTCAAACTCACACAACAGGTTCGGCGTACAAAAAGGGGTATCTCCCTCTGTAATCGTCCGCGTAGCTCCGGTGGTCTGTCATCGGTCGCGATACAAACTTCGGCCAGGAGCCGTCACTCAACACTGGATCATGGGTTCCCTTCCGACCTTTTGTTTTCCCATTAAAGTCCTGCATAGCACGCGAATAAAGCTTGTGCCATTCACTGTCGGTTTTCCCTTCTCGGGGCTCTCACGAAGGTAGCGCGTTGACTGGTTGGCAGGTCGAAACTCATGCACCAAAGTTTCATGAATTGACGGAAGCCAACGCACAGCTTTACAGTCATGTCAACAATGGGCCATACACCTCTTCGCAGCAATTCCTGGAGGAATTTATTCAGCCTCTTAGCTTTGACAACGAGTACATGCTCACGTATGCGATCATCGACAAGTCGCTTCCGCCGTCGTCCGAGGACCCAGACGGCCAGCTAGTTGGCATGATCTCATATGTCGACGCCGACGACGAGAGCTATTCCGTTGAGATTGGCTTCATTATTGTCACGCCAGAGTTCCAGAATCGAGGAATCGGGACAACAGCGGCCGCGTTGATGGTCAAGCACGCCCTCGACAGGGAAGAGGATGGAGGGCTGGGACTCTGTCGCGTGGAGTGGCACTGCAGCACGATGAACACGGCATCAATCAAGACGGCACACAAATTACGCTTCAGGGAGATTGGGGTTGTAGAATTTGAACGGATTCTTCCGGAAGCAGAGGCGCGCGGCAAGATTGGCAACGGCAAGGCGAAGCCACCACGGAGCCGCCCCAGTGACCAGTGGAGGGACCTCGTCATGTTTGCGATCTCCTGGAGTGCATGGGAGGGCGAGGTCAAGCCTCATGTGACACGACTTCTGTAAGTGCTGCGAAAGATTCCGCAGCTTGCAACGGACTCGTCGCGCCTCTGTCATTATTCCAAATACCGAGCTCTGTGAATAAAGTCGAACAACAATGTCGCGCGGCCACGGCGTCTGCCCCAGCCCAAAGGACCCAACCGCTCATTGATAACCTCGGCTTCCTCGCAGAAAGCGTCAACGCAGGTGCCCAGTCCGTGTTTCATCGCATCATCGCATGGTGTTGGCCTCGTGCCCCGAATGCGACCTACGTGGCAATGCCCTTGCGCACGCCGTGAACGGTTGGCTTGGCCGTCCGTGATGCGTGCCTGCACGAGAACCTAAAATCCGCCGGCGTTGGGCCGCTGGGACCGAATTGCCATGTCGCATCATGACAGGGGTTGACGTGCGAGGTGCTGCCAGACGCCGAGGGACAGCAACCGCGTGCAGCCGGTATAGGTTCCTGGAGGCCAATGTCGCAGCGGCTGGACTCAGGCACGGCCTTTTTTGCGGTGTATTTTTATCGATACTTCCTGGCGGTGTGCGCCGCCGTGCTCGAGGCGAGGACCCAACGGCGTCGAGCCAGGGATTATGCGCTCGCTCATCACCAACCAGCATCATGTACAGGTCACCGGCGTCGCTATTCTCGCTTCCCGACGAGAGAACCCCAGACGCAATACGATGCCAGATGAAGGAGAAGCGGGCATAGCATTCGCACTCTATGCGGGGACACGCACTTTGTGGTAATGCGTCGGTGCACAATTCATTCGATCCGCCCGCATTGGAGCAGAATGCGTCAAAGTCTCGGATTAAGCAGTAGGTCTAGATCAAACGGCGAACCCTGCTCGCATGCTCCCCACCCATTGAAATCCCAGAGTACATGTATTTCGCTTCGCTGCGTAGTCTACAGTTACACGTCGCGGCCCAGCTCCTCGAGGTGTCCATCGCCCTGTCGCACCATGACAGTCTTCTGCAGCGCAGCCCGGGGCGGGAACTTGGCGTTGAAGACGGCGTCCATCTCCTCCAGCGTGCGGCCACGGGTCTCGACACCCAGGGTGAACCAGACGATGCTGTAGATGCAGTTGAGGCCGACGAAGATGAGGTAGTACCTCCAGTCGATGGCCTCGAGCGCGATGGCGGTGACGTACGTGTTGTACAGGTTGGCGCAGTTGGACAGAATGACGTGCTGTCATGAATGTTAGCTCATGGTGAACAGCGAGCTTTTGAGGTACTTCTGATTCACTTACCACTCCCATGCCCTTGGCACGAGTCGGGTTGTCGAGGACCTCAGCGCAGTAGGTGGCAGTGAGGGGGGTGTAGACGAAGGAGTAGGCGCAGCCGAAGAGGAAGATCTGTAACTGTCAGTCTGGTTTGCACGACCAGGGCTGGCGCCGAGGAAACTCACAAAGGCGATGCCACCGTTGGACAGGGCGTGGCTAGCCGTGAGCTTCTTGTCGCCCTCGAACTGGCTGGAGAAGCCCGTGACGGCGGCGAACAGGCAGGCAAGGACGATGCTGCCGACCCAGAGCTTGGTGCGGCGACCAATGCGGTCGTTGGTGGCCGAACCAGCAACGGCACCAGCGCAGGAAACGATGGAGTTCATGAAGGTGAGCAGCAGGCGGCGCTCCGTCGAGGTGATGCCGAGCAGCTTGTACATGGAGGGCAGGTAGTAGGTCAGGACGGAGTTGCCGGAGAGCTGGGCAAAGACGGACATGAAGGCCATCATGGTGAAGCGCCAGCGGGCGTTGTGGGTGTTGACGAGGGCCCAGTAGTTCCAGACGGAGGAAGCCTTCTGCAGCTCGATGCTGTTCTCGAACTCCTGCAGCTCAAGCTGGACCATGGGGTGGTTGGTGTCGCCGCCGCCGTGGTACTTGGCGAGGATGGCCGCGGCCTTCTCCTTCTTGCCCCACATGGTGAGCCATCGAGGCGACTCGGGGATGAAGAAGACGCCCGTGCCGATGATCAGAGGAGGCGCGATCTGCAGGGCGAGGGGCAGACGGAAGGCAATCTCGCCCTCGGACTTGCTGCAGGCATAGGCGACACCAGTGGCCAGGATGGAGCCGGTGTAGAAGACTGAGATGGGCCATGTGTCAGTTCCATACTCTCTCGTCTATCTTGAGGGACGGGCATTGTGGAACTCACAGGTGTTGTAGTAACCGACGACACGGGCACGCCACTGGGGAGGAGCCAGCTCAAGAGCGTAGGTGGGCGCGGCGGATGTGCCGATGGACACACCGAAGCCGAGGACGAAACGGCCGCCGAGCAGGTAGCCGTCGTTCTGGGCGGCAGTCTGGACGGCGGCGCCGACGACGATGAGGATGGAGCCCGTCAGCATACCGGCGCGGCGACCGAACTTGTCGCAGATGGGGCCCGTGAAGAGGGAGCCGATCATGTTGCCGATGGTGTAGATCATGAAGATGCTGTGGCAGCTTGTCAGTGTCCTGCGCGCTGCAATATCGACGCGACGCGAGAATACTCACATGCCAGTGCTGGAGCCCAGCTCCGTGTGCTTGAAGTAGTGCTGATACTGCGTCATGGCGTTGATGGAGCTGAAGATGGACTGCGCGCGTCGCCCAAGTTAGCGACATGCTGCCGTTTGCCGTCTTCACTTTGCGGTGAGACGGTGAGGGGGAGGGTCGGGAAGATACGCACGCCATCGAAGCCCGAGGCCGTCGCGTTGAGGGCGGCGACGAGCAGAATCATGTACAGCTTCAAACTGGTCTTGGACCACGGGTTGAGGGGCGCGGCGGTGACGGTCTCGTGGAAGTGGGCGTTGCCCTGGACCTCTGTGATCTTGCCGCCATTGGCCTTTTCGTACATGGCGTCGGCGTCGGCATGGTCGACGGTCGGCTGGCCGGCCGACTTGACGTTGTCGTGGGCGTGAGACATGGCGGGCGACAGCGGACGGAGACGTGTGGCTTGGGTGTCTGCTCTGTCCTCCGAGAAAGGCGTCGTCGTCGGTGGTCTCTGGGAGTCTCAAGACAAGAAGGACGGGGTGTGTGTACGTTCGGCGGTGGGCAGCCCGTTTATCTATTCCCAGAACCGGACACCAGACGAGACCAGACCACCACTCACCGGCGGCAGCAAGGGCAGGCCGATACGTAGTTACCTTGGGGTGCGATACTTTGGTACGGGCCGCTCCCACGGTGGTACGCGCGCGTGCGAGCTACGTACTCATTCAGGATCCCTGGCCCCCCGTCGTGTCGTGAGGTTGCCAGGAGCGCAGAGAGGGAGAGACAGGCCAGGCCGGGCCGTCGTGTGCCCTCTTCGGTGGTGGTAAAAGTGGTGGCAAAGGTGGTGGTGGTGGTGCGCCCCCGTGTACGGTGTCATCAAGCTAGTCCGACGACGGTTCCCCGGGGGGTCTCCCCCATCTTTTTTTTTCGCCGTGACCCCCATCTGGCCAAGCCACCCAGGGCCAGAGCGGCCTTGTCCTGGTTAATCCCGGGATGGTGGTGCTCTTTGCCCTTCAAGCGGCGCGCTGCCTTTCATGCTGAGGCGCTGGGTGGCCCCCCTTCTGCCTCGTCCGGGTCTGTGCCAAGCCGTCGGTCCATGCCAAAAGACGACGGGGGCGCCCTGGGGGCCGTGTTGTACCGCTGCTTGCGTGACCAAATGCTTCCGAAGTCCTCGCCCATGCCGAGCCCTGTGCGACTCGCCACGGTCCGGCCGAGACGCGTTGTTGCTGCAGCTTCCATCTGGTACAGAGCCGAATGCCTTTGCAACCGCCGGCATGCGTAAAATGCAGCCACGGACCAACCAAACGGTCAATCACAGGGCTGCTGCCCGTTTCCCCATGCATAAGTACCTGCTGACCCCCACGATGTAACTAGGGCCAAGCAATCGCAGGGTCGTCGGTTTCCGGGGTGCCACGACGGCACGCTGGAGCAGGGGGGAACAGTGGGAGAGGCCTCTGGCGGCAGCCAGACGGGCAAGGGCAAGACCCCAGCTGGAAACCAAGACGGGGCCGGCGCCGTGGCAGACGGGAGAGGACAGGGCTCTGCAGAGGGCGGCGGCCCGGGGGGCACGCAGATGCCAGCCGGGGCTGCAGCAAGCCTGGCAACCTGGAACTCGACCTGCCAGCCCAGTTAGTTGGCCAGAGGGCGTCTTTGGCGTCCCATGGGCGCGCCGACGGCATGGTTACAGTTGGTCCCAACCCCACAGCTGCTCCCCCATGGAGCCGTTTTTTAGCAGTTTTTCTGGGTCGGCGTCAGGGTAGATGCTTTAGCTTGTCGAGGCGACAGACGACGACGACGCGAGTTGACCGAGATGGAGCGAGGCTTGCGAGGCGGCGGTGCGGCAACGGCTCACTTGGTGACCTGCTACTTACTGAGTCGGCCATTTCCCCAGATTGACTCCAGTCCTTCTCCAGAAGTTTGGGGTGTGGTGCGGTGCAGCCAGCCGGCCGGCCGGCGAACCCCCCACGGAAGCCGTTCCGCGTCGCTATCGCTGGTCGTGGCACGAGATAGTCATAGTGCGGCCCTGCCCCCCATCCATGCATCGTGGAGGTCGCTGTCGTGTTAGCCGCATGCGGTCGGGTGAGATTCGACCCCGCATCGGACCACGAGGGCGCTGAGGAGGAGGAGGAGGAGAAGGAGGAGGAGCAGGTGGGAAGATGGGGATCTGGAGCCGGACGAGAAGGACTCTGGCTGGCCAATACTCTCCGACTGGCGCCCTTACGATTCGCCCGTTTCGCGCGTGTGGTTCTCTTCGCCTGTTCTCCTCGGGGATGGGGTCCCCGACATCGAAATCTTGGTAGAATGTGGCACAACCAGATGTGACTCCATACCAACACGATGGGGGCGTCCCCCGCGGCGGCCCAGAACCATCTCGATAGTTTTTTTCTGCATCTCACGTGTCTGGTTCACGCTCGACGCGACTCGTCTCGTCCCGCGCCCTCGCCGTCCCGGCCGTGCGGTCGGGCGAGATCAGGCAAGACACACGTATCATTCACTGATGAAGAGGGCGCTATCATCGGGGGTCCGACCAACACGCTCGGGACCCCCACGGTTGTTGTCGAAGCTGACGGCTGTTGTTGCTGCTGTTGCTGCTGTCAACTGTCTGTTCCTCCACCCCTTCCATGCCTGGTACAGGTCCACGCCCTAAAGTTAGTCGTACATGATATGGGTCGATAAGGTATCGAGCCGTCTGCGGTATCCTCAGCGGCACGGCTGCATGATAACGCTGATCCGGATGCCCGGGTCGCGTCAAGGTGGATTCGCGACCGTGGTGGTGGCGCATTGCAGCAAGACAAGTCATTACGATGCCTTGGCGTTTGTGGTCGGTATCGATGCAACCATCCCGCTGCGGCGTTCCTTCTCCAAATGCTGGGCAGGCACGGAGCCAAGCAAGCGGGGTCTCGCTCTTTTCGATGAGCGGTTTGGCATTTGTCTTTGACGATTTCTCGCATCGAGAAGGTCTTCTAGATGGCTCGACTCTTCCCCCGGCGATGTGTAGGGTAGCAAATGCATCGCTCGTGTTTCACACGATAAGGCTTGTCTGAGGTGCCTGAGAGGACCAATGTCACGCCATTTAATCTATTTTCTGGAGACATTGATGCTTGCGTTCGAAATGCCTCTTCTAATCGCTTTGCACCGATCTTGCTCGGGGACAACCCGGCATCTGCGAATATGCCGCCGCCCCCACAACCGAAGCACGTCGTCGTCCTGAGATCACTCCGCGGACCTCCGTGGAGAAACGCGGCAGCATTGGATACACAGCACGGTCTACGTTCGTTAAACGACATGGCAAAGCATGAATGGCTAGTAACGTATGTAGAGCTCGTGCGCTAGTGAAGAAGCTGCTGTTGTTCCAGTAGCTTGGACCAGCAGGAGCTCCCTCTTGTGTCTTTCAAGGTGGGGCGACGCCTCTCCATCATCATCGCCATCACGACTTGGACGCTGCAGCAAACACAACGCGTGCATGCTGTCGACGCGCCCGGCCAGAAACTGCCCATCACGTCTCAGCGCAGTCACAGCGGCCAATCTGATGGCCCCGAGGTCATCCAGACCGTCGGCGGGCAGAGCTGCGAGCTCCAGGCGCAGCAATGGGACCGCGTCGCGCAGCAGGACGCGTCGCGGCGTCGCCCAAACCACAGCCACGACCACGAGCGACAACGAGGAATACAACGACGATGGCGAGTACCGAGACGCCAAGTCGACTCCGAGCCCCCGGCCGGCCAAGAGACGCAAAACCGCATCGTCCAACAATGGCGTCGCCGACCTCCACCGCCGCCTCTTCGCCCGCGACGCGCCCGTGACGGCCCGCAACGCCTGCCTCCCTCCATCCCGCCGCCACTCACTCGACTACCACAAGCCGCTGCTGCTCAGCGCAGACCACGGCCTCGCAGGTCGCTCCTCGCTCCTCTCCTGGTTCGACTCCGTCAGCGCCACGCGCGCCATGCCCTGGCGCAAGCCGTGGATCGACCCTCGCCTGCCCGACGACGCGACCGACAACGACACGGCGCAGCTCCGCGCCAACCTGGAGCGCCGCGCCTACGAGGTCTGGATCAGCGAGATCATGCTGCAGCAGACGCGCGTCGCCGTCGTCATCGACTACTGGAACCGCTGGACGGCCCGGTGGCCGACGGTCCACGACCTCGCGCGCGCCGAGCCGGACGATGTGCTTGCCGCCTGGCGCGGGCTGGGCTACTACAGCCGCGCGACGCGAATACACGAGGCGGCGAAGCTGGCTGTCGCAGATACTCGCATGCGCGGCCTGCTGCCCTCGTCGGCCGCTGAGCTCGAGGCTCGCGTTCCTGGCGTGGGGCGCTACACGGCCGGCGCCATCGCGAGCATCGTCTTTGGCCGCCCCGAGCCCATGGTCGATGGCAATGTGCTGCGTGTGCTGAGCCGCCAGCTGGGCGTGTACGGCAACGTCAAGACGGATCGGGCAGTCATCGACACTATATGGGCTGCGGCCGACGCCCTCGTCAAGGCCGTCGCGGAGGATGGGGACGAGACGATCGTTGACGGGGAGGGCATGCGTGTGAACGACAGGCCGGGCCGCTGGGGTCAGGCGCTCATGGAGCTGGGCAGCACCGTATGCACGCCCAAGCCCAACTGCGCGGCGTGTCCCATCACGACGACGTGCCGTGCCTACGCCGAGGGCATGACCATGGCAGACAAGACAACCCGGTCCCCACGCGACATTGTCGCCGACATAGAAGACGCCTGTACACTTTGCCAGCTGATGGAAGAAGACGAAGACGACGTCGACACCAAGCCGCAGCCCGCCGCAAAGAAGCAGAACGGCGCGAAGCAGCTCTCCCTCGCCGACTTTGCCTTTAAGGTGTCGGCCGCCCCCAAGCCCAGACCCTCACCTACTCAAACGCAAGCCGCAGCCGTGCAAGCGGCTGCAGAGCACGCGCGCAAGTTCCCCCTCAAAGTCGCCAAGAAGGCAGTTCGCGAAGAGGAGACGCTCGTGTGCGCCATCCGCCGCCCCGACGGCTCATACCTGCTCGAGCGGCGGCCCGAAAAGGGCCTCCTCGCCGGCCTGTGGGAGTTTCCGAGCCTCATCCTAAACGACGACAACGACGACGCCGACGGCGAGGCGAATGGCGCATCGACAGCGCAACGCAGGACCGAGCTGGCAAGGGGGCACGCAGCCAAGATGCTGTCGAAGACGACGACAAGCTCCGCGGGCCGCGAACAAGAACAAGAACCCGAGCACCTCGGCGAGCTGGGGAGCGTGCCCTGGCTCTTTTCGCATCTGAGGCTGACGATGCACGTGCACCTATTTGCCGCTCCGGACGGTGCCGATTATAATGATAAGGCGGCCGGGGGCAAGTCGAGACCGTTGCGGTGGAGCGACGAGGTCGACGACGAGAGCATGGGTACTGGCATGCACAAGTGCTGGGCGCTGGTCAAGGACACAGCAGAAGGGTGATGCAGGACGACAGACGGATGATACAGAGCGACGGGATGGTGACTGGTGAGGCCACCGGCACGATGTTGGACAACAACACGATGATGCAAGGCGAGAAGAGGACGGCGCTGGACGGCCATCCGGCCGCCTTGGGTTACGGCTATGATGCCCGCTGAGGCATGAGGTGCCGGCGATATCAGGTCATTAGCCCACACTGGCGGCTCTCGCAGTGACATCGCCCTGCAGTGTATCGTGCCCACGTCGTCCATGTCGGCCTCTTCGTCCATGTCGTCCTCTCGAGTCCGCAACTGGCAGAGCTAGTCAGACAGCTGGCCACAGAGCTGGACACAGAGCGGCCACAGGGCTGGGCGCCGTGGCGTCGCCCTTGCCTGCCCGTGCTCGCACGGGATCACGGCGTCGAAGCCATGTGGCAAGGCGAGCTCTATTACGCCACTGGTCCGGCGCCCCGAAAGCATGTTTCGAGAGCCGCGGCCGCCGCGGCCGCCAGTGACAGACGCCAGCCACCCGCGCGGTGTCACCACCCCAAGCGTGCATTCATAGCTCCGAGCCGCATCCAAGGCATGCTGCGGGTCTGTCTACGCTACGTGTAACTACTGGCCCAAGTACACGCGAAGCCAGGGCAGACGGGAGGGAAATGGCGTCGCGCTTGCAGGCAGGTTTCATCTCCGGCGTACGAGTAGCTACAGCAAGTACCAGCCAGGACAGGGAGCCATCTCGGAAAACGTTCTAGAACGGCGGCAGCTCTGCAGCAGAAGGGGCATGGGGTGGCATCGCGTCGAGCCGTGTTCATGCAGTCGCGCAGATCATGACTGCAGGCACCAGACGACAACCGGGATCCCAGGATGCCAGGCAGGGCCGTGGGCCACGGCTGCGGGCCACGGTCAATCGTACATGCTCGCACCCTATGCAGACTACAGGGCGCACGCAGCGTTAAGCATAACCTCTCGGCAACTCCTGGTGGCTGAACCTTGGCATCAGCACGCGGCAGCCCCGTGAGCCATGCGCGCTGGTTGCTGTACTGTACTTGGTACCGCTTACTTCGAACATGTAGGAGTCCTGGCCGTGCCCAGACCCCATGCCTGGACGCCGAGCATCACGGTTTAGGATTCCATGCTTGGGGCCCCAGCGAAGGAGCCAGGAATCAGTACTAGGACGAGTGGCCAAGTGGAAAGACGGTCGCTGCATGAATCTCACTCGTGCCTCGTCTAAATTTATATGGAACCCGTTCGTGACAAGTAAAGCCCGAGCCAGGAGCCCGGGGTGGACTGACGACGGACCGGATTCGACTTGGGGCCTGCCCCCGTTTCAGCCCGCGTCTCCCGCCCAGAGCAGAGGCCCGGTCGCCGTCTCTGACCGTCACAGACGGGCTTACTACCCTTGATGAAATTAGAGAGGATGAGAGGGCAAAAATGGCCTCTGAGTTGCGGGCTTTTTCGCATGACACTAACGCCGTATTCGCCCATGGAGTCGGGTCGAGCCAATCTCGTGTCTCCCCCTGACTCCTGAAGAGGACTCGTCGGACTCCACCGTGGGCCGTCGCCCACTCTTGCGTTTCCGCCCCCTGTGTTGGGCGGGCTACGGCCGTCCGTCGTCTGCCTCCGTCTTCTTCCTTGTGACCTTTTTTTGACCTTTGCATTTTTTCTCTGTGCGGCCATTTGTCGGTTCGTACGGAGACGCGCGCTGTCAGTCTTGTACTTGGTAGTACAGCAGCAGCTGCAGGAGGTGGACAGTACCGTCCGGCCGGTCCGCCCGCCACAGTGACAGACTCACACACACACACGCACACACACACTTTCAGTCACACACACACGCACACGCTCTCACAGGGTCTCCCGCGCGGGGTACTACCACACACGGTCTACAAAGGGGTCCAACCGGCCGGCGGCAGGCACAGCAGCAGCAGCGACACAAGCAGCCATCATGAGCGGCCTCGACGCGCCCGAGATCGCGGCAGCGTACGAGGCGGTGCGCAGCGACAAGGACGCCACCAACTGGCTGCTCGTCTCGCACGCGACCGCCACGGGCAGCCAGCTGGCGCTCAGCAAGACGGGCACGGGGGGCATCGCGGAGCTGTCGGGGGCGCTCGACGACGCGCAGGTGCAGTACGGGTACGCGCGGGTCGAGTACGCCAACGACAAGGAGAGCACGCGCGTCAAGTTTGTGCTCGTCGTGTGGATCGGCGAGGGCACCAAAGTGATGCGCAAGGCGCGCGTCAGCGTCGAGAGCGGCGACGTGAAGCGCGCGCTGCCGCACCACAGCATCGCCGTGACGGCGAGCGACCGCGCGGACCTGGACGAGGGGGACCTGGTGGCGAGGCTGCGCAAGGCGGGGGGCGCCGACTACAACGGGGGACGGGGTTGAGTTGAGTTGCTCAATTGTGTTGAATGAGTTGTTGTTGAAGCGTTGTCGTTTGTGACGATGGTGGTGATTGATGCTGCTGCTGTTGCTGTTGTGCCCCCGGAGCCCCCCCGTCCTTGACCGAGGGCCCGATTCGGCAGTGGGTAAACCTAACAGGGACGGGGGGCATGTGGATGTGCGTGATGTGGATGGGCGGCGGATGGAGAACGTCGTCGGGATAGATGGAGACGAATGACGGAGGACGGGGTCAACGGAACTTGGTAGTTTCATGCATGCAAGTGAGCGACCGAGTGACCGAGCGAGCGAGCGAGTCAGGCAGTCAAAAGTCAAGCAAGTCAGTTGTCAGTCCGTCCGTCAGTCAGCGCAACGTGCCGAACCCCCGGCAGAAGGAGACCGAAAGATGAAGCGCGTTTGTCGGATACTGTAGTTACTCTGTAACTCCAGGACGGTTGCATTGCGTCGCCCATCAATTTCACCGAGCCCGCCGTCGCGCGCCCCTAATAACTCACTGATGATGAATGGAACGTCGGGCGGCCTGACGGCGAGCCAACAAGATGCCGTCGTCGTATCAAGACGCGTGGTGCCTCACTCGTCCCGTCGTCCGTCAGGCCCCATTGGAGACTTTTTTTAAAATTGCTTTCCCGCGAGCGAGCGAGTGAGAAATAAAAACGATACGCGGCCAGTGACGGCACGGCAGAGACACAGCAAAGGCGATCCAGCAGAGTTCCAAAAGCGGATCGTCGTCCGCCTTGGCCCTGGCCTAGGTGAACTAAAGAACGGCTGGCCGATTCTTCCATTCCAGCGAACCGCATTCGCTCGGCGGTGCTATTATTACTGGAGACACCCGGACCTCACTTTCCACGTGCTGAGGCAGCCCGTCCGCCCCGGGCCCGGGGGGAGGGGCTGCTGTAATTGGCGCCAATGCAGCTGTGATGCGAGGCATGGGACGCGGCCGCCGCAGCAGCTAACGTTTAGCGAGGGAGCATGATGAGCAGCGCCGTCAAAATAGTCCAGCGCGCGGTCCGGCCAGGCAAAGGCCAGGGGGTCGGTCTCGTGCAGTAACATCGCCCAGCTGATAATAATAAACGACGAGGAGAATCTCAGCGCTCTCTGGCAGCGGGAGTCGCGGGGGATCTGGTCGATGCGTTCGGCTGTCTCAGCACAACTCGCGTCTGGTGTCTCAGCCCGCAAACAGGAACAGGACAAGCCCTCCAACCCTCCATCCATCCAACCCATCGCATCCATCCAACCACACGGCTGCCCTCGCCCAAGTCATCGTCGCTGCGGCAAAGCCCCATGGGCGGTCCTTGGCGAAGCCCGCCCTGCCCGCTGCGCGGCCCCACAAGCACCGCACTGGACCCAGCTGCCCTGTGCCCTGTGCCGTCTGGTGCCCCCGTTTTCAAACCTCCAGCAGCCCCAAAGCCCGCAACAAGCCCAGCCCAGCCCCAGCCCCAGCCCCAGCCAAGCCCTCGGCCTGGCCGCCCCATCTCGCCCCATCCTACTGGGCGGGCTAGCGCACCGGAACAGAAAAGCAGTGACGTCGGTGTGGCTCCCTACATGGGGCTGCGACGGCCCACCTACAACCCACTGGGGGAGGCCAATCAGTCGCTAGCAGCAGCGCCGAACGAACTGCTGCTGCTGCCAATTGCTTTCCAGGCC